AAATGGTTATTTGAAAATTCTACCCAGTTTTTAAGGTAAAATTTTGATTAATTTTATATTCAATTATTCAGTTAAAATTGAATTGCATTAGAAATTAAAATATTCCAATATGGAAAGAATAAGGGAATTCACAATGAAATGTCCCAACAAAACTTTGTGAAATTCAGTGTTGTTCTGAACAAAGGGATAGAGGGACTTAGATCTGTGTAAGTGCTTTATATCATATGTCCCCCTTGCTGCTTGCTTATTTCGAGGTTGTATGGATACAATTCGTGAAGTTCCGTCAAACTATGCGAGACGTTTGGTTGATAGGGAAGTTAAGCCCTAGATGCTGATTAGAGTGGATGCTTAGTAGTTCCTAGATCTGGCCAAATCCTAGATTGATTTTGAAGTGTTGAAGGAGTGCCTAAAGTCGAGTGATATTAGGAAAAGTGAATAGATATAACCAAACTCAGACTATTTGAGATGAAAGCTTGGTTGATTTGTTACCTTGTATTGGTTAGTATAAAAAAGTATACTCAATACGATGCCTCCCTGAAAACAAGCATTTGTTATGTATGAATGAGCGACAAGCATTGGTCAGTGCAAAGCATTAATTACCCAAGTATATTTTTTAAATATGATGTATGAAGCGAAAAAAAGACTCGCAGTTTTGCTTCCTTCTCCCCCACGCCCAAAAACAGTGGGAAGTCGGAGAAGGAGGATTGAAGTCATCCACAAATAGAAGAAAAAATAGGAAATAGAACACAACAAGAAAAGGTGGACACCAGAGATCCGAACACCGAAAAGGGCAAGCCAGCTTGCTTGCTACGTATTCTTTCATCGCCATTCCTTAAACAGCAGTGAAACGATCTAACTAGTGAAATGTAAACAAGCCTCGTGAGCGCAGAATGATTCGGCTTGAAGTCTATAGCACAAGAACACACAGGCAGGGCATTTTAGCCCGCAAGTTTGAATGCATTTATGTAAGTTTAGGAGAAGGTAGAAAGGGGAAAGAAAAAGAAAAATAGTGAATTTAGATATGAGCTAGCTCACTTGCAAAAGGAGGGGAGCCAATAAGTAAGATAAGGCCATGATCGTATATCTATTTAGAAGTATTATATAATTTTCAGGAATATGGGGAAGGACAAAATGATTCAGAAAGAACCATTCTTTCCTTGCTAAGAGTTAAAAAGCGAAAATACTTGATGGGGTCGCTTGTTGGCTTTATTGTCATGCAATGATTTAGTTAATGTTCGAAAGCTATTTTTTATTTTATTTTTGTAAGTATACCTTTTGGTGTACTCTTAAATGTAGAATAGTGTTAAGAGCCCCAAAGTATTTGAAAACAGGAAAGGGAAGGGGGATAAGGGAGTAGCAGGAGAGAACTTGAGTGACAAACAATGAGCAGCGCCAGATTAGTTTGAATTTAAAATATTTATTAACGAGTTCCGGATTGTTCCCAAAGGTTTGAAACAACTGCGTCTTTGGGAGCTTCTTTGAGCATAATATCTTAGTCCAGAAGAAATGAATTAGAGGTTATCAAATCAAGATTCTTGTTCGCACTATAAATCAGTACATACAAAAAAATAGTGGTAGGACGCTCTTGTTGTGCAGGAGCAATGGGCCCGTGTCAAGGGCTGTTGTGAGTTAAGTCGCCTGAACAGCTGCTGCCTTTGCTAGTATGCCGGCACACGATACCATGGGTCCGCACAAGAGGCTCAATGATTGTTGTGCGGGTTTAAGCCAACAGCTAGGCTGGATGAAACTGAGGAGACATGTAAGTAGAAGAGAAAGTTAAAACTCAAACTAGTCAATCGAAAGATAGTTCATCCGACATAATGCCCTACGCTCACCATCTTGTTAATTGGGTAACACAGGTGGATGAGGCCGTGATCCACTGTGTGGACCTATTCCCTCCCAGCTGACAAGTGCACCGAACAAGACCGCAGTGAGATTCTCGCTCTCTTATCTCCAGATCCAAAGTGTAGGGTTTAGCTCCAGGTTGCAAATCGAAAACTACAATTGCAACCATGTAATGGAAATATCTATGAGAAAGCATAAAATGAGAGTTAGATTGTAAGCTCAAGACAGGGAAAGCCCAAAAAACAGAGTGATTAGTAGTGCAGATAAAGATGTTCTCTTGAAAACAGTTCCCAGATTCTTAAGGAGCAGTACTCTTGGTGGAATTTCATGCACCAAGTTTGCGGGGGTACGATCAGGGTCTGGCACTATGATTTTCACTGTAGCAGTTTTTAAATAAGCGTATTATATGGTTCCAAGAATGGACTGTTATCACAGATATTGTTGCTGCAACTCTTTCACGTGTGTGGGGAAACGGGCCTGACATGAAGGAGATGAAATTTATGCAACACAAAAAACAACGAGAAACGTTAAGCCTTGATCCCCGAAGCGCTTTAATCGAACCAAAAGTGAAAGAACTATAGGCTGTGATGCGTAAAGAGTGGACGTGATTTGTTCAATAAACTTAAGCATGAGCTGAAGAATCAAGATCTTGAGGTGGTAATTTGGCAGCAGACATGGCTTAAGAAACTGGGAAAAAAGAGAAAGCAAAAATGGAAGGCTGCTGTATTCAGGAACAAAATAGTGACAAGGAAAGTAGATCCAGTTAAAGTCAAAGGACTAGGATTGGCAGAACTCTTGCAGAGAGAATATCGAGAGGATATTGTAAATGACAAGCAAAACTTCCCAGAAAAACAGTTTTTGATGCTGATAGTTTCGTGTCCACCTGCTGATAAGCAAATGTTCTATACAGCTGAATCGTATAATAATGGGATTTCAAGCTATAATATAAAATCTTGGAATCTTCTATTCTTACTCTGCAACGATAAACTCAAATGAATAATCCATGCACAACCACAGCTAAGCTATGGAGTGGAGGCATTTCAGAGACTTTAGGCGACAATTGGCGCCATGTATTGCGCATATTGCAATAAATTTACTTAAAAGATATGCTAAGAGCAAACTAGAAGTACAGGTGGAGACCTGGTTTTTTAAACTTCACACACATTTCAACGGCTTCGTTAAAAATTATTGCCAGAGTGTAAGCAATGATTTTGAAAAAGCATTGACTAAAAGAGACCAAGCAATTAGTAATTTATCAATTTGTTAGATTTGAATTTTAACAAGAAAACAAGAAGAGAGGAATAGTGCGTAAATCAACAATTAATGTTTAGATATTTTTATTCGTTATAAATAAAAATTTTTCTGATGCAAGGAGGAACCTAGACATGGTGGAATGCTGTAAACTGAGATAAAGAAGAGTGGGTCCCATTTTTTGCCTAGAAATAAGCATTTCCAGGGCAAGCCACTCAGCATTATGCAACTCAATTGTGACATTTTAATTAGTTTAGGACACTTAATTATAAAAACTTTTGTTCAGACGCCAAAATGTAGGAAATGTCCACAAGAAGTGTTCAAACACCGAAATATATAATGTAGTCCTGTAATTTAAATTGTATATGCTGATATATTTCATGCACCCCAACGAAAGCATCAAAAAGAATTTTTCCAACCTGTTGTAACAGCATAGCCGGCAGAAACCAAGTTTGGAATTAAACAACAAAGGCTACAGACGAGTCATCTTGAAATAGTGAAAAAGGTATTAAGGAAAGCTATAGCCTGCCTTCCGACCAGTAGAGCTTCCAGAGGGCCTAACAAGTTGGGAGAAGAAACGCCTCTTCACATTTTTCAGCCTCGATGCATTGCACATGGCTGCGCTGGGACATTTGCAGAAGTTGATAGACGCAAGAGATGAAACAAAATTTAAGTATGGTGCATTTGCATTCCACCTTGTATTAAAAAGAAAACAGAAATTGAGAAGAGACAAATTTCATTGGTGAACACAGGGAAAATAGAAAACTACAAAAAAAAAATTTTAAAAAAAAGAAAATGAAGAAGAAGAAAATTCCAGAAAGAAACTAGAGTTGATATCCTGTTCAGCATTTCATGAAGTATAGGAAATTGAAGTCAGAGAGGGTAAATGATTTAGAAGACAGCAAGCTCATAATAATATAATAGCGCATGCCATTGCTCTTGGATGTAATCAAACGCTCATTTGGATCTAACATACGTTGGCCAAGCTTAAATGGAATTCATAGTCTGGGGGTTAACCAAGAGGTCCAAAGAGTGTCAATTTACTTTCTGCACAAACAAAGCAAGAAACCCTGTATAGGAGAAATTAACAATAGGGGGAACTTTTAACGAATAGGAACAACAATACATAGAGAATGAAGTTAATCGATAGGGGGAAGCTTGGTTAACAATAGGACAAAATTTGACATAGAGGGAAAAGTTTTTTTTTTTAAAACGAAGTAGGGAATTTTTTAACGAGAATAGGACACAATACAAGGGTCAGTGCATGGCAGATTACCTGATATGTATCTCATGCGGCTGGCACAAGATCCCTAATCTAGGAATGCGCATGAGCACGCATAGGGTAAGGAAAGGTGATTATTAGACAACTAAATTAAGATTAGAAATGTTTTTGCTATACATGAGTAAGACGATTGCATGGTAAAAAGAATTAACAGAAGTACAAGAAACATAATAGGGGAACTTTTAACAATAGGACAACAATACATAGAGAAGTTAACGATAGGGGAACTTTTAACAATAGGACAACAATACATAGAGAAGTTAACGATAGGGGAATTTTTAACAAATAGGACACAATACAAGGTCATTGCATGCAGATACCTGATATATCTCATGCCTGCACAAAGATCCCTATCTAGAATGCATGATCACCATAGAGGAAAGGTATTATAACAACTAATTAAGATAGAAATGTTGCTATACATGATAACATTGCATGTTAAAAAAATTAAACAAATACAAAACATAAATGAAACCAGAATTGAGAACATCCTTATGTAATATGTACACAAGAGAGAGAGACAATACATGGAAACATGCATAGTACAGTGATACACAGAAACATGTAAGGTTAATTATTAAACAAGAAACCCAAGATGTACTGCTAATGTTATTCCAGATTCTAAATATTGTAACAGAAGCTATTTTATTTCAACATGACAAAGTATTGTACAATATTGACGATATGCCCTAAATTTGATGTATAAGCCTCAATTGTCGGCCAAAAAAGAAAATGTCAATTCTTCAATATTGTGTCCTGAAAAACCATCGATTCTTGACAAAAGCATACATAGAAGTTAAATCTCTGCAAATAAACAGAACCAGTCATATGTGATACATATACAAAAACAGAAGGATAGTCTAACATGAACCTCCATATTAAAAATAATGATGGCAGACTCCTGATGCTTTTATGGCCTCCATATTAAAAATAATAATGGACACTCTTGATGCTTTGTTCATAACTATCATGGTGCTTACATTTACAATATAAGATATGAATGGGTTCATGGATGTTGGTTGAGAGGAATAAGCCTGGTGAAGAATAGCAAATGCAATTAAACGTTCAGTAGACTTGAGCATCTTGTTATCCTGCAGTCATGTAACATATGACTTATCATCAGCTATTCATACACTTACTATCAAATAAAGCTTGAATTGCAGACATATGGTTGAATTAATATAAGTAGAGTAATGACATAAAGAATAATGCCTATAACACTTACAAGGAACATAAGGCATGCAAACCAAGTAAATAGTCATACGAAATCCCAATACAATATTAAAATAAAGTACATGATGATACAGAACCAAGCTAAGGGAAAAGAAAAGCATAAAAGAAATTCCTATTGTTTACAAATCTACTTGAACCCTATGATAAAACCTTTGGAATGATTGTAATTTTTCCTCAACCTTAGGCACTTGTGCATGTTTGTTTGGTTAATGAATGAAATTTTGGAGTCTTCGATATTTGATTTGAAGGGAGTATTTTGGAGTACGTTTTAATGCCTTGTATTTGTGTTGGTTGTAAACATAATATGGAATTAGTGTGGTTGTATGGTTGTATATTAAGTTTAATGTTGCTTTGGTTTGTATATGATAGGTTTTTATCATCTTCTGGTTAACCTCAGACTTGTGCTTCAATATTAGGAAGTGGATGCAACTAAACATAATCTCTTGGTGAGTTTGCCTCGAAAACAGACTGTATTTACCTTGCGTAGATGAAAGGACGGATTGGAGATTGAAGGAAGATTGAAGGAACGTGCGTAAGATGAAAAATTATAATGAGAAGCAGACTCAGGCCTGGCTAGGCCGTGCTAAAGCACTAAACTCTTTTCTGCCTTGGCAGACCAAAAATTTTCAGCTTTGGTTCAGTAACTTTAAAAGGCTCCACAGAAATCATTTGTTAACCAAATTTGGCCTTGCATATATAGTTGAAAAGCTCTAGATCTCTACTTTCTAACCTTTTGTTTTCACATGAAAATTCTATCTGTAGCTCCTGATATTGTAAAAATAGTGGAGCAGGGTCAGGACAAGAACAATGGAAGGAGCTCTTATGAGTTTAACTTAACTATAAATGGTTTGATTACTTAGGTAGTAAATCATGGGTGTTGAGTTAACACCTAGTATTAATATATCAGTGCTACAAGTGTTATGTCTTGTATTTAGGTTATGTGATGTTACAAATGTTCTACTGGGGACTACGAATTATTAATTTTCAAGTTAGAATTAAGTGCTTTGTCTTTTTGCATATTTAATATATGATTGGATTTTGTGAAATACGTTGAAATCAAATGATAACTAAACCCCAAATCAAGAATATATTAGCATCAAACGCCAAATCCCTAACCCTAATCCATTCGGATACTTTCACTGTTAGAACAGAAGAAAACAACATCATAGTATACGGTATACACGCATACAGATGGGTTTTACTTGCCTCTAAGAGCAGTAAGAGAGAGTTGCAGACAGAGAAAAAGCGAGCGCGGCCAAATTTCGAGGTGAATTCCGACACAATTTCGTCCATTGGTCGTTGCTCCGATGTTAGCAACGAATGCACCACATTCGATTCTTCAAAGCTCAAAGCCATGGTCTTTTTTTTCCTTCAATTATTTACATGTATCTTAATTTCAATACTCATACCAGTAACAAAAAGACAAGCTTAGATAGACAAGCACTGGTGTACTTACATTGAGAGAACTATAGACGAAGGAGCAATTTGTTACTCGCGAATCCAGGAGGAAAACGATAGAAGGGGAAATGGGGATGATATCCTCTCCGCTGAGTCAGCTGAGAACTTCCGCTAGAACTGAATGTCAGGCCCAATATAACTATGCAATCCATGATCCAAATCTTTTGACTATTGCAATTAGTATAAATGGGCCCATCCAGCTTTTGGCAACCCTCCAATGGGCCCCTCCGGCTTTTGGCAACCCTCCAAAGTCCAAATCCTATCATAATAAAGTCAATAAGTTAAGCCTAACGACCGATCAACCCGAACATTAAAGAACCCAAATCATCGCTCTCTCTCTCTCTCTCTCTCTCTCAAAAAAATTAGCTTATCTATATTTCTATCTGCCCGGAGAGACAAATGGTGTTGCGTGGCCGTCTATAAACAGGCGTTACCCACGTGGGTCGTTGTGATTTCAGTTTTTTTCAACCACCACGTCACCACCCGTTGAGTACAGTTTAACATGGAAAGATATGCTTATAGTAGTTATGAACCTACAGTAACGGAAGCTCCCCTTCTTTTATAACCTTGGCCTTGGGTCCTTCGCATTTTACAAGTGATAACCAAAGAAAAAAAGAAAAAGGAAAAAACCAAAGCTGCAACGAGCAGCAGCAAAATTGCAAATCCTGAAGCAGAAGTGCCACCAGCAAAATCTGCTCTTCCATGGAGGACGCGTCTTGTCGTCTCACTAATCTCAACCTTATCCGACACATCTCGCCGTTCTGACGGAACCATAAACCGCCGCCTCCTCAGCTTCCTCGATCTCAAATCAGCTCCTTCCCCTACCAAACCTATCCGTTCTGTTATCTCCTCCGATATCCCTGTCGACGACGCACGCGACTTATTGTTCCGCCTCTACACTCTCATCGGAAGTAATACAGAGATTATATGCGGTTGTTGTGCGAGTGGGCTCCATCACGACTCTATACCTATCAATAATATTCTCCCCGTAATGGTTTTCTTTCACGGAGGAGGTTTTTCCTTTCTTAGCGCTTTAACCAGATCATACGACATTGTTTGCCGTAGATTCGCACTCAAACTGCCCGCCGTCGTGGTCTCAGTCAACTACTGTCTCACTCCTGAACACCGGTTCCCTTCTCAATACGATGATGGATTTGACGTCCTCAAATTCCTCGACGAGAACCAAGACACAATGCGAATTTATCCAAATGTTTCCTTGCAAAGATAGTGCTGGCGCAAACTTGGCGCATCAAGTTGCGGTTAGGGCCAGCAGGACCCAATTTCGTGTTGCTAAGGTTGTTGGTTTAATATCTATGCAGCCGTTCTTTGGAGGCGGGGATAGAAGTGAGCCTGAGATCCGACTAACTAGTTCCATGTTAGTGCCGGTTCCCCGAACCGATTGGTGTTGGAAGGTGTTTCTACCGGAAGGTTCGAATCGGGATCATTACGCTGTGAACGTTAGCGGACCTAACGCGGAGGATATTTCACGTACTATGAAGGGCTAAAGAGGTCCGGCAAAGAGGCTATCCTGCTCGAGTATCCAAACATGTTTCATGCCTTTTACATCTTCCCAGAATTGCCGGTGTCATCTCAGTTAATGTCGCAAGTCAAAGATTTTGTTGTGAATCTTTTGTCTAAATAAATAATAACAATAATAAAAAATAATAGCAGTAATTATAGATTTTTTTTTTTTTCCCAAAACGATATCAGATATATTAGAAATAAAAGAAGTCAGTAGTAGATACAACATTTAGAATTCTTGAACCAACCGAATTGGTAGCAAGGATTTAAAGAAAATTCATGATTAACCCCCATTCTAGCTAATCTGTGAGCATCTCCGTTACATTGTCTTCCGACAAAATGGAAAGATGCACGAGAAAGCTGCACAACCAAATTTAAAATATCTTTGATAATACCATCAATGGTAATGGCAGGGGATTGATTCTTGTTTACTGCATCAACAACAATTTTTGAATCCCCTTCGAATATTACTGGCAAATTTATGGTTAATAGCCGTCTGGACAGCCTGTCTCAATGCTAAAGCTTCAAGAATGAGCGGGTTTGTCTGGTAAGAAAAATGCTTAACATACCAGGCCAGCACCTTATGCTCATGATTGCAAGCTATAATTCCAATACTCCCACTTAGATTTTTCACACTTGTAGCTGCATCAAAATTTATCTTGATGATATATGTAGGCGGCGGAGTCCATAATAAAGCTATAGGATCCAAAGGGGCAGATGTTTGGTTAGGAAGAGAGTGATCTTTTCAATAGGCTTCATTAAACTCTTGAAAATTAAATTTGGCTCTTGCTAAGATCTCTTTCCAGTCCATTGGTTTATCTTGAAACACAAGATGATTCCTAACTTTTCATAGTTGCCATAAAATGAAGCTAGCTAGAACTATCAAGTCTGCATTATTCACAGATGATAGGCCATTCCAAATGCTCTGCCAACATTCCTTAAAATAGGTACCATGAAGAATGGAGGATCTAAGTTGGGGAGGGGAGTGAATCCACACAACTGCAGCTTGATGGCACTGAAAAAATAAGTGTTTTTCTAACTCCAGTTCACCACATAACTTGCAGATATTTGTCATTTGGAAAACGTTTGGCTAAAACTTCACCAACTGGAAGGCTGTTTTTTAAAGCTCGCCACAAGAAGATACAGACCTTTTGGAATCTGCATAGACCACAACTTTTTCCAAACCTACTTATCTCCACCATCAATATTTGAGGCAACTTCCAGAGAATTAAGAGAAGATCTTTTGGTTATAAGCTACCACATACCCGGACTTTCCAGAATACTTTCCATCTCTTGTAAAATGTCAGATCAATTTATCTCGGCAGGGGTTTCTGTTATTATGATTAAGAAGACGAGGTTTAAAAGGGAACTTAGTTGGCAACCATGGATCATTGCAAGCAACTGATTTTCCGTTTCGAACCTCCCATCGAAGACCTTGTAGAAGAATTTCCCTACCTTGTAAAATGCTTCGCCAATCCCAGGATGGGTTACAACCAAGCTGAGCCTCCATAAAGTTTGAATGAGGAAAATATTTTCCTTTTAGAACTCTGGATAAAAGAGATTGAGGATGAGAAACAAGTGGCCAACGTTGTTTGCCAAGGAGAGCAAGATTAAAACATTCAAGGTCTTTGAAGCCTAGGCCACCAATTACGTGGGGTCTATTTGCTCTGAATATGAAGGCACTGTTCGTAGGAATCTTTTGAACTAGTATTTAGTATTTTGATAGAGCTGAAATACTATCTTAATTAATTGTAGTATTCGGTAGTACAATATCTATCATAGTATTTAGAGTTTGAAAGTATTTTATAATACATATACACATCACTTTTTTTTAACTGATTCCTCACTTTGATACTATTTTTTGTCATTTTACATTAAACAGCTAATCAAGCAGTTATTTATATCGAACACTTTTATTCTAAACTGCCATATAATCGTTAACCATTAATAGCTAATATTTAATAACTAACCACTAATAAAATAGCTAACAACTATTAAAACAGCTACCAGCTACTAAAACAGCTAAATTAACTAACCGACCCAAAGATGCATACATTATAAATTGGGCGTAAAAATATTAAAATGTGAAGGTTAAAAGTGTAATTGCAACTCAACGAGTTGTGCAAGAAAATTCCAAACTCAGATGTCCTTTCTCTATCAGTCACCATTACTACCGTCATAATTCTCCTTCCTTCTCTGTAAAAATAAAAAAAAAATAAAAAAAATAAAAAAAAAATCCTGATCACCACATCGATCGCCATTTCTATCCCTCCTCGCAAAATAAATTTAGCCATGCCTTAATATCGGATCAATTCAAATAAAATTAATACTGTGAAATTATAAAAATGATAACAAAATTTATTTTTTAGGTCAGAATGCAAATCAACATAGATTTATATAGTAAATTCCAAAGTTTAAAGCCAAATCAAACGCTTGAATGGGTAAAATTCACGTGAAAAATCAAAAAATGAAAGTGATGAGAGGATGTAGTATCGGTGGCAGTGGAGAGGGTATATATGCAGTGTGATTTATAAAATTTATCTACTTAATTAACTTTTTGTTTTCATTTTCTTTTCTTTGTTGTTAAAGGACATGGGAATGAGTCTTAGCTCAGAATGAGAGTGGCAGCAGGTAGGTCAATGCATAAGAACAAGTAATATGCTTATGCTAGATTTATCCTTTCATTTAAATAACTAATTACAAATATATCCCTCTTTCAATACCTATGGTTGTATAGACAATTTTCTAAGATGGCCCACCTCAAGTTTTGAAATATTGCCCGTGCATTGTTAGGAAACCGACCATCTATCACTGCCCAATAAATAAATGGGTTCTTTTTCAAGGGAAATAAATAAATAGATATCAACCAGTTGCTGCTTGTAAATGACCGAATCCATAATTTTAGACGAAGCGAAAAATGAGTATGTGCAGGCTTTTTTGTTTTTTTTTTTGGGTTACGAGTTTGTGAATATTGAAATGTGGTCAGTGCTGCCGAATTTTTAAGATAAAAGAAATTTTTAGAGAAAAAAAAAAGGGGGAGAAATGTCAAAGCTCTTAGTGCAAAGCTTCATATATAACCTAGTCCTATTCTACCCCATTAATGAATTCAGAAATGCAGTCTCTTTTCATTTGTTTTACCAGGCAATAAACGGGACGGAGTCTATCCTGCTTAAGATAGATCATTCTACAAACTGGTAACTGGGTAAATGATATTGCGTCTCACTGAAGAAAAATTATATTGTATCTATTTATGCCTCTTTTCCATGGCCTCCTTGAGTTTTATCCCCAGTGCATACGCCAACGGGGGAGGAACAGCATTTCCAATTTGCCGGTGCTTGTGTTGAATGTTACCAGCAAACTTGTAGCTATCTGGAAATCCCTGGTAAAAAAAAAGGCATGAAAAAGAAAATTACTAAGAATAAGGAACTTAACTATAAATAGTAATGGGAAAAAAAATGTCCAATTTTTTAGCAAAGAGACAAAGGCCGCTTGCACTGTGTTTCGATTTGGGAGAGGGAAAAAAAGGAGGGAGGTCCGTTAAAGTAAAACAAAGGGAGAGAAAGGAAATGAAAAATTAGAACTTAGGGAGAGGAAAATTCATTCCTGTAAAGGATTAGAAATACAAAAAAAAAAAAAAAGCTTAAAAAAGAACAAGATATATAAGGAACAAAGTGTTATAACGGATTAGCAGGATGGAATTTAACCCGAAACTGATCTGACCCTGATATTGTGCAGGGGGGCAGGGGCGATGAACTTCACCCCGCCCCATATCCTCATATTCCGCCTCAATCAATGACATGTTAATATTTTTTGTTCATATTAATTACTTAAATATTATAATTTTAACAAAAAAAAAATAACAACCCCAGCCCCGCCCCATTGCCCGTAAAATATGAAATTTCAGAAGGGTAAAAGCTGTTGATTGAATAATGCAAGCAGTTGCAAGATTTGCTACTTGTTGCATATTTCAATGCTAATAAGATTAAGGAACTTAAACATCTAAAGTAGCTTACTCTGAAAATGAACAAACTAACGAGAAAATACAACTTACTTGAGATCGGGCGCATTCACGAACTGTAAGAATTCTGTCCTGCTCAGGATGAAAGCACATCCCCACCTTACCCATTGGTTGAGGATCTGTTATTGAAGTTGGGAAGTTCCCTTCCCAGTCTAATCTTCCAAAAAGCCCCTTCCACTGATTGTGTCGCTTAGCCGTATTTGGTAGACACCATGGAATTAAATCAACCACTTGCCCAGTGGACAATTTAACCTGTGTATACAGCACATTTAAAATCAGATGTGTAGAGAACTCAATGATCCCAACAATGAAATATTAATAGATGTATTATATCTTATATGAGAACTCAATTATATTACTACCTTTTCATCTGGAAGGTCACGCCAGTCAGCACCTGGGCGTTTTGGAATCTTCTGACACCTAATGAAGTTCAGCTCATTCATTTCTTTTGATATATGGTCTGTCAAGACAATTGTGTCCCCTCGAATTCTCTTTTGAAACCATGAGACAGGATCATTTTTATACTGCACAAATAAATAAATAAATAATCAAAATAACATGATCACTGCATATTACTTTACAAATTTCTGGAACATATATTTTTATCCTATATACCTCCAAATTTGTCTTAGAGGCACCATTTCCTACATCTGGGAGATCACCAATGGTATCTCTGACAGTTATTGCACGGAGAGGGGCTCCACTAGCAGTACTTCGAACAGCAGCATATTGTAAATTTTCTGACAAAGTAATTTTTAACTCTGGGGCAGCAAAGACATGCATGGGTTCTGGCCACTCTGGAAGTATATCTTCAGGCGAGGCTGCCCATATGAATGCTCGTTTTCGTGATTGAGAAACTCCATATGTTCCAGCTTCCAGGATACCAAACCTCACCTAATCCAAACCAGTTGCGCATGTGTAAAAGAATAAATAATGGTAATGCATTAATGCTATAACAAATGAAAGAACACACATTTACTTGCAACAAACTCTACCTGATAGCCCATCTCAAGAAGTGAAGCCAATGTTAAGCGGAATGTCTGCCCTTTATTGAAAGAAATAAAGTTCCTCACATTCTCTAAGAGGAAATATCTTGGTCGGAAGTAGTCAACAAAGGATAAAAATGCTAAGATCATCTCACATTGAACTTTACTCCAAGTGCTTTGACTAAACCGATTCATTCCAGAGAAACCCTGCAAAGAAAGGTCATGCACCTTTTGTAATACACAAATACCAGAAGTTTGCATTAATAAAAAAAAAAGGGGGCCAGAAATTTGTACATACTTGACATGGTGGCCCTCCGTTGATGAAATCCACCTGTCCTGGCAGAGGCAAATCATTTATTACTTTCTCATCAAGTGAAGCAGCCAATTCTATTGCCTCAGGAGTTGAGATACAGTCATCAGAATCCAAACACTTTTCCATTATAGCCCTGCAGTACAAGCCAAAAGCTTTCAAACAAAATTTAGCAAGCACAGGAATAGAGTTTAAACCACAATATACTCACTTACCTAAGGATCACATTGCAATTATTAATGAACACCAGTGACTCTGGATGATTAAGCTTGAATGCTTCTCCAGCAGGTTCTTCATATTCAATAGCCCACTTGGTTTTTGAGGCACCTGCAATGCCCAAAGCAGCAGATAGTTAATCATTAGTTCTCCAATGATAGATAAGCAAGCAAGTTACTTGGTTTGTCATATATAAGGAGACAGAGTGTCACCAGCTTGATGCAATCCCTCTGACAAGCCACCACAACCAGCAAAAATATCTAATGTAGCTAAACTTCTCACTTCAGATGCTTCTCTTTCTTTTTCAACTTCATCTTCTCCCTCTTTCCACTTACCCTTCCTCTTCCTGGACACAGCAACACTTTCCCCAGTCCCAGTTGAGTACCTCAATTTGATATTAGCCGGTAACTGCTCAGAAAAGAGTTTGGAAGATCACTATAATTCATCAGAGCAAAGTCTTGTTATTGAACCAAAACTGGTCAAAAGAAGCAATTTGCAGATGTTAAGTGCCTTAAATAATTTAATTAAATTGATGCTTCTCCCCTGAACTGATAAAAAATGTGTAGCATATTTTGTAATATGTGATAGAGAAAATGATAAATACCTGCTTGAGTGACCCTTTAGAAGGATCATAAAGATGCTCACAAAAGAAAATATGATCAAAGATTGCAGCAGGACTGCATGTAGGGATATCATTTTTCTTTCGAACTTCACATTTCCCTTCAATATTCTCAACAGATATAACATGCATTTCTTCACTGTAATAGATCTGAAAAATTTTAAACCGCACAACTTCTCAAAGATCTGAACTTGCAAGATAATGATATTTATAAATGTAAACGACAAGATAAAGGATGGTTACAAAGGCTAAGAACCTGACATGCTTAATTAAATGTAACACAAGATTTTTAAATCAGTTTTACCTCCCGAATATCTGAAAAATATGCCTTCTCAGGTGAGATATCTTCTGGTCTGAAAAACCTCCGAACCTTAACCTGTGTGGATCTTGCTTCTGCTTGCTTTGGTTCTTTTGGGACAATGATCTCCAGTAACTGGCACACAACATATGGCTTCAACCCTACATTCCTTCCACCCTTGAAAGTTTCTGTCTCCCTTTTATTGGTGAAGTGATAAGGGCTTACATAGGCAAAATCATGAACAGAATACTCTGTTCCCAAGTGCACAAATCCAGTCCTAGAAGAATTAATTTTAAAGATCTCCTTTTCCATTTCAGCTTCTTTTATTTTGCAAGAGTGGCAAACGCCAGAACCAAGACCAATTGTATCAAAGGGAACGCTAAAAAATGCACCCCTCTCTGGACAATACAAACTTTTACAGAAATATTCTAGTGGCAATCCTTTATTTTTCCTCTCTTCTGCTCTTGCTCTATCAATTTTATCAGCATTGGCATTATCTTTCCTGTGACAATGTCCCCAGGGCATTTTCCGAATTTCAAGGACAATTGCCTGTTTAACATCCTGCAAGTCACAGTTCGTGCACTCATTTCTCAAGAAAACCTCTCTCTCATTGGCAGCATTGCCAAGAACTGTCTGAGATCCCCTCTGCAACATTCTCCCATGAAACATTTTGCTTCCATCTGATGTTTCAAACATGTATTCTATAAAACAGATGGCAGGAACTTCTTTTGATTCATCAACCTCCACTAAGACAGCACCCCCCACTGCAATCACCTCCCCACGGACAATTGCACATTTATAAATAGCTTCACCACTCTGTGTTCTGCATACAGGATTCCCATCCCATCGTACTTCATCCGTTGAAGAATATGATTTAGTTCGCAATGGCACTGAGTAAGATTTTTGTGTTTTCTCTGAAACTATCAGTTCATCCTCATCTACATCATCTTCATTTTCCTCTTGCTCCTCAACTTCCTCCTCTTTTGCTTCAGCAATAGTTCCCTCTTTCAGATCCTCTGGCGAGTAATTGGAGTAAAATTCCCCCCAAATTCTGTTAATCAGCCTTGTTGTTGTTGCTTGCATAACCTTCCTTTTGGACACTAGAGGGGCTATAGGGCCCAATGCTGCTCGGGGATTTAAATTGGGTTGACTCCTCTGCATAATTTGCTTTTTATTTACCACCCATTTGGTATGGTGTCTTTCCTCCATCTTCTTTGTGAGACCAATCACAAACGCACATTTTTTTATTTTCTCATCAGGAAATTCAGCAAAAACCTGTAGGATTATCTGTCCATGCACAACCACATATCTCTCAACAGCTGCTGGATCATGAGAAATGAAACCGTGATCATCCTTCTTGAACTCGGACACTTTCTTGATTATATCTGAAAAAGAAAGCCGTGAAACTCGACTTTGTTCTTTCAACAATGTAATGATGCTTCTTGCAAGTTCGGCCGTTTTCAAAACTGGCTTATACCATGGAGAATATTGCCTTGATGGCTTTCCAAGTCTATACCTGAAAATATCCAAGCAAGATCAAATACTCAAATTAGTGCCAACAGAGAATGTTTATGACTAATTCGCAGAAGTTTTAATTAAATAAATCCAAATTATTTCTCAAGACTAATACTCGCCATTGTTTCAACTAATAAGTACTAAGTATCCTGCTACAAGATTACTAATACTCTATTCTTAAGCTATTTTAATGCTTTTCTTAATCAAATGGTGTTTTTCTTAATCAAAGAGATTTTAAAGGTTGACCCAGTTGATGAAGCACCCAACATGTATGGGCTCTAGGGAGGGTTGATGCACATAACCTTCCCCGTACATTTTTGTAGAAGTTTTTTCTGTGGCTTAAATCCATCACATCCAAGTAACAAGTGGAGTAACTTTACCGTTATACCAAAGCCACCATCTTTAATCAAAGAGATTCTGATTAGCAAAAAATTTCAGACTTTGTCACTTGAAAGAATTAACTGAAACCCTAAATGACAAAAGTAAATCTATCATGTCCCTCTGATTATAAATAAGAGGTTATGCACAATACCACGCCATGTCTGTCCGGATAGATATGAAAACCATTGAAGATCCAAATTCAATCATCCACTCCTTTATTGCACTCAAAAAAATTGGCAAACCGAGGTCATCTTGAATCCCTGCATCCCCTGATGAAGAGTGATCATGATCATTGTCTAGATAAAATCCAGTTCCAACATCTTCAGTCATCCTTCCCGAGCCAAAGATGGTGACATCTATATCTTCACATGGTTTCATTGGAAGAAGCTCCAAGGAAATCAACCTTGAATCAGAGTTATATAGTGACCAGTTGTGGAGCATTCTTTTAGGAAGGTCATCAGGGTCAACAAAGATGTGATCATCACTATCAATAGCTATATATTCATCAGTTTCTTCATTAGAATGTTTGTAAAATGCAGGCAAAGGGTAGTCATTTGCAATCTCATCTTCATTGATTTTTATGTAGATTGCATGTGCTGACGGAGCTGAACCAAGAATTTTCTTTTGCTTCTTTGTAGATTGCCAATACTCTTCCTCTTGCAAGAGTCTTGCCAACTTTGCATCTTCATCTTCCTCAGCTACATTGGAGGAAGAATTAGACTGTAACATGTTTGACTCCCCACCTCCATATTTAGGACAAATTGTCAGATTCCCACCACAAGTTACTGCTTTTGCCAGAACATAATTTCCATGCTTGTGACTCTTCTCTTTCAATAAAAGAAGAACAGGCAATGCAGCAAATTTCTGGTCATTCTTCTTTGATGTTTCATCTAATCCAATTAATTGGTTATAGATGAATTCACCCTGGGAAATTACAAAATCTTTTATGGATGCTGCACCTGAAAAACACTTGCTTCCAGTCACTGAACGAACAATTCCCGCAAGCAACTCATCAAGAGCAAGATCAGGATTCCCTCCAGAAGTTTTTGACAGTTTCTTGTACACCTCAATGCAAATACGAGCCTTTTCATAGAAGTGATCGTAGAACTTTTTGTAGCTACTTGCAGGTTTAACACATTCATAATCTGCAATATCTGTTGTAAGCCATATTACTGGAGAGCCATCTTCATAGCCAGAGATGTCCCATCCTTCTATCCTTCCAAAGCCTTCACATCTAACACGCTTCTCCTTTTCCTTGTCAGGACTATCCTCAAGAGGCAGGATAAGACCAGATATAAACATATCGTCAAATTCAATCATCTCAATAGGCTTTGGGGTACCGTTTGCATCATGCACAACAAAATCTGTTAGTCTCCTGTTAGCTCGACCATCTTCTTGCCCATTTGTCAGGTGAATGGCTACAATCTCTTCCTCCACAGATTGATCTTTCTTTGGTTCAAGGATAGAAGACATTTCAGATAAACATACAGATTTCTCCTTGAAATCTGTGCACGCTGCAGCTCGCTTTGGTCTTTTCCAGGAACTAGCAGGATCTTCATTCTGACGGGAGGAACTTCGCTTCTTGCCTTTTGTATTATTTGTTAGTTCCTTGCTTGCATTAGAAACAGAAGATTTTGTTTTACCTTTTTTCTTCTTTGTTCCTGTTTCAAAATGCAAATCCAATTATGTAATAATATTAGGAATTTGTATTTGAAAAGAATACTGAGATGAGACCAATGTACTGAAATCAGAGACCAAAAAGAACATGGTATATAGTAAGAGCAATTGAGGGAGCATGATGAGTTCACATCTGAAGTCTAAATAATGCTTGGACAAAAGTGGGAGAAACAAAAGTAGAAAGGATTATGACAACTTGGAAAAGGGACAAACAAGCAGGATATCCTGCATCAAACATATGAAGTTGAGTTTCAACCATCCTCAAAAATTCTTACATTGGATTCCAGTATAGCAAGAAATCACCAAACTGGATGAGGGTCGTCTTGTTAATTATAAGATGCTAAGATTAAGAAATGCAGCATAAGCAAATATACACACATGCATAGTGAATTCATCTCACCCATAGGAGCTTGCCATTAAAGAATTAACTACAACCCACTGCAAATTGACATGATTGAACAACAAATATATATGCATAGTGAACTCGCCCATAGGAGCTCATCATTGAGGAATTAATTACATCGCGCTGCAAATTGACATGATCCAACAACAACAAAAAGTGGCAAACTGCTATAAGAAGAAAGGGAAACTATCTAGCATTCGATTTACTTGATACTCATCCAATTCATAGTGAGCCAAGTGTACCTCTAGTTAGCAAGATTTATAGTAAAAATAAGTAGCAGGATAGGTCCCTGCACATAGAACCATGCCCAAGAGTGAGCGAAACATGTTGATGAGGGTGTTCATAAAGTGAACAAATACAACGAGCGTAGCCCACTATTAGTCTAGTTTCTGGGAAAAAAAAAACAGACCCAAAATCATATTTTATAAGTGCATTATCATAGTATTATTTTTTCAGGTTTTAATTGATAATGAGTGTTTCAAATTGAACCACTAGATTATCCATGGACACATCATAACAAGAACAAGAAAGCATTATTTTGTCTTAGTATTAAAAAGATCAACAACATAATCAAACTGAAAGAGTTGGATTCAATAAATAGATAAACAATAAAAATAGTAAAAATGTAGTGAAGAGAAAAATAGGCTTCTCGGGCACCTGAATCAGAATCAGAACTTTTACCAACCGCGGAGTTGGGAAATGATGATTCCAGTAGCGTTGCCGATCCCATTCTTGAGTTAAACACAATCCTCTCTTCCCTACTCGTTGCCGTGTGTTTTACTTTCAATGTTTCGATATAAGAGCCCTGATCCTATTGGGAAAGACAAGTTGAAGCAAAACCACGACTGGCCTAGAGCTGCGAAATGGGGCTGTTTTTAACTATCGAAAATTAGAAGTCTTTCATTAAAGATAAAGTATTAATTTTGTTTCAAATGTAATTCACAGAGTGATAAGAAAGAGGGAATGAGCGGGAAAATAAAACATTGGGGAAAAAATGGCGCCTGTTGTCATTTTTCGCAAAATCCAAAAGGGCCTTTCCTCTGTGGAAAAACCCTTATGTTTTTGAATTCTCTGACTTTTCGTTTTCTGGGTATCCCGCGGCCTCTGATGCATGTACACACACATAAGGATACGAATACGAATACGAAATACTAATTCATGAAAAAGTGTATACATATATATATCGGGGTGGTGTGCAAAAGTGTATATATATACATACACCAGTTTTTACTCATAGATTGTCATCATTTTTCTAATTATATTATATAATGCCTAATTAATAAAACAGTAGCAAAAAATAATTGAAGACTTAGATGTATTTTACTCTATTTTAGTGATTAAATTTAGAGAGACCATGACTCTATTTTACTTTTTCTTTCACTTCACCTTTTCTCTACTTTTAATTTTTTATTTAATTTAATAAATTCATATATTTTTCTTATAATAAATCTTTTTTTTTTTTTTTTTTCAATATATTTTTCTTATAATAAATCTTTTTTTTTTTTTTTCTTGCATATTTTGAGTTTTTTTGTGAGAGTGGTTGATTTCTTTATAAAAGGATATCAGTAGATCTGAAAAAAAACAATTAAGGTTGTAAAAGATCTATTAACGAAATAATTGTTGCTGCCAATATCACCTCCAAGCATAAATATTTAATATTTGTATTTTTTAAAATTTTATTTTTATTATTTAAAGTATTATTAATTATTTTATTTTTTTTTTTTTTTTGCATATTTGAAGTTTTTTGTGAGAGTGGTGATTTCTTTATAAAAGAATCAATAGATCTGAAAAAACAATTAAGGTGTAAAAGATATTAACGAAATAATTGTTGCTGCCAATATCAACCTCAAGCATAAATATTTAATATTGTATTTTTTAAATTTTATTTTTATTATTTAAAGTATTATTAATTATTTTATTTAATTAAAAAATTAATGAACTCTATTAGCTATAGATATACTTTTTAAAATTAGGATATACTTCTTAAATTTGAAGTACACTGAAAATTATATAGAAGCCCAATACATAAATTCATCCTTATATTTTACGTAAAAAACTTTCATGGTAGTCTTAACTTTTACTTTGATATATTAAACACTTCAATTTATAAAATTTCTTTAAGAATTATGTGGAAATTCAAGAAATGAAAATCATGTTTGCTCTTTAACCACCAATCACTGATAATCAAAAGTAGAACTTTTCCAATCAAAATCCTAAGCTGATTTTTAAATTTCAGATCAAAATTATTATTTCCTAAATTAAACTCACCAAACACAGAAGAAACATAGAACTGTAGATTCATTACATATACAAAACCAACCTCTGATAAATTCCAAAATCCTGCAAAAAAAAATTCTCATGAAACGATATGACTACTCCTCACACTAATCAAGATTCAAAACTACAGTTAAAATTTTAGAGAGAAAAAAGAAGAAGAAAAAAATAAAGAAAAGAAATATTTGTATCAAGACCGAAAGACCTGAGAAAGCAACGCAAGCTGTTCAACTCCAAAATATCTAGCAGCAGCATCAATATCTAGAGCAAGTTCAATGACTGCGGTACAATGCCTCCAACAACCTCTTTCACTATGGTTAGGCCTTGGCTCATGCTTTTGAAGGACAACAGAGGCTTGTCCACTATACAAAAACTGTAACAGCGACAAAAACACCTCGTATCCCACAAATGGCGTAAACTCCAATTTTTCCTCTTCATGAAACGCATTTCTAAACCTTCAAAAACCCTCGGCATGAGCTTTGTCTTTGATAAAATCGATGCTCAAGTATATTGAATTTGATGGAGAGATTGGTACATATAATATAGAGAAATAGAAAGGTTTTAAACTCAAGATCAAAATATCAAAAATTCTATTTTAGAGAAACACAAATAAGAAGAAGAAAAACATATCAAGAGAGAACTGTTAAACATCGAGAGGAATAGAGAGAGGACGAGAAAGATAGAAACGCTGAAAATGAGGACATATGTGTAAATATATCCGTGTACGTAAATATATCCGTGTACTTTATAGAAATGTATAAATATATTTATGTATTTTGCGAAAAAATTTTGTGAAATTTTAAATTTTGCGAGTGACCTATTATGCCTAAACTTATGAATTTTGTTGTTGGATCTCTCTATACTACTAATAACATTTTGTTATTCATGTGCAAAATATTCATTTATGATTAGTATAATATTTAGAACAATAATTTTTCATATTTTGCAACTATCTATTAAGTGTTTAATTAATCTAATTTTATAAATTTAAATATTCAACAGAATAATTTTTGTAAGTTAAAGTATTTAATTTATATAATTTTATAAATTGAAGCGTCAAAGTAAAAGTTGAGGGCACCATAAACTTTTTTTTACGCAAAATAGAAAAATAAATTTATGCATTAAATTAAAAAATCTTAAAAATTGTTATTTTCATTGTTAGGTACAATAATAAACAAACTAGCAAGATGTGCGCCTTAGTAAACTAGTTCGATATATGGGTCGACTTCACAAAGCAATGATTCCTTGCACGTGTCAAACAGATGCTATTGCTTCAAAATGTCAATTCTACTCGATCCCACAAAATGTCACATTCAATCAATTCTCCCCCTAAAAGCCATAACCCTTAAGCATAAAATTAATCAGCATAACATGACCTATACAGTATGTTTACCCAGATTGGAGATTAGTGCCATCATTCACCACTGATCCCATTTGTTTATGAAGTCATTCCACATTGCTGCAGCAATTGATTCTCGTAATGAGAAAGCAATTTGCTCTTGAATGGACGAAGCCAACTGCATTTCAGGTTGATCATCAAAATCAGGAAGTTCTTCCAATGCCACACCGCCAATACTATCAAAAAGCCAATCATTTCTGTCCTCACGTCGGATGTAATTGTGCAAAACACATGCAGCAATTACTATATCCCTTTGGATATGAAAACCATATTGAGGTGCAAGTTTGAGGATGGGAAATCGAGTTTTCAGCACATTGAAAGACCTCTGGATGAAATTTCTTAGAGACGAATGTCGGTGGTTGAACAGTTCTCTGGCATTTCTGGGTAACTGATTTGCACCTCTAAATTCATGGAGATGATAGCGAACTCCTAGATATGGTGCAATAAATCCTTCCATATTTGAGTATCCTGTGTCGACTAGATAAAATTTTCCTGTTACAGAACAATTAGTGATGATGAGAGGGACACTAAATTCATTCAAACAACTAGAAATGATATGGAAGCAGCCTTCCATACCATGGAAATGGCCTCACATGCAGACGAGCTGTGTGTGTACGTGCAAATGTCCATAAATAAAAAGTGATGTATCAAAACTACATCAGATGAACATAAAGAGGAGAACCTTCAGGTATGCGAGGAAAATTCTGATCTGGATCATCAAGGACTGCTCTTAGCACACGTGAATCTGCAGCTGAACCTTCCCAACCAGGATAAATAAATATAAACTGCAAGTCAAATGTGCATGCTGCCAAAACATTTTGTGACAGAACACCTTTTCTATCACGAAATCGAGATTGGTCTTTGGCTGGTACATGTGCAGGGATATGCATACCATCTATGGCTCCAATACAGTCCTGCTTGAAGAAAAATTCAAGTAAGCAGTGTAACAATTATACATTTAAAAAAAAAAAAAAGTACAAACAGATCTGTAAACAAACCTTGAAATATGGGTAAAACCTATTACTACTGAGAATTTCTGGAGGAGTGTTGAGAGGTGGTGGTTGAAGGAATTCCCGTGAAAGTGACTTAATTGCCTTCAATACATTATTAAAATGCCGACTTATAGTTTCACCTGAATGTTGAAATCGTTCTTGAATTACTCTGTTACGCTCATTATGACCAATGACATTTAAGAAAATTGCGAGCTGTTCCTCTATCATGACTCCAGCAGTATCACGTAACATGGCTCTTTGTCGTAGTGTGGTACATAACTTGTGAAACACATGTTTATCCATCCGAAACATTTCTCTGCATAAATCATCAGGGCCATCCAGCACTTCAGTCATAAAGGCACTTCCGCTAGGTGATGAACTGCAACGAGGCTGCCTGTTTATACTGTTATAATAGTAGTAGCCTGCAGCAGCAGCAACTAATTCCATCTCGTCCAATTCTAAGTCAAAGTCGTCCATGCAAGCTGAAGTATCTGTAGAAATCGAATTAAAATGCAGAATATGTAGCACAAATGCAAGTAGTTAAATTTGCAGATATAGACAAATCAATTGAATGCATTTCTATCACAAACAGAAGGTAGCATATGTCTCTGGAGACAGAGGTGCTGGTGCAAATAAACCAAAAGAGGGAAAGCAACAGCAGTCTCTAACATTTGAGCCTTAAACTGATGAAACTGCCACTGATCATAAAGTAAAACTAGTTACAAAATGTATGAGTTCCTCCAGAGTACTATACAAAATGCATGAGTTCCTCTAGAGTACTATGGCCATACAGACCATACCCAGAATATGGAACTTCAAAAATGCACACAACTAATAAGCTCTTTTAAGTTTTAAACTATTCAACTAGAGGCAGCATTGCACTTCCCCTGCAACCATGGTAACCGTTTCTCACTCTTGAGAGATATAAATGTCTCCCTGGCATTGGGATTCTCAAATAAATCCAAGGCAAAAAAGTAAATCCTTTGATCAACACCTTGCATCTCATCCAAGACTTTGATGCATTTGCTTATAGAAAAGCGATCCTCATTCTTCATGATTGCAGCGGCCCTCATTTTGGAAGCAGCTGCAATTTCAAGCATAGCATCAACAATAGCATCACCAGTAGCCTTACGACTCCTCTTACGACGACCAGCACTTGAGGGTGTCACCGACTGACGCTTGTTGTGTCCATCCAACATGTTTCCCTCATCCCCAGAACCCGAAGAAGCATCGTCATCCACGTAAGTCATGGGTGCAGTAGGATCAACAGACATGATGACTGTTTTTTAGTTCTCAGTGGCAACCTTTTGTCTCCAACTGTCTTCTCCAAAATAAAACAAAAAGCCCAACATCATTCCAATTCTCTATAAAAACAAATTTAAAAGCCAGTAAGATTATAATGAAAATCATCAACGTTCCCTGAAAATAGTGTAGTAGCTATTTATTAAACGTCAATTTCTGGGTAATCAAATTTAATTAACCCAAGTTTAGATTTTGAATTTTGAACGATAAATCATAATTGTGTCCTTGGTATTTTCTAATTGTGAAAATATGACCTTAAACCGATTATCAAAAACAAACAAATTTGCTCATCCTCAAATAAACAAAATGCAGAATCAAAATATTCTACGATACAAAATTCGAAGGGATCATCACATATCTCTGTGTCCCTCCATTTTCATTTTCTACAAAGCTACTTAGCAGCAAAACAATGGTTCGAAAGAAGGGAAAAAACAAAACTAAAAAATCACAGTAATACCACATTGTAATTGAAGAAACACGAGTTAAAAAAATTAAAAAAAAAAAAAAACCTGCAAAGAGAATGAAAAATCACCTTTTGGCGTATTCTTGGGCAGCTATGTTTCCTGGTTTTTGCTCAATGAGCGGTAACTATTTGGATTCTAGGGTTTTGGGTTGCCGTTAGAGGCTTACAGCAAAGAAATCCCTTTCATTTATTAGCATCCGGAGACAATATAGAAGGGAATTGTGATCAGACCCGTACAAGTTAATTATATTAAGAACTTTACTCTTTTACTCGTTAAAATTAAATAATTCGATCGTCGCATTTTTTTTTACTTTCAAATTCATATATTACTATTTTCTATAGGCCAATTATATAAATATATCCATATATTTTATAGAAAAAATCTCATAGCATCCTAAATTTTTAATTTTTGTGAGTGATTTATTATGCTTTTGAATTTACAAATTTTGATAATATTATATCCTTTCTATACTACTCATAACATTTTTTGGTAGGCAATTCCATTTTTGTACTTTATGTAAGAAATCTTACTGCATCCTCAATTTTTACTTTGACCTGTTGAATAGTTCAATTTATAAAATTATATAAATTAAATACTTCAACTTGCAAAAATTATTCCATTAAATATTCAAACTTCTAAAATAAGATCAATTAAACACTTAATATTTCCTTCGTCCCATTTTGTTGCTTATTATTTCTTTTTTGGATGTCTTAAAAAGTGTGCAAGGTTTCTAAACTTATATATGTAAACAATTTATGATCATTCATTGAATGAAATACTTTTTATTAATATCTCAATGAGTTAAGGATAAAAAATAGTAAAATAACTTTTTTTTTTGACTAAGTTCTTAATATGCGTGTTTTGTCAAATCATGCAAACAAAATTGAACGGAAGAAGTAGATATTGAAAAATATGAGAAAATTATTATTCCAAAGATTATACTAACCACACATTAAGTGAATATATTGCACATAAATACTAAAAATACCAAAAAAGGCCAAATGTATAAATATATCCATGTACTTTATGGAAAAAATTATGGCAACCTAAATTTTACAAGTGACCTATTATGCCTTTGAAGTTATAAATTTTGCTAATATTGTATCCCTTTTTATACTACTACTAACATTTTTTGATATTTTTAATATTTATGTGTAAGATATTCACTCAATACATGGTTAGTATTATCCTTAAATGAAGTTATAAATTTTGCTAATATTGTATCCCTTTTTATACTACTACTAACATTTTTTGATATTTTTAATATTTATGTGTAAGATATTCACTCAATACATGGTTAGTATTATCCTTAAAACAATAATTTTTATATTTTTCAACTATTTATTAAGTGTTTAATTAATCTAATTTTAAAATTTTAAATATTCAATAAAATAATTTTTACAAATGAAACATTTGATTAATATAATTTTATAAATAAAAGTATTCAATAGAACAAAACTTATCAATACCACAATTTTTTTAAGGTAAATTACGAGGATGAATTTTGCATTGGGCCGTGAAAGTGATGTTGGAATAGAGTGAACACGGACGTGTTTTTACCATGCTGAACAAATATCAACTGCTCATATGATCCTCTCGTGTTTGAGTTCATTCACCACACTTACAGCGTGGCAAGATGCATGATACTTTTTAAAAAAATAATAATAAAAATAAGGTCCATCATGTGTTTTTTCACAAAATTGAAAGTCGGTTAAAGTAAGAAAGGAAAACAGAATAAATTAACAGTGAACTAGCAACTTAAAAATGAAATTCTTTGAAACCAATATTATTCATACTACACAACCGGTAATCCGTTTGTACATACATATGAAACACATTAAGTTACAACTAATTTGGAGAAAGAAAATGCACCCTTGCAAGCGTATATTCCTTTCTAGCTATCCAAACACCAGTTTGTGACCATTGCACATCCTCCCAGTCAAGATTCTCCTCCAACACCTGTTTTTGGTATGAAAATGCGGCATTGGGAAAACATCAGCTAATTTACTGCTAATAGCGCGAATAGCTCTAGTATCATCTCAATAATAATGCTACCTCACAGAGCCTCATCAAATCAACATTACATGCAAGCAAATTAAATCAGCCCTAAAAAAAAAATCTATATGATATCTTTGTACCAAAACTTGGAGCAAATATAAATGAGAATTGCCATTACAATGATCATGAATCCGTTATTGGACTCAGTAACACATGTTTCTCCAATTTTCAATATTGTAGACAGGGTAGCATTAATAAATAGCATTTCTCAAGTATTTGACACTCTAATGAACCATGCTCCTCCTGAACAAAATGTTAAAAAGGGCAAACGCCAAGAATCAATGCAAACACTGCACCTTAGATAGAACATCATTTGAAAAGTCTAATAGGGAAACCAGCTTCAAATGTATGCCAGATATATGGTAGATATGCAAAATAGAAATCCATATTCGATTCACCCAGAGACACTATTATGAATACTAACACCTTCTGGAGTGACAGCTAACTGTTATAAACAAAAATAGCTATCGAGTTGAACTCCTACACAAGCAAGAAGAATTCATAATGTCAGTACCTCTACATATTCAAGGGGAAGTGGAATTCCAACAGACCGCATGATCTTCTGTGGGAGGGGTTTCTTGCACCGAGACCACCGAAATACATCAATTAGAATGTTATCAGAGTCATTTTTTTCACCATTCGAGGAATGAGGATGGTGATTATGAGGCTTCTCTGCCTCTTCATGTCCATGAATCAATTGAGTAGACTTCACCATTTTCTCTCCAGTAAAACAAAGTTCATACCTACAGATAATTGCTCAAAATTTTGAAACCAGAACATTGCGAAGAAGAGCCACATGGAGCCATATGATATCAGTAAGAAAAACTTACAACATAGAATGATGAATAATCTAAAAATAAAAATTGATAAGCTGTTTAAAAGAAAGTGCAGGTAAAAATAAAATAAGCAACAATTTCTGACTTTGAGACACCATATGACAACTTCTAGCCGGTGATAGAAACAAATCAGTGCAGTGAGAGAAAGGAAAACCCAATTATGCAAAATACAGAGAAATGAGAGAAAAAGTTATCTTTCATTCCTTTCCTTTTCTGGCACGTAGAATAGCTAAGAGCGAAGACACGCAAAAAACAATACAAAAACTAATAAGATTCACGAGAAAAGAACAAGAAAATTTAGTCTGAAGTCCCAGATGGAGCCTCATCATGCTAGGTATAGCACTAAGAATAAACTGGATACCTGCATGAATGTGTCTCTAAATACAAAACTTCTCCCTTCTTCAAACGTGCAGAAGTATACAGGGGCTTTTTCAGACCCTTGTCAGCAACAATACTGATGCTGTACTTTATCCTGGAAACATTTGCAAGTACGGAAACTCATGAGCAAGAGAGACACGAAAACTAATCAGCACACACAGAAATACCATTTAGAAGCAATTTAAACTAATACCCATTCTCCATGAAAATGATTAAATAGTGAAGATTTGGTTGAACTTCAATGTACAGTGTTCTAAGGTTTGGATAAAACAAGAATACACACATGCAACTATGGAAAAAAAACTAAACAAAAAAATAATATAATAAAAGCAAGAATACACACATGCAACTTATGGAAAAAAAAACTTAAACAAAAAAAATAATATAAATATATATATATATATATATATATAAACCCCTCTCACCAATGAAGAAAACCAAAACCACAGGTGATTATGGAAAGATATATAACCCCTCTCACCAATGAAGAAAACAAAACCACAGGTGATATGGAAGACTAGGTGGTTACCAACATCTATATTACTTTATCAAGTGTAAAATTAAACAGACATGGATATGGAAGGAAAAAAAGAAATCCAAAAAGAGGGGATTAAGACTCAAATAAAATCACTAGAAAACTGCAAATGATGTCTTAGAGGTGGGAAGGAGGGTTATCAACCTCACTAGTCATTAACTTTAATAAGCACCAGAAATCTAAGAAATTCAACAGCATCTACAATTAATAAGTTAAAAGCTTTAATAACAATATAAAGGCTACACATTAGAATTCAGTTCAAATTGACAAAAATAAATTCACAGTATACAGAGTTCAGAGTTGTTATAAAAGGATGCATTGCAAAGTAACTTCTCTTTTCTTTTACATTTTTTTTATAGTTGATAGGGGGAATAGAGTTGTAAACTTCACATTAATCACCTTCTGTGAAACAGAGAAGTAGGTGCATTGAAAGGAAGATCTATCGATTTGTAACACCAAGTGGTACAACCACCTGATTAATTCAGTTGATTAATGTCAATCAGAAAGAAGACATGGACAACAAAGAGTCTACTTTGCTCAAAACATTGCTGCACAACTATATTAATCTACTTCTAAGAATCTACAAAGATATCCAAACCCCATACAGAACTTTAGAAAACTATACGGAACAGAATCATGTATACCATGGCTCATTGCAAAGATTATACTGTATTGTAACTTCACGCACAAACCTCTGCTGCCGCAGTGCATTCTGAAAAAGGAAAGCCAGCATATGAGCTGATCAAATTTTCAGCATTTCAAAGTAGATATTGTACTTTCTCTCGAACCATAATAATGTTGTGAAATCATTGAATTATTTATTTCTCTTGAAATCTCTTCAATATTTATTTTATTTATTTTTACACGCGACTTTTTTTAGGGGGCCTGCAACGATTATGTGGCATAGGATTTATATCCCTGATGGAAAAAAAGGACAAAAAGGTACTTGCTGGTATTTTAGTAGTACAGAATTATTATATCAATCATTCATCACAAAATTAACAGGCATTGCAATATAAATTACAAAAAAAAAGATGTCTGCTTTATGTCTAGCTTTTATTACTTAGAATATAGGAAGCAAAAGTAGCTGTCTAGTTTTCTAAACAAAATAGTGCAATCACCATTATTTCCAATAAAAATGTTTGAGAGATGGGAAAAAGATTAAATAATGAATGGTTTCCAATAAGCACATCAGTGAATACAATTACTGATTTTCCTGTCATTTATTCTTGAGCTAAGTTCTGTAATTTTTTTCAAGAAGCATAAAGCATTTTGACTTTGCAATTTCCTATGCTTGCCAAGGATTGAGAGAACAAAGGAAGCAGCTTCTTTCAAATAACTACGTTGTCTATAAGAGACGACATGTTAAATAGAATTTGAAAGTTGCATTCTGCTAGATGGTGGTAGGCTGCAGAGCCACCTAACTTGAGTACTCTATACTTGCCATTATGCTTACAGATAGGGCAAATTGAAACATTACTTTTATAGTTTTACAACTATTTTATTTTTTTCGCAAAAAAAAAGGATAAAGATGATACACAGTGAAGTCACAGAAGAAATACTAAAGGTTTTTCAGTAAAAACATAAATCCAAGTATTACCGAAGCTGCAGCCCTTGTAGTCATTGTCCGCTCAACAGCCACAGGAGCAAGGGTAGGCTCCACTGCTGATGTGTGTGTGAGACAAGGCTCAAGATCAATGGTTCCACCTCCTTTCTGGAAAAAAAATAAAAAATAAAAAATAAAAAATAAAAAAAATCATATAAGGCATGACTTGATGTACAAGCCTAACTGTTATCGTAATTCCTCGAATTGTAAACAGCAGTTGTTATGGACTGCAGGTTTTGCAGTAAGCATATGATGATAACAACAAAGTTGATGATAAAAACAAAATTATTATGTGCAATTGTCTCCATAAAAAGACAAATAGTACTTGTCAAGACCTTTCAGAAAACATTTCAGAAAAAATGTGTTGGAAAATAACAAGGACTATTTTGCTACCTTTACAATGCAGCAGCGCTCAACACGGTAACTACAGCCAATTCCAGCTCCCCAGGCACGGGAACGAACATTATTTCTTAGCATCGAAGTATAGCCTGAAACATGTTCCCGAGCTATGATTTTAAAAAACATAAAAACAGAGCACAATTCATACTTAAAGATTAACAAAACTGCAAAACAAGAAGTCAATAATATACTTCATGTCTGTGATGAGACCATCTTTGCTATTTCTTTAACCGTGAACATTATTAGAGAGTACATCTGTGCTCTTTATTAACACGAACTTACAACTTATGCCCATGGCAATGATGTGTGTTAATAGTGATTCTCTTAGGACTGCACTTGAGAAGATTATAGAGTAATTCCATCTTGGTTAAGCACAAAGAATAATGTGGACCTTAGTGATACTAGCTTAAATTTAACTAGATGCTATAGTTATTGGACTAAAAACTATGATCAAACATCGGCAAGCTGGCCTGTTCTACTCTGAACTTGATCAGAGATATAAATGAAAAACACAACTGTAAAGCTTAACTATCATCAAGTCTGCGAGAAAGGCAACAGATGTCAGAAATTTTATTACAGCACTTCCAACTACAACCCTGTGGCCTAGAAAGTGCACATTTACTCGAATTGGTTCACTTGGCTTAAAACCTTAATTTCTTTTTAACAGTATACCTAAACTAAAAAAAAAAAAAAAAAATTGGTTCACTTGGCTTAAAACCTTAATTTCTTTTTAACAGTATACCTAAAAACTAAAAAAAAAAAAAAAAAAAATTACCCAAAAAACATATGAATGGAAACTTCGATTCTTTCTTTAGTGATCTCCATCATGGGGAAGAAAATAGGTAAGAGAGGCATGGGTTGGCAATCCCAATCGCTTTATTATGCCTTAATCTCTTTCCTTCCACGTTATAAACAAAATAACTAAAGATTGCGTGTTTAACAAGAAAAAAAAAAAAAAAAAAATACCCAAAAACATATGAAACTTCGATCTTTCTTAGTGATCTCCATCATGGGAAGAAAATAGGTAAGAGAGGCATGGGGTTGGCAGATCAATCGCTTTATTATGCTTAATCCTCTTTCCTTCCACGTATAACAAATAACTAAGATTGCGTGTTAACAAGTGAAAAATGAAACATTATTGAGATTGAGTGTTAACAAGTGAAAAATGCATACCAATGTAAAAGGAAAATGATGACCAAGAAACCAATAAAGTAAACCACAGGGAGGTAAATGAATTTCAAAATCATTAGGGGAACCACATGCATGCAAGTTCCTCTTTTGCCAGAAACAATGCAACCTTGTTATCAATTTCATACAAAGTTTTCTTATTCTTAAGATGAAACCAAGTAGCCAACGGGGGAAAAAAAATCGTTACAGATTGATGCCAGAAAGATTCTGATCATTAGACAGTTCATTAATAAGACATGATCCTTGACGGAATATAACCTTCCATAGTGTATTCCTGATTTCAAAAATCAATTAAATAACCAATATTCTGTACACTTGGCATTGAAATTTCATTGTTTAAATTATTAAAACAATGAACATATAAATAGATGTGGCAAATTTATCCAACAGAAATCCATGACTCACACCAGTAATCATGTCCACGGATTACCATGTTATAAATGGATGTTCTGATCCAATTTGAAATCCCAAAATTCCAAATAGGCAGAAAAGCCAGATTAAAGGAGCTTACTATCTTGTGGAGGCAATACTCGGATAGTAGCACGCAACTCTTGAATGGCAGATGGAGGAGGAGAAGCAGTGGGACGGCAGTAACCTGTGTGCATGAGAACTGCAACAAGTTGCAACAAGTGATTGTTTCTGTATCCCAGTAATATCAACAATCAACAGACTAGAGAAAAATTAATTGTACAAATTGCATCGTATCACCACATACCAGCAACAAGATCAGAGTCATCTGTGTATACATCTGTACCCCATAGCTGGCCACCCCTTACCTGCAATTGATGAGCTCAAATAACTTAAACGGATGCATAAACATGGTTATAAGAAGTAAAGAGCAAGCAGGAGGAGACAGATTGAGCAACTTCAATTGATGGCCAAACCAGTGCAACCCTATAAACAAAAATGCTACTATTGAAGATTAGAGCAAAAGAACCACAAACATAAGGACAAGGAATAGGAACATGCAACAAACAGTTTACGTCAGTCTTTACTTGGTGAACAATAGTTCATTGGTTGAATTAGAAAAGAGCCATTATGTAAGGGAATTTAAAGGATCCTTAGATTAAATGCCATTCCAAAGGAAGACTCCTGAATATGCAAGAGTAACAACCATAGCTGCTGTTACATAAAAATACCAGCACTTCTCCCCTCTTATGAAAAGGTTAAAAAAGCATGCTTATAGAATAAGCATGAGAAAAGCATCAGCAACATGACACATAAAACAGCAGGCTCTTACTTGGCGATTTGTAGCAGTAACATGCTCTGCTGGTATCCTAATTTCAAGTGTGGGACTGTTAAGAGTACTTTCACCATTTTTTTCAACCTGAGATGATTCATATTCCTCCCACAACTTTATCAAATCTTGCATGCATTCTCCAACTTTATAAACAACGGAGGACACCTCGGATTTGCCTGAAGCACCAACAACTATTGAATTTAACAGTTATAACAAAGGAACTATGTAACTCATAAAACTCTAATGCTTGCAAATTTTCTTTTTCCCCTACCCATCATCAAGTGCAAATTGATCAATATTTACTATGATAAGCATAGTTCAGAACAGTACGCACCACGTATCGTGACCAAAAAATCCAAGCACTAGTAGACACTAGATGAGGACTTTTTTTGAACAAGAAAAAAAATATATAGGTGCAAATTATCCTTCCAAGGAGTTCTGGTGATGTTATGCTACTTCTCTGAAAAGCTAATTAAGCAACTTATTAACAAGCTCAAGGAAATCACATAAGGTAATGTCTATTTAGAGAAGAAAAAAAAAACATTATGGAAAAAGGTAACAACTAAATTTTCAGCATATTTAAGAAATTTGGCTTGTGATGATATAGTTTTCATAATTGCTTAGTACCTTCATATCAACAATGATAATGACTATATAAATTAGCATGCTGACTTCCAACGGGAAAAGAAAATATGAGTGAGATCATCTGCAGTGCCAATTATCAAATAGTCGCCTCCAAATTGCAACATGCTTGAAACCTTCCCCGGGCAAAGTTACTTTTATCTTAGCTTACATCCAAACTAATTTTAGTACCAAAACTAGAAATATATGTCAAAAATTTAATTTGAAAGACATGAAATTGGAGGCTTGGAGTTGTACAGACAAAAGTAATTTATGATAAAACTAATATCAGGACAACGATTCACAAACTCCTATTAACCACTTCATGCAAATAAAGTTCTGGCCCAATCAAATGATATATAACAGCTCACCTTGGGACCTGCAAAATAAAGTGGTAAAGGATAAGAATAGAGTTAATCAAACATTTAAAATGAGAAGAAAGAGAGATAATCTATACCAAGTCATTAATCTCTAAAGTATACAAATTCAAGAATGCGAACATGAACTTCTGAAATTCAATGCACATGGTAACTACACATTTGAAAAACAGCAATCTTTCTCTTCAAAATTATTCACAGTTAATTATAACGTAAACTTATATATACCATTCTAGCTATAATACAAACATGGTGAAGAAGTAACTCTTAGAACAAGTGTTATGATAACAAGAAAAATGAACCAATGCAATTACTTTGTAAGTTAGTTCCATATGGAATTTGTTTAGAAATAAAATGATATGATTGCTTTCAAACCATGAGTCATAACAAATACTCCAAAGGAAATAAAATACGTTTTCATTCCTTATGACAAAATTCTCAAAGGTTATTCTCACATCCCACTATATTTTAAAACCTAAAAGTTCCAATACTTGTGGCTTATTCCTGTGACTTCTGGGGGAGGAAGCATTAAGTGAACCAATAAGGATTCCAAACCTAGCTTTGATTATAACAGGCAATGTGTGCAAATTGAGTATATTAAAGTACATATCTACATGATACACAAATAGCAAATTCAATCATCTGGCAAAAATGCTTCAAAACAAATCCACGTATGAGAAACTAAGACAAACCCTTCATTGTCCTGAGTACGAGACCTAAAACGGGGCTCACGATTTGGCACTTGAGGACTGCCTCTGGGCCGAAGCATCCTCTTCCGTTGCTGAACTCCATAGTTAAAAACTTCCCTTTCCCTTTCTGCAGGCCCATCACCACCATCTGCAAATCCATCATCTGATTCTTTGTCATACAACCTGCTGTGCTTCTCAGGCCTATCTGCTTCCATGTCAGCATCTCTTTCTTTCCGCCTATCTCTAGCTTCTCTATCAACATTTTTCCAGCTCTCAAGATCTTTTTGTTTCTTCTGCTCCGAAGTTGGATTTTCCTGCTCTGTCACTCTGCCAGATCCATCCCCCGATTCTTTCTGATTGTCCAGAACCTCTTTCTCTACTCCATTCCATGATTCTCTCTTGGTATGATCCTTTTCTCTCTCTTTTTGCCTTTCCCTGTCCTTTGAGAGATCCTTCCTATCCCTCTCCCATCTCTCTGCTTCCCTCTCTTCCCTAGCTGATTCTTTTCCCTCCCCACTATTATTAACTACTTGAAGATTGCTCCTACGATCGCTTCTTTCCTTGTCTCTATCTCCCCATTCTCGATGTTTTACATCTTTCCTTTTCCTATCTTTATCTTTAAATCTATCCTCACCTTTGAAATCAACTTTGTTCTCACCAACAGCCTCATGTGTTTCTGCATAATCCCTCTCTTCAATTGTTGAGCCTTCCTTCACAATCTCAACTGGGCCTAGGGAGTTACCGCGTGACATATGCCACGGATCCACATGTCCACCAGGGAATTCAGTATATCTCTTTCCTCTATGATATTCTTTTGATTCTTTCCAATTTAACTGACTAGTTGTCACACTAAAGCCATCCTTTTCCATCTTTACGTCATTCTTTGGATCATTATAAGCATCCTTCTCATATTTTATTTCCTTGTTATCATCTGCTCTACTCTCAAATCTTGAATCCTTGTCAACTTTGGAACTTTGGGAATCCCTCTTTGCCTCACTGTGCATCTCTCTTGCTTCAGTCCTCAGATCTCGGCTTTCAACTCTGTGGTCCCTGCTGTCCTTGGAATCTCTTGATTCCAGCCTGGTTTCAGAAGCAACAGAATGAGCATCCATATGCAAATCATTTGAGGATGAAGACACTCGATATATTGAATGCAAAGGTGATCTCCTATCAGCATCGCGAGATTCAGTACGGGGAATTTTTGCAATCCGAGCATCTGAAGCTATCTCATAGGAAGGATGGTATTCGGTTGAAATCCCAGATGTCAGCTTAGGATATGAGCCTGATTCTTCGTGCGGGTACTTTGATGAAGATGAGTGAACACCCTCATCGTGAGATCTTTTTGGAGCATTACTCATTGCAGACAATAAAATATATAACTATACGACTAAATTAAACTAGTAGGAAGTGAAATGCTAAGCGCAGAAAAGACTATCCGGTCTTTTAACCTCTGATAAATAGAGCATTTGCCAATTGCCACTGCAAAACAAGAAATAAACTTTATGAGGCAACGGAATACACATGGAAAATAAAAGAAGTATAAATTATAAAGCTTTAAAATTAAAAAAGAATGAAAATATGTGAGAGGTCCAGAAAGCTTAATCGGAAAAAAATAAAAGTAAGACACAGATTCTTTACCCAGAAGAGAACAGGAGGAATGAAATAATTGAAGTGCAGATAACAACACACACAAAAATAAAACTCGATAATTATAAAAAGATGAGAAATTAAAGGTCAATATATTTATAGTTTTACACAATCTGAACTAATGATTATAGTTTTACACAACCTAAGAAAGGAACCAACTTTCGCAAGGTACGTTCAAATAACCTAAACAATTAACAGTAGGAAGATGAAATAAATCACCGAGAAAAGAGAAAAAAACGATGCCAATGACAAATTCAGACACTCTGAATCAAGCAGCACTTAACCAATTCCTAGATCTTTCTTTAAAAAAAAAAACATTTACACAATTCAAATTTGAGAAATTAACACAATTAAACAAAAATAAAAAGTGCGAGAAGCTTCATTACCTTCTCCGATACTCTCTCCACCAAATAGTACGCCCTCGTTGCACCTCTCTCTCACTTGGTGTGTCTTTTTACGGTTTGTGTCCGTGCGCAGTTCCCTTTCTCGTTTAAACTGCCAATAAAATTGCGAAGTGCTTGCGAGTTCGCCAATTTCTTGTTAGGGCTGCTAAGCTTTCAGCCCATGGACTGTTTTGTTGATTGGAGAGGCATCGAGCCCGTCTTCTCTTTTATTAACCAAACCGACTTCGCTAAACTATAAAATAACTTTAAATGATGTTAGTTTATGTTATTATTACTATTAAACATTGTTTATTGTTTTTCCTAAAGAAAAAATAAATAAATAGAGATAAAGATACGTGGTTTCCATCTCTCTTTTCTTTTTTTCTTTTTTTTTTTTTTTTTTTTTTTGTTATTTATTTACTATTAAAACATTGTTTTATTTTTTTCCTAAAGAAAAATAAATTAAAGAGATAAAAGATACGTTGGTTTCCATCTCTCTTTTTCTTTTTTTCTTTTTTTTTTTTTTTTTTTTTTAAAATCAAAATCCGATCAGTAAAACACAACAACCCCTTATGAATTTTTTTTTTTTTTTTTTTTTTTTTTTTTAAAATCAAAATCCGACTCAGTAAAACACAACAACCCTATGAAAGAGAGCTTCAGCACTCGCCGGACTGTGCCTCAAGTTGACAGACTCATGGCTACCAGGTAAGAATGCTTTCCAACTCGAATTCTTTTCTATCCGTTCATCTCCCTGATCAACAATCTTGCTAAAATAAATGAACAAGCAGGCAGTTGAGGGTTTTCAAGCGGTGGATGATCTCCCAAGGCATCCGATGGAGCAGCGACGCTCTCGAGTTCATCCACACTCCCGAACAAGGCATTTCCGTGAAAGCATTGAGAGATTTGAGGGAAGGAGAGGTGGTTGCCACAATTCCAAAGTCCGCCTGTCTGACCATCAAAAACAGTGGAGCGTGCGACATTATCGAAGCCGCCGGTTTGGGCGGTTGTTTGGGACTCTCTGTGGCGCTTATGTATGAAAAGAGCTTGGGGAACGACTCGCCCTGGGCTGCCTACTTTCAGCTCTTGCCGGACAGAGAGAGCTTGCCCTTGGTTTGGACTCTTGATGAAGTCGATCAACTTCTTTTCGGCACTGAGCTCCACAAGGTAATACACTCTAAATTTGCAACTTTTCTTCTATATGCCCTCTCTAGTATTACTAGCGCTATTTTTTTGGTTTATTTAGGCTAGCAAATATTTGCATCATTTCGCAATGCCACTGCCTTTGTAATTTCTTCTACTCTTGTAGGCAGGTTGTGAAAGAAGACAAAGCCCTTATATATGACGATTGGAAAGAGAATATACTGCCTCTCGTGGATACGGGACATTTTGTTCCACATTTCTTTGGTCCTGAGAACTATTTTGCTGCAAGGAGTCTTATTGCTTCTCGTTCTTTTGAGATAGATGACTATTATGGGTCTGGGATGGTTCCTTTGGCAGACCTGTAAGTGTGCCTACTTCTGAAGGCGCTTAATTCTCGTATTATCATTCTAGTGCTGTCGTGGATGATTTGTCAAGTGTCTTAGGATATGGATAGGTTCTTACCACTGGTAGTTTATTGCCATGATCGATATATAGAGTTATTCTTCCTTTAATCTTTGTTCTGCCTCCAACATATACAGATTTAATCACAAGACTGGAGCAGAGGATGTGCACTTCACCTCGGGGTCTTCTGATTCTAAATCTGATGATGATGACAAAAGCAACACCAATGGTTGTTATACTGAAAATACTGTTGATAAGGAACCATCAAGTGCACTGGGATGCGAATTAGACGATCCCAGATTGTTGGAAATGATAATGGTGAAAGATGTCAAGGCCGGAGCTGAGGTCACTATTCTCTTCTTTCTGTCTTTATGTGTTTATTTTTCTTCCCCAGAATGCACCTATGTTTCTGATTTACAAATATAATATATTCCTGGCATTTCTATAATATCAAGTGTTATTCCTATTTTAGCATTTCTAATATCTGGAATTTAAGGTTTCAGTTTCATAAACTCATTTCTTTGAATAATTGGGGGAATCTGTTTTCTTGATTAATAACATGATTCAGGAAATATGGGTCTTGGATGATTTGAGTGTTGACATTTACACTTGAAAATTAGAACACAGATCTCTCATTTGAAACTAACATATGGAACTTTTGAACTACATGTACTTGGCATTGTAATGTAACGGAGCAATTCCAGAGTAACCTGAAGTTTATATTTGATTTGTTGGTTTAGTGTCAATGATAAATTGGTTGGTCGTTGATTGAATAACTAAGAATTCAGTTTTCCCAGTTACTTCTACTCTGAGACATACCTGAATCAATATCAATTTGCCTCTAATAGGAATGCTTACTAGACAGGGGCCTTGATGGTGTTTAATTTTCTTAACTGCAAGAACAGAAACTGTTCATTTCTGCTTGTCATGAAGGGTATTGTGCTCTACTTTGACTGCCTTATGAAATGATTTTTTCATTTTAAGTAATTCTACGATTACTGTAGGGCCAATGTCTTGATGTAGGAAAAAGCTCTTCCATATCTGTTCTTTTTAATACTCTTTTGATCTCATCTCAGGTCTTTAATACATATGGGTTAGTAGGTAATGCTGCATTGCTTCATAGATATGGTTTCACAGAGCCAGATAATCCATATGACATTGTCAATATTGATTTGGAGTTGGTACTTAAATGGAGTTCATCACTGTTCTCTGGCCGTTATAGCAGAGCAAGGCTGTCCCTTTGGAGAAAATCAGGTTATTCTGGATGTGTTAGTCAGAATGCTGAATACTTTGAGATCTCATGTAATGGAGAACCACAAATTGAGTTGTTGATTTTATTGTATATAATGTTGTTACAAGAGGACGAATATTGCAAATTGGATCTAGCTGTTTCAACTGCAAATAACTATAAGGAATCCATCAGCATGATTTTGTCAGAAAAATGCAATATCACATGGCTTAAAAGGTCAGAAGCTAATAAAGGTTTCTTGCTGACAAAAAGTGTTTGTAGTGCTCTTCTGTGGCTTGCTGACAGAAGGGAGAGTTTTTACGGTTTAAGTTCAATGAAGGATGATATTGAAGCTGCAAAAACTTGTAGCAAGGAAGAAAGAAAGTTGTACCATTCTCTGATGTTACGTTTGAGTGAGAGGAGGATTCTTGGGAAACTTAGAGCTTATGCTGCTGTTGCTACTGAATCATTGAAAAATCCAAAGAAAGCATCCAAGAGAAAGAGATTGAAGAGGACTTGAGGTAAAATAATCTCTATTTTGTTTGTTTTTTTTTTTTTTTTTTAAGAAAGCATTCCAAGAGAAGAGATTTGAAGAAGGACTTGAGGTAAATAATCTCTATTTTAGTTGTTTTTTTGTTTTTTTTTTTTTTTTTTTTGTCTTATGCAAAATAAAGTGTTTTGAGGGAAAGCCTCTGTGCCTGCTTTTTTGTGGCTGGATGATTGCCTCTAAAATGAGTTGTGCAGCCCTAATGAATGACTGGAAATTGTGTGGATCATTCTAGCATGATAATTGGTGCTAGGTGGTATTTGCGCCTGACATCACCTGAAAGAAGTGAATTCTTTTGTTAATATTGATACTATTTTCATACATCACATGACTTTTATTTACCATTTTTGTACACATTTGCAACTCCCAGCTTGATTTCATATAGGAAATTTGTTTGATGACATACATAACAAGCATGTAATGTAATAGGAAATTTGTTTCTGTAAAATTCATGGCAAACTCATTTGCTGTTAGGTTGATTGCCAGGCTCTGTGTGATATCCTCAATTATGGGTGCTATTTTACAGTCTGTGTGGAAATGGGAGGCATTCTGATATGACACTGGAGAATATGGTAGAATGCCGGAATCTAATTTAAAGAGTGCTTCTACTTCTTCTACGCCTGTTCTACATTTTCACCTTGTAGAGATCGTGATTCCTGTTTTGAAAGGGAAATGAGAACTTCCAAGTTAGGAGAGGGTCTTTCTAGAAGAGATATCTGCGGGAGCTAGCTTTCGGGTTGCATTATTTTCAAAGATGGATTGTTAAATAATCAGGGATTACATCTTTTTCTGGCTCTCCTATTTTGGTTGCTTGCGGCACCTTAGACTCCAGAGTCCAGACTGCGAGTGTCTTGCTCTTGCATGTTTTAGCCACACTTACAATAACGAGTGCATACGGTCTCACTTGTATGCATGATATTCTTGATTCTTGAATGTTAGAAATTCGATGAATGGCCTCCTTCAAGATTAAATGCATAACACTTAAATTTTATAAGAAAAATCTAGAGGTGCACTCAATTTTTATATTGATTTACTAAACTTTTAAACTTATAAAATAAAATATAATTGAATGCTTTAACTTGCAAAAAAAATGTGCTTATTGATCATTGCTTAAATGGTTAAAAAATTGAATGTTTCAAAAAAATTTTATTGGATGTATTATCATGGAATGGCGGTATCTGGGCATGTGCATACTGGCGTGTTTGGTAGTGTGTTGATCAGTATTATTGTAATCCACCTAGAATTTTATTTATAGATTTTTTTTTTTTTTTTTTTTTTTTTAATCCAACCTAGGAATTTTATTTACTAGATTTTTTTTTCTTTTTTTTTTTTTTTAGAAAAGCGTTTAATTCGGACAAGAAATCGAATGACCTAAAAATCCTGATTCTGTTACGTGGATGTTCCCTTATTTGACGCGGAACTAAACTAACACCTCTTTAGTCTACGTTATCGATTTGACTTTCCATTAACTTAATTAAAATCATTTTTAAATAATTTGTATTACATTTTTCTTTGTTCTACTTACGCATGTAGTGATCGTACGGGGCGCAGACCGGACTCTCGCCGCGTATCGCTCGCCGGCCCTCCAGCGTCAGCCTATTCCTGAGTACTCGCGGGCGCTCGCATGCCCGGTTCCTCCAACTTGACGGCTGATGGGGCATACACGCATGAGTGGATCCTAGAGCGGTGACGGCAATGTGTCTCCCGTGTCGATACACCGACCTACTCTTCCCCTCCTCTTGATGGTAGCACCAGCCGGCAGTGCTGCGTCAGCAGGCTGCACGGCCGGCTTTATTAAATTATTAACAATTAGATCTAATTAATGGTTGAGTTTGGTAACGAACCGCGTCAGCTCTGGTTTTTTTATGTTAGAATGACGTATAAATCGATTGATGTCTAAACACAAAATTTTGAAAAAGAACCCAGCCCAATTTCATTCTCTCTGGTTTCTCTTCTTCTTTGTGAATTGATTTTTTGCGGTCGAAAAATTTTTTTTTTTTTTTTTTTTTTTAGAAAAGGTTTAATTCGACAGAAATCAATACCTAAAATCCGCTGATCTGACGTGGATGTTCCCTTATTTGACGCGACTAACTAACATCCTCTTTTAGTCTACGTTATCGATTTGACTTCATTAATTTTAATTAAAATCATTTTAAATAATTTGTATTACATTTTTTTGTTTTTATACTTTATTAAATATTAACAATTAAGATTAATAATGGTGAGTTGGTAACGACGGTCAGCTCTGGTTTTTTATGTTAGAAACTATAAATTCGATTGATTTCTAAACAAAATTTTGAAAAAGAACCCAGCAATTTCATTCTCTCTGGTTTCTCTTCTTCTTGTGAATTGATTTTGGTCGGAAAAGAAAGATTGGAAAATGGCTGTGAAGCAAACGTTTTACTTATCTCACGGGTCGCCGATGATGTCAATAGACGAGAGCATACAGGCAAGACATTTTTTCCAATCGTGGCGACACGAAACATATAAAGACAGGCCAAAGGCCATTCTTATGGTCTCCGGCCACTGGGATACCCGTGAACCAGCCGTTAACGTCGTTGACCGCAACAACACCATCTACGATTTCTATAACTTCCCCGACGCCATGTACAAGGTACTCGTTTTCTATTTCTTCAACTGCATTTATCTTTGTGCTTGAATTTTGATCGAGACGTGTAATGATTTAGATTGATTGATAATTGATGGTTATGGCTCAAACGCAAAGGTTGTTCCCGTTTAAAGATTCCAATTTCTAACAAAAGCCTGATTGAGCTCAACAAAATGTTTCTAATTCTAATGTTTCAAACAAATTTTGGCAGCTCAAGTACCCAGCGCCAGGAGCTCCGGAGTTGGGGAAGCGGGTGAAGGAACTGCTATTGGCATCCGGCTTTAAGCATGTTCATGAGGATAAAAAAAGGGGACTTGATCATGGTGCCTGGGTTCCATTGATGTTCATGTATCCGGGGGCTGACATCCCAATTTGTCAGCTTTCTATTCAATCAGGTCAAGATGGTACTTACCATTATAACATGGGCAGGGCATTGGCCCCTCTCAAGGAGGAAGGCATCCTCATAATTGGATCAGGAGCTACTACTCACAACTTGAGGGACATTTACCCTAATGGCGCTCCTACTCCTCCTTGGGCTTTGCAGTTTGATGCCTGGCTTAAAGATGCTCTTCTTCAAGGAAGGTACATCATTTTTGTCTCAAATAATGTTTGTATCATTTTAATTTTGGCTTAAAGATACTGCTACTACCTCATTTGAAATTTCAACTTGTCTTCCTTTCTAACTTTCTAATAGTCTATAATCATGCCCTTTTTGAATACGCGTTTGATAGTCAATACTTCAAACTCTGTTTCTGAGTAAGAGTTTTGCACACGAGGATGCCAAGTCAATTTAGATCAATTTCTTCTTTCAGATTTTCAGCAGCTCTCTACTTCTCGAGGGCATCAAGTTTTAGACTATTGGACCTATTCGCTTCCATATATAGTTTCAACTTTGCTAGTTACTTTTGTGCAGATACGAAGATGTGAATCACTTTTATGCGAGGGCACCTCAGGCAAAAAAGGCTCATCCTCATCCAGACCACTTTTACCCATTGCATGTGGCAATGGGTGCTGCAGGTGAAAATGCCAAGGCCAAACTTGTGCATCACAGCTGGAGCAATGGTTCCCTTTCTTATGCTTCTTATCAGTTCACTGCTGCCGAATGAATGTGCTACACTGCTTTGTTAATTCTCCATTCGCAGAGCAATAAAAGCCATAATGCTGAAGTATAAACTCCTGTAACTACTTCTAAGATGTTGTTCATATACAAATTTGTGCTTATATTATGATTTGTGCTTTGTTATTATTTTTATGTCACATTGCTATGATCCTCAATGCATTCATTCTGAAATGAGAGTTGTATTATATGCTGCACTATACATAGTGTGGTTGTTTCAAATGAAGTAGCAATTGGACTCTTGTAAGATGGATACTGAGCCTTGGCATCTCCACTTTCTTTGCGGCTTGATTTATTTTGCATCCGTCTTTGTCCTTTGGAACCGTTCCTTCCTGAATGAAAATCTTTCCTAAATTTTCTGGACTTCTCCTACTTGCTACTTGTGATGAGCCTGTATACCAATAAGCTTTTAGGTTCCATACCTGAAGAAGCCGGACTGATGGGAAATCTTACTGAAGCTATGTTATGTAACAAACATGGTATGTGACCAGCTTAATCTCTTGGTTCTTCCTAACTGCATTGGCAATACTACAAATTTGAGCACTGTGTGATTTGGCTGATCAATTATTTCTGATTTAGCAATTCTGAAATAGCTGTACTCATATGTCAAGCATTTAAGTAGAAATAAATGACTCCACTGCTGGATATAACAAGGAAGTTTCAAAAGCAAAGCTCTAGTGACAATTTCCAAGCGGTTGAGCTTGGCAAAAGATAACGCTTTTTGATAAAGTAAGCAATTTTAGTGTGTGAAAATTAAAATTGATGAGACACCATTACATTAGCGGGATAATGGAAAAGGACAGAGAGGCTACCATTACCTCAAAAACTTTATCTACTTGTTTTGCAAGAAACGTCTAAACCGTACAGAGGTTAGATGTTTAGATGTCTATTCTATATGAAGTAGGTTGTTCTATGAAGCTTCTAAAAGGAAATCAAAACTAGAAATCAAATCGGACCAGTCCTTGATTATATAAAGAAATCAGTTGTATTTGATTTAGGTGTTAAAAAATTTCAGTTTTATTGACTTTGATCGGTTTGGTCTGTCAAGGCCGAACTAACTATTTACAATAGTCCCATACTTAACTTCAAATATAAGAACAGTCTGGAGCCTACGCAGATTGAATATAAAGAATATAAGCAACAGGTAGAGCACAATCCATTGTTAATTTTACATAAAGAAAGGACAGTACTTTTGGAAAGTAATTAATTGCTTGTTGGATTGATGATGAATTCCCTGAAAGCATCCAATGCAGCTTCAGAACTTGGTGGAAAACCATCATCTTTCAATTTTGCCTTGATAAGCAAAACCCTCTCATGCATCTCTTTATCTTCCATTATCTTTTCAATTCCTTTCACTATGTCATCTTTGTTGACCATTTCTGCTAAATCATCAGCGACCCTATACCCTACCTTCAGATAACTGACTATCAACTTAGCATTATAGTATTGGTCTCCTCTAATGGGCCAAGCCAAGATGGGCACTCCGACCCCAATTGCCTCCATAGTGGAATTCCACCCGCAATGTGATAGAAATCCGCCCGCTGACCTGTGGCCCAGTATAAGCAGTTGTGGTGCCCATCCATATATTATCAAACCTCGATCTCCCGCCCGCGTCTCCAAGTCTAACCCACAGCTATCATAGCCTTTTCCCGTTTGTATGACCCATATAAATGGGCGGGTCGACTCTTCTAATCCGCTGGCCAATTGTTGATATTCCTCCATAGTAGGACCCACCTCGCTGCCAAAAGCGACGTACAGTACTGATCCACGTGGCTTCGACTCTAACCATCGGAACACCTCATCCTCCGTAAAATTGGATTCCCGTTTATGATCCCCAATTACACCGTCGCGAATAGAATCCGACGATGTTGAACCCCAATATATTTCCGGCAAGAGTGGGCCTACACCCCAAGCCGGAAGGCCCGTCTGATCCTCCATGTATTTGATAAACAGACCGTCAATGTCATCGCACGTGTTAAAAATCAAGCCGATTGAGCCTTCAATTTCAGGGACCCATGGAGGCCGGTCGCCGGGCCTAGGTGCACCCCGTCTACCCTTGCCTGCAGGCATAAACACTTTTCTTTTAAGATCGGAATCAGTAATCGCCATCTCTTGAGGTAATCCAGGGACTAAACGGGCTTCACTGGGCAGAAGGTCTCCAGCTTGGACCTTCCAAGCTCCCCACTCCATGGCGGCAGCACACGCGCCAAAAGTAAACAGGCTTATCACAGGAATACCAAATTTCCAAAATGCTACTTTTGTCCATCCCATTTGGAAGTCAACAACAGCGCAGAGAGGCCGAGGCGAATCTGAAATATGGCACCTGTTAGCGAGGTGTGCGTGGAGGTCGTGGGCAGACTGCGGGCTGAGAGGGCCAGAGGGAGCAATAGGAAGAACGCAGGCAAGGGGGTTTCGGATGAAAGAGGAAGGAATGGCTGAGGAGAGAGAGGAAGAGATAACCAGAGTGGTATGGAAATTCCGTTTAGCGAGACGGTAGCAGAGCTGGATGCAGGGATGGAGATGGCCATGGCCATGACCTGTCACGACAAAGATCTCACCTTCCATGTTTGCAGTTAAGTTCCTGAGTTTTGTTAGCTCTGGGAATTCAAAAAGCTCAAATCATGCACCAAGCCACCAATTCAGAACTAATAAACCAAACCAAAAAGCTTTAATTTTAAAAAAGTAAAGCAATATACTGTACTTTATCTATCTATTAACATTTAAACTTTAAACTAGTTTTACTACAATAGGTGGACACAATGCAGGCAGCAAGTTATGGAACTTATAACATGTATAATTGCACTCACAATACTGACCAAAATGATACATCGCATCGCAGTTGCTTAATTAGAATTGTTTGTCTTTTCCTCTGCATGGCACTTGCAAGTAACAAGTAACAAGTAACAAGTAATAACAGCAACCTAAATGATACATCAGAATAAATGGCACACTTTTACTGCCCAGCCTTAAAAGGTAGCTGATGGTTGCAAGTGCAAGCGAAGCAAAGCAAGTCTTCTCAATTTTTAATTCTATCCCTAAAACTCTGTCTTCACATTTATCCCCCTGCAACTCTCTCTCTCAAAATAAATTAGTTAGAACCAATATCCACCATTAATCACTTTAATCACTTCAACCCTCCGCCACTCATTCAATCAGCAATATTTTACATAAGCTCTAGCTCGTTGCTTCTCTTGCAAAATAACCCTCTACAACCTATTTCTTCAATTTTCTATCGCATTAGCTCCTTCTCTCTCCATAAAAGCAGACTGAATGTGTATCCTGCCAACAGAAACATTTAAGCTGGACATCTTCCACTGAGTATTCAATGCTCGCTTAATTTCTTGAATTTTTATAGGTCCGCTTTCATTGATCATTTTCATCTTAGCCTTGTTCTGTTACATTTCACTTCTACAGATACCGCCTCAGTCCTTTTGTTTCTTTTGTACCAATTTACAGAGAGCAAAAACAGAAAAGTTTGCATCTTTTAAAGATTATAGGCCTTCGCATCAACTTTGAAAGAGGGAGAGCGAGGATGAATTGATAACGTCCAGAAAAAGTACACATTGATTTATTATTATGGAGAGAGAAAAAGAGATGAATAACTCAAGCCCACAAAAGGACATTCCATTCTCAAGAAATGGCGGTTATGCAAGAGCAGAAAATGGCCGCATTATAGCTACTTCATCAGTATCCCAACCAACCTCCGGTGGAAATACCCCTTCAATCCTGCTGGAGGACCAAAGCCCCTTCAAGAAAGTGGTGAGTTACAAGGAATGCCTCAAGAACCATGCAGCAGCTATAGGTGGGAATGCAACAGATGGGTGCGGTGAATTCATGCCAAGTGGTGAACAAGGCACCCTCGAGGCCCTCAGGTGCTCAGCCTGCAACTGCCACAGAAACTTTCACAGGAAAGAGATAGATGGTGAGCATTCGTATCACTCTCCTATGATCTCTGGCTACAATCCTGGAAATACACTCGTCTTAGGCCATCGCAGCCGACCACCACAAGGATATCTTATTAATCCCTTGCTTTCCTCAAGGAGATCGCCAACTCCGCAGATGATAGTATCCTACAGAAGCGGTTCAGTCCCTTCAGAATATGATGAGAAGGGTAATGGTGATGATGATGGAGATGGAGCAGTTGCAACTAGTCCAGTTGAGAAGAAGCCGAAAAAGAGATTCAGGACCAAGTTCACAGAAGAACAGAAGCAAGAGATGCTCAACTTTGCAGAGAAGGCTGGATGGAAAATGCAAAATCTGGAAGAATCTGCTGTGCAGCGACTTTGCCAAGGGATTGGGATTAAGAGGAGAGTTTTCAAAGTATGGATGCACAACAACAAGCACCAGTTTGCCAAGAAAAACTCCTCACCTAATTAGAATCAGAGCACTTTCTTTTTCACTTTACGATTTATGCTTCCACATGCTCTTCATATTGTGTTTTACGCTTTCCTCTTAATTGTGTTTTCGTTCTTTAAGACTATGTGCTTTGGTGGCATGTGTAATAGTCTAGATTTCCGGCTTGAATGTGCCAGAATTTTGAGTAATGGCACATATCCACGATTACGCAGTCAAGAAAGTTTATTTCTACTTCATGACATAACTGGTTGAATCCAGGAAAAGCTCTAGCTACACTAGTCCTCTATGTACGTTTTCATGTTGTTTCTTTTTAATGTTTGGGCGGAACAAATAAAGATGCCATTGCGGTTTTACACGTACACGTTGAACATGTTTGTTAGCTTCTGTGGTGCATGCATGGAATAGTCATGATCATGATCTTATAACCCATAAGATTTTGCAATTCAAAACCTCGGGTCTCATTTGATTTTACAGATCACTAATTCGCACTGTTGGTATGCATGAATAAATGCTTCGATTGCAGGACGTTGTAATCGTTAGTAAGTACCTACCAAATTAAATTTTTGCATATAAGAATCGTCTAAACAACCCCAAAACATATTTATTATAATAGTTGAAAAAGATGCAAAAGCATTTGCTGGTCAAATTAACGCTCAACTACTTGGATTACTTACCGACTATATTTCTGATCATTGGAATTTTAAGGTTGGCAGGCAATGCCATGTCCAATCCAAAATGAAGGAGAATATAATGAATGCCAAGGGAACTACTATAGCTTAAGGTAATCACAATCAAATAAATGTCTCATCCAACAGCTTAATTTGGTACTTATAGCAAGCATTCTCTCTCTTTTTTTAACTGAATAAAAGAAAAGGAAACATTGAAAAGAAGAAGGGACCTTATTTTCTGCTACAAAGTTGGATTATATGCATTAGCATCCCATAAAGGGTAAAATTAAGTTACTTGATCGGTGTATAGATAGAAATGAATGAATAATTAAGTCATTAAGCATAAGTAGGATGCATGTGCAGAAAGAAACTTTTTACTAATCCTAATTATTTTTGGACTTGACACATATCTAACTTCAACTTAATTAAACTTAGGATACCTGGGTCAAATTAAAGAAAGTATTGATAATATATATGGCTAAGTAGAATTAGGGGTTATAATTATGATAAACATAGGCACTAATTGATGCTTCCATGATCCTAATTTTAATACATTAATGCACTCAATTCCAATTTTTCTTTACCATATAATATTGGACGGTGGATTTGCTTGACTGCTAAATAATCTTAATTTCTTTTCTTTGTTCTATGTCTTAATGATATGGTTCATGCTAACACCGTTTAAAGTATTCATAATACATGCTTTACGCTTGGATAATGATGTGAGCCTATTAGTAATTGATTAATTGTGGTCTCATCTAAGGGAAAGTGACAATAATAAAAAATTAAGATAACCGAACATTTTTCTTTTTTGAGCGAGATCGAGAGTTAGATCTTTATATGTAAAGTAAATATTCAGTAGGAGAACTTTACTTCTTAGTGGATCAATCCGGTCTAAAAACCAAGTTGGCTGGAGATACCTACATTTAAAACAAATAAAAAATAAAAAAAAAATAAAATCAGAATACGATCACAAGTTTACTGTTCTGCTGCACTTAGGAATAAAGAAACAAGACACCTTGTTAGTGAATTGCTGCATTTAGGAATAATTAATAAAGAAAGAAGACACCTTATTGGTGAATTATGGAGGGAGAGCGGCTAAGCCTAAAGGTATGTTTAGCATTTTATTGAAGGAAAATGTTTATTACAGATTATTAAAATTTATTTTGAGATGAATTTCCTATATATTAATTATAAAACTTACTACAAAATATATAGCCAAACAGAACTGTGAAAACTACTTTTCTGAGCAGCAACTGAAATAATAATTTTTGAAAAAAAATTTTCAATCATAATGCCAAATAAGATCTAAGCGGTCATATATTTTGGCACTGTTGAATTCATATCGTCCTTAGCTGATCATATACATGTAAAACTTATGACGATCTAGACAATTTTCAGTTTCCGGTATATGAAGCCCATGCGACGCATAATTAACACTAATATTAGTATTGATGGTGAAGAAAGGGCAAATATTGAAGACATTGACGGTAATGTCACAACCATGTAACTTTCTGACCATTCGTATATTTCTATCATGTACCCATGTCAAATTTTTACATACAACTACGATGGACTAGCCTAGAATACACCTGCAGAAAATTTGATTACATATATGTCGAATTATGCTCAACAATTAATACATCCGTTGTTCTCTACTGAGAGTGTATAGCAACCTAAAATTCAGTGTCAAAGCAAGCTAACACGACCTTCGAAACCATGGACCTTGCAAAGGGAATGTAGCTCAAGCTATACCTGTAAATCATGAAAGGGAAAACTCACATCATTCACAGCCATATGAAGACATAAATACGGATTGATTAAACTAGCCATTTCACTTCCATACCAGTGAGATGAAATCAAGTATAAAAATAAAATTCATCAATGGCATTGGCCAACAACATTACATATGGCTGAAAATATTAAATTTAACTTGCCATATATATATAAATAAAACTTCTTTCCTTGGAATACTAAACCAATGAAGTTGACTATTTTTCGACTATTTTTCCTAAGAGATTTTCAAAATCAGTTCTTCATCAGAACACACAATGATTCAGCAGATATAGTTGATGTACACCATAAGACTTCAGACTCAATAGAACAATAATGCACTTTGATTTGTCAGACTGTTAGCCATTAGAATGTTACTGTCAACGCTCTAATGCACAAAACAGAAGCCAAAGAGAATTCATGCTTTACAAGACCCCTTGTACCTTTACCCGAGAAAAAACAGAATGCAAATCATTGTAACCCAATTGGTAGGCTTTGTATAGAATTTGAGGTCATTACAAGTTCACCTGAACACATCCATGAGAAGTCCATTGAAACAACAAACAGCAGATAATTTGTCCAACATTTTACTCATATCTTGGTTTTGTTAGGGGCATGCATTTGACATTAGTTAGCTATACTTAAAGCATCGAAAAAGGTTATAAGCATATAACAAATATGAAATATAATCAATTTGATTCTATGGAACTGAAATAAAATGTCCACAGTGAAACACATGAATACTAGTAACGTACCAAACTAGCGCACTGAATTCTAGAATAATTGCCACAAGCGTCAAAAGTTTGTTATGGACCTGCTCATCAAATGCCAAGACAGATTATGCAATGTCACTTATTTCCCTGTCTGATGCAAAACAATAGTTACAATCAGGAACTAAGGGGGGAAAAAGTAACTTACATATAGTGCACAGAACAAGGCAATGATTATACTCGCAAGATATAGGGCAGTTGCATATATACGAACAGGATCAAGCATCATAGTCACTTGACGCTTTGGCCCTATGAGAAATGCTGTGCTGCCACAGAAAATACTCCAACTTAGTATCTGAAATCACAGTAATGGACATGGAAAATACACATGAAAACATAGAATTAATAGATTATTGATTGATGAGAGTCTCAAAATAAATAGTGACATATTTATATATAGAAAAATACGTCAAAACTGTACTATCTGAAAGTCACAGGTGAATGACATGGGAAAAATACACGATGAAAACATTAGAATTAATAGGATTATTTGATTGGATGGAGAGTCTCAAAGATGAAATAGTGACAGTATTTATATATATATATATATATATATATGATATATAGTATGATAGTATATAACAAATTACGAGTGCCACTTTAGCAGAATACGAACCGTTCAAGTGGAAAGCAAATTGCAATGTTGAAGTGCAATTGCCCGAAACGTGTAATTGGGATGAAAAAAAAGCCAGCATTGACTAGTGAGACATGGAAGAGAAACAAATTAATTAATTAAAGCCACGCAAAAGTTATGTCTTAAGCTCGGAATATTATCAAATATGGAGCCTAATGTAAAGGAAAAAAAGGCGAATTAATAAGCGGTCATGGCCGTCCATAGATTTACGCATCGACCGAAGGTAAGCGAAAAATCTAGCGGTTAGAATATGCAATTTTTCTAGTTCACGAGATTTTGGGACAAGATGCCAGAGCTTCTTTACAGCGGTTTGGACCAAAAATTTGAAGAGATTTCAAGAGGAAAGGAAAGAATAGAACGGCAATTGCGAACAGACTATGCAAATGTTTAGCAGATGCAAGTAAAGATTTGTGGACTCAGAATGGAGCCTTTTAATTGGACAGAAGGGTAACAGAAATTTGTCGTTGGAGAAGATTAACACCGTGGTAGGTCGCGCAGTTGTATATATAACAAATTACGATCCATTTAGCAGAATACAAACCTTCCAAGTGAAAGCAAATTGCCAAATGTGAATGCAATGCCAAACTTAATTGGATTGAAAAAAACCAGCATTGACTGTGAGACATGGAAGAGAAAACAAATTAATTAATTTAAAAGCCACCAAATTTGTCTAACTCAGATATTATCAATATGACCTAATGTAAAGAAAAACGAATAATAATGCTTCATGCCTCATATTTACATCACCAATAAAAAAATCTAGCGTTAAATATGCAATTTTTCTAGTTCACAGATTTTGGACATAATCCAGAGCTCTTTACAGCGTTTGACGCAAAAATTTAAATTTCAAGAGGAAAGGAAAAATAAACGGCAATTGCAACAGACTGATCAAATTTTAGCAGATGCAAGTAAATTTTACTCAAATGACCTTTTATGGACAAAGGTAACAAATTTGTCTTTGAGAAATAACACGTGTAGGTCCCATTCAAAACCTCTGAGCAGTTGCAATGCAAGCATACATATTTAAACAAATTCAAAACTAAAAAGTTAAATAGCGGGAAAAGGATAAGTCAAGAGTTTCAAATTGAAAGAGTCGCTCCTTCTCCTACCACCGTGAACTTATGGCTAATTTACTAATTCGACCATAGAGTCCAGCTGTAAACAGAAAAGGCGAATAGCAGAGAGAAGAGCAATATTCAGAAAAAAAAAAAAAAGAAGGAATAGTTCTTCAGTTACAAGTTACAAGAGCGATGACAAGGGAAAGAATGATGGATTTGATGATGGTTGAACTTACCAAAAGTGTACAAGCTAAGCCAGAAACAAAGCAGATGACGAAACCGTAAAGCCTCTGTTCATATGAGAAGGAGAAAAAACAGAATATGCATTAAAATGCGTAAAAATGAAATACAATATTAATTTCGAAATGTAAATCAAGCAATTGACGTTCCTTCAATCCTAGGTCAATTTAGTTAACACAGGGTACAAGCAGTGTTGAGTTGATTAAAACAGTGAGTTGCAGCTGATTTAAAGAGAGAAAGAGAGCTTAATCTAAAAATAAAGAGAAGAAATTGGAGAAACCTGTTTAGTGGAGAGAGTGCAGTTGCGATTGAAGTCGTCCAATAAAGAGAAGGAACTGCTGTCCTCTGCAGCGGCTAGGTCCTCGTCGTCCACTTCCATTCCAACAAGCATCTTCATCTTCTCAAATGCCTGGTTCATCTTCTCCATTTTCCTCTCTCTCTTTCTCCCTCGAATTCGATTTGGATCTGAGAAATTAGAATTAATTGCTTAAATCGTAAGAGAAGATGATTTCGATTTCTAACCAGCAGTCAGCAGATGGGCCCAATAGTGTCCCTCTAAAATGGATCCGGCCCAAAAAGTCACTCTACCAATTTTCATTTTTTAATGACTTTATCCATGCAACTCTTAAAACAGATTTTACTTCAACGAAAAAGCAATCGAAATTATCTTTCTATATTTTTTTTTTTTTTAAATAGATTATAATACCTTTATATTTTAGGTTCGTTATACCTAAGTACCTCTTATGTCTATGTTTTTGCAGTTTCAAATATTAATTAGTACCTCTTATGTCCATATTTTTACAGTTTCAAATATTAATTAAAAAGCTAATTAGATGTTTAATTAGTCTTTTTACTATAATTTATCAGCTTTTAGAGCGAGGCTGATCATATTTCATCAAGCTCTGTCAACTTTTACATGTTAACAATCTTTTTACCAATTAATTTTATGAATTTGTTTTCCCACAAAATACCATCGTCTTGTGAAAAAATATTCTAAAGATGAAATGCTTGCATTTGTAAAGCTAGTATATATGTAGTGGTTGAGTGACTCACGAAATTGTGATTATATTATCTAAATGATATTTGTAACGTTTAATTATATTATTACTACATCCAAATCCAATAATGATACAATAATAATAATAATAATATATAAAATAATAGTGGGTACGTAGTTGTTTAGTTAATTTGGCGGCAAGTAAGTCGCACTTCGCCTTTGGATCCTTCTTTCACATCAAGCGTCCCCATTTTCACTATTGCCTGCTGGAAATCAAGAAAGAACATGGCTTCGTTAAAAGCATAGCCATTGACAATTGGTCGAGTCTGTGGACTGGTGAACAGAGCTTGATCGGAGAAAAGAAGTCCAGATTTCCTTTGAAGCGTATTGAAGTAAAGATTGTCGAAACTGTTTCTTGTAGGGTCAAAGGGCTGCTCTGCGTCGTCTCCACCGCTACATGTGTTCGACAATGTCTTTGCGAACTCTGAGTCGACGCTGATATCACCACCACTGAGCCTATTTTTGAAGGATGCGCACCTTGCTACGCCAAGAGTATGTGCTCCTATATATATCCAATTAAACGCACATGTTTAACTTCTTGTTATTTTGATTTCTAGTTATATTTCAATTGTATATACATATCATATGTATAATATATGCTTACCGGACAAAGCAACCATTTCTTGAGCAGTGAAACCACGCTGACCAAATTGTCTAATTAGCTCAGTGGCATTGGAAGTGGGAAAAGGCAAGTTAATTGTATCTTCTATTCTAGACCTCCTTCCATCCTTTCTTCCTTTTGGTATCTCATAAAAGGGGCCTCCTACCCAGAAGACTGCATCTCTAGCAGCCATTGCAAGTATATCAGCGCATGAGACGACGCCAGGGCATTGATCTTCAAGTTGCTCCTTTGCGTTATCGATCACTTCATAGCCTCGCAAGCTCAGATTTGCTGGAGAGTCCTTCTCTGCTGTGTTATCTTTTGTTGAATCAATCAGGATAGACCCATCACATCCCTAAAAATGTTGTTCATTAATTATATGAAGAGGATGTATGTATTCTTGCAAATTAAGGAGGAGAAATAATACGATTTTCGACTTACTTGTATGAAGCAGTCATGGAAGTGCATTCTAACAAGGCCAGCAGCAAGGGTAGGATCATCTTGCAAAGCACTTGTAACAGTGTTCTTCACGATAAGGTCAGCAAATGGGCAACTCAACATGTAATAGTTCATGCTCAATCCATCAGCTCCAAATCTGTATCCACTCGCTATTACTTCCATGAATAATAACACACCAATAATTTTAGCCACACCCACATCCATTTTTCCAAGATTTACAATAGATTTCTGCACCATCAAATAATTCACCCAAAAATTATACTATACGATAAGACTTAATTAGTGATGAGTTTGACGTTTGGTGGATTAATGAAGAGTGAAGAGAATTGGCACGTTGAGTGAGTCTGTATATGTACATATACATATGACGAGAAAGGTTGTCCAAAAAACTTGATTAATGAATTGGAAAGTTGAAGTAGTGGTCTATCATTTTCTCCACCAAAACTGGGTTAATGCGATATACATTCTTTTAATTCTTTAACTAACGAGAGACTGCATGTATGGTTATGACACGTAACAAGTAAACTCGTAAGTAATATTACTGAATGAGCCAAAATCAAGAATTGAACCACGAGCCAGGATTTTTCTAGACTCGTTTACTGCACATTGATTACAACTCCTAAGTAATTTTAAATTTAATGACCAATCAAACGGAAGTGTAAATTTACCCTTCCAGATTATTCATTAATTTAATGGAATCTCGAGGAAATTAAGACGAGGGGAGGAGGGCGGCAAATGTTAGTGGATGAGGGCGACAAGTGCATGCAGCTGGGTTCCATTAATTAAAAAGACAAGTGCATGCAGCTGGGTTCCATTTAATTAAAAACCAACTCTCCATTTGAAGTGGCTGAAACTTTTTGTTATTATTGTTAAGTGAAGAAGTGGAGGATGCTTGATTGGCAAACAGAGTCAATGGCTTGCGCGTGACATTCCATTCCCACATTTGTGCCTTTTTCTGCCTGTTTGTTTGTTTGTCCTTTGAGTGCTGTGGACGCGTCCAGGCATTATGTGGCTGAACGCAATTTGACCCATTACACTTCATCTATTCTATATGATATACTATCGAATAATAATTTCAACGCTTGAAAGTGATAGTTCATATATAATATATAATAACAAATCAATACCTACATATTACAGCTCAGATTATAGCTCAGTTTGCAATAAATTACGCATATGAGAAAAGCTATTGAATTTTTAATAATAAATCCTTGATAATAGAGTTTAAATACAAAACAAATTAATAATAATCTTATAATTCTTTTAATAATCTCAAGTTCTTAATAGATAGTCTTAATAATAAAATCCAAATACCAATGATTTATATAAAAAAACAAAATCGATAATCATCTCATGGTTCCTTCGATAATCCTGGAGTTGTTCGTGTCCATGGCCATTTAATCAGAGAAGTTATTCGTCTCAGAGCGACCTTTTAACAGTCAAACAACAAGTAACAAAGCATACCAAACTAAGATCTAATATAAAGATCCTTTTCACGTTCGCACTTCATTAACTTTCTGTATCTGACCAAGAAAATCTTAACTCGATAACATTATTATTATTGGAAAGCATGACAATTGGAAAGAGAGAACAGCTGCATTGATGCACTTTTTAGGCACGTCTCTTATGTACAAATTCATTTTGCGCCCAAGGATAACTCAAAAAAAGGCATTTACAACATTAAAAAAAAAAATCACTGAACATCAAATGTAGTTGCCGCTCTCTTTCCCAAGTTAGTGCATCGGTATCAACACAAGCCTCCTGTTCTTCCACTACCCAGTAGATTTAGTCACTTCACCAGCCACTCTACATCGGCGACAGACAAACTTAGCGGGCACTGACTCAACGTCAGGAATATGAGAACACCTGGTGTGCTGCCACACTCCACAAACATCACAAGCTAACATTCTTTCTCCATCATCATCTTTAGCACCGCAAATGCAATCAACAGTCCACCTTTCTATTCCTCTCTCCATTCTAAACTTGCTAAGAGCATTTTTCCCATGGCATCTTCCCCGTACCTTAACAAATTCAGTAGACCCTAACAGCAGTTTGACCTGGGTGGAATCATCAACACCTCTATAGCCAAGAAGCTCTTCAGCTTGGAATCTTTTGAACATCAAATACACTTCTTGAAATGCCTTTGACGCTTCAAGCTTAAGGTCGTAAACTGTTGCATTTTGGGGCAAGACAATCAGTTCTGGGGGGTGGCTTGTAGCATTTTCTTCTGTCAAATCCATTATTTCCACATCACACAAGAGGCACATAACAGGTGGATTTGTAATTGATGACATTTTCTCAGCTGCATACTCTTTAACAAATTGCTTGCAGTCAAGGAGTCTTTCAGCTGAACCAATAGCAAGAGCCCTTGTTGCTTCTGTTCCGTAACTCACCATGTCCCTAGGGTGTAGCAAGCATTCATAAAGAAATTTCAGGTCTTGCATGAGTTTTTCTTCAGATGGACAGGTAATGCCAGAAGAGCCAATGCCAATAGTAAGACCACTTGAAGGTGGATTTCCAGGCTCCAGCCTGCAAAAATGCAAGAATTTAACACACTGGAAACTTACAAAAAATCTGAAAGAGAAAGGGAAAAACACAACCTCACAGCCCTTGCAATACAAGTCTACTTGCAGTCTTAATTCAACTTCTACCTAGTTCATTCTGTCCCCTCCGAATGAAGTAATATTCTCAAAAATTAGATCATTGAGAATTCATGGCCTGTAAATACTAGCCTACTTATTGCAATCTTGATTCAACTTATATTTAGTTCCACGTCCATTTCATTGTTTTCTCGGAAATTTTTTTCATTGTTTTCTCGGAAATTTTTTCCCCAGGTAATATCCTTAAAAAGTAAATCATCGAGAATACATCGCTTTCAGAAAAACACATAGAAAACTGTGGACCCGAAATATTTTCCAAATAATGTGATTTCATTCTCGGTATGCTAATAATGATAACATTGCTAGAGGGTAGTTGCTAACCTATACTCAAAAGCGCCTGAATCAGGATTGCATCGGTTACCAACAATCATTCCATCAGCAGCCGCTTTCCCTCCAAGTTCCTTAAGGCAATGATCAAGGAGCTCTGAAGGAGCTACTTTACAAACAGCACCTCTCAAAGTACGCCAACTTACCCAGGTGGACCCAGAAACTGCTCGCAGTACTCTAAGCATGGCTTCTTCAACGTGCTCAATATCAAACTTGCTCCACGAGGGAGAAGTCCCAGTGCACATATGACGCTTCTTGCAGGTAGAATCCTCAATCCTTGAGGAAGACTTGTGAGCATTACGGATCAAACTGATTAAATAACAAAAGAGATCCCTTGTATTTACAAGCTCATGGTCTGCCAAAGATTGGTAAAACGAGATTATGTCCTGCAAACGAGTGCGAGGTTTACGCCCTTGAGAAAGAAAAATGGATAAGGGTATGCTGGAGAGGGTTTCAACAGCTGATTTATAGGCATCCACAGTCAATGCAAAACTACCAGCACCAAATTTATAACCCCAGTCACCATACCATGGATGCCCTTTTGTGATAGCATGAAGAAGTCTGTATTCCAACCCATACTTCTTTGACACATCCATAACACTGACCTTTCTGTTCATGTGTTAAAAAAAAAAAAAAAAAAAAAAAAAAAAAAAAAAAAAAAAAAAAAAAAAAAAAAAAAAAAAAAAAAAAAAAGATAAAAAAAAAAAAAAAAAAAAAAAAAAAAAAAAAAAAAAAAAAAAAAGAGTCAACAATCGAATAAAAACATATGATCCTAATGCAATTTATGCTAACAAGTCGATTACCAAGAGCTAGAAAGGTACAAGAAATGGCAACTATGTTATATCATTTGAAATGCAGAACAAATATATTATTTCTAGTCTTTGACATCAAAAGAAACACCAAAGCCACCCTCTTAGTGATCAAAGAAAATATCCAATGAATTACAAGACTAATCAAAACTTTCTCAAAATTATCACCAAGATTATTGGGAAAAGATATGTAACCACCATAAAATTTATATTGCATCCCAAAAATGGTTGAAACATCCACAATTCTGTGTGGTCCTTCACCATTCACATACTGTCATCAGATTCTCTATTTCCACAGATTTGAACTCCTCATCTAGACCATGAAATGTCTTTTGATCATAATGTCTTTTAAGATAATTAGCCGACAGTACGAAAAGGTTTAAGCTAGCAAAAACAAATTGAACAAGGCATACTCAAATAAAAATGAATTGAAATTGAACATTTTTTTTTTGCAACCACTAAGAAACTCCAGACAGATTTCTAGTTTTTAGTCAGGACCAAAATGAATCAAATCCAGTCGATAGAAAAAAACATGAATTTTTTAAAAGCCTTTTGCAGACATCCAGATTAACCATTTCCAATAATTTAATAACATGCAAGATAGATATTAAGTGTCAAGAAAGCATATGATAGAGCGCCAACCAAAGCCCTTTGATGGGTGCTTGATACAGAGAAGTTCCCATAATTGTAGGACTATATGAGGGATTTGCCTAGAATCCATACTTTATATAGAAAATAACTTAACACCAACTAAAGACACCAGTACAAAGCAAGTCAACACAAAAGATGCAGTTTAAAACCTAGACTAAAATTGCAATCAAGAATCCATGTCGCTAGGCAACAAGTAAGAAAAACACCACAGTAACCGAGAATGCTAACCTGACTCCTAGTGTCTTACACAGCCGATCCCAAAAGTCCATTATATGGCACCCAGAAAGTATCCGAGATCCCCCTTCTCTACCATTTACCCTAAGAAGGTGACCATGACCATTTGCATGGATAACACCATGTAAAAGATGAGTTGTATCTTCTAGCTGATGATACACCCAATCTTCAACGTCATCTGCAGTTGTCACATGATTGCATGCCTTACATCTGATATATATGCATCAAACATGACATTTCATTAGATACCATGCAGATAACAAAGACAACAACTTAAGATCAATCCAAGGTAGAAAACAAGTAAACATATAGTATTTGCACAAACAAGCCAAATAAAAGTTACGTTTTCTTTAGATCAATAATCATAATTAGAATTAGAATTTATTCATAGCCGTTCATGAATTGAGTAAATATCTAAAAATGGATAAGTATAGCTAATATGAATTTGAAAAAAAAAAAAGGATTTTTTTTTCTAAGATTATGAAATATTGGAATTTGCGAACTTCCACAAACAAGCCCTCCAAGGAAAACACGCATTACTATCCATTAAAAGACTTAAAGACAAACAAATTGTTCATAGCACACAGTTGAATTATAGTCCATGCACATTGCACTGATACAATTAGTCTAAAATTGCAGTGGAGATACACTATCTAGTTCATACATTTCAACGAGGGGAAAAAGAAGAGAAAAGGCAAACATTAAGAAGCTCTAAAAGGTTATCAAAAGGCTCCGACCTCAATTCCGAGATATGCAGCAAATCTCCACAGCAAGTGCATGGTTTATGATATCCACCAATGGAATTACCATCGGCCTTAATGATAAAATGATAACGTTTGCAACAGACAGGATGCCCGCTCCAACCTATCAATTGAGGTAAAATTTTACATCATAAAAAAAAAAAAAAAAAAAAAAAAAAAAAAAAAAAAAAAAAAAAAAGAAAAACGGGAGAAATGAAAACATCAAAAAAAAAAAAAAAAAAAAAAAAAAAAGAAACCGGAGAAATGAAAACATCCACATAATTACAACAGTTTATTCTAAGGTCTAAAATGCAATTCATGGTCAACTGATTGAGATAACAGAAATGAGAACACTCTAACTTGAACATTAAACAACTGATTGTTATCCAAAGAAAGGTGTTCCATTTTTTACTGAAATAACGAGTAGCCGCACCCAAAATACGAACCTCCTCGCTAAAAGACCCTCACTAACAGTCAGCAAGCCCAAAGAAAACGTTGAACCACCACACGTAATAAAATAACGCAGTATTCTCATTTAAAAAAGAATAAATGGAATTGTGCAATTAGCCTACCTAAATTACCTAACCGAAGATCATCCACTAATCTATCCCAATCCCAATTAAAATAGAGCTAAGAAGAGCATAGGTGAGCTGGCAAAAGGGGATTGGACCCATACATGAGAAAGTCAAAAATACAACACTAAAAGCAACTCAGGACAGCAAAGCAAACCGAACATCATGAATGTCATTTTTACCCATAGGACAAAGAGGACTCATATCAACACAATTTACAAATATGCCACCACAAAAGGACAAAGTTATAGCGACCAGTCCAATTTAGGTTCCAATCAAATTATTAAATAGATAGATCAAGCCAGCTCGAATGCCACGTGTAGCCTACCACCAAAAAGATATCATAGTCAGCTGGGCACCACATTACCCATACCAACAAGTTACAGCTTAACTGAAATGTGTCTCGTATCTTATCGACCGCATTTTCTCACGACAAAATATACTGCACTATTTCTCACACTAGTTACCGTCCCTTTTGTTTACTTTAGCTGTCTTGTTATCCTTCCTAGAATCGTTGTTTTTCAATTCCAATTCCAAGTATTTCATTTATTACGATTGCTCCATATCGTGAGATAATGAATCATTTATGCCTATGAGCCGTATTTTGATTTTCTATTTCAGAAAAGGTAATAAAAATAGAAAAAAGAAGCGTCGGATTTCCCGCCCCAGCTACTGTCAATCGGAGGAAATCGGAAAGAAAAATTTGCAATGACTCGGGGGTCAATTGACTCGGGGTGAGTGAACTCACCAACGACTCGGCACTGATCGCAGTACACGGATCTGGATTTAGCAACATCCTCCTCGACGATATCCAAACTGACCACCGCGGGAGCCGAGTCGAGGCCATCTGTGAGATCACCGACTCTGAATGAGATCTGCCACGTCATTAGATGAGGGAAAAGCGAAGATGGCGGCGGGAAAAGTGCATGCTCCGTTAAAAACGCCTTAACGTTAGTCCTGAATGGCCCTTGGGGAGCTTCAAAACCGGAAGGAAAGGTAAGGAAGTCGCAGAGATCGGCGGTGACTCTCCTTTTCATTCTCTTCAAAGGCCTTCCGTTCACAACCATATCAGCGGCGCGTGGCGTCAGATTGGAGGCGCGTGGTGTGGATCTGGCGCAATATTCTCTAGCTTCCCTATGACGGAGGCAGCAAGCTTCCAGATCTGGCGGATCTGACGATGGAGAGTGAAGTCTGAAAGAGGTTTGGTTGATTTTGGAATTTGGAAGAAAAGAGAGCGGGTAAAAGAGGGAGGAGGGAAAAGGGAACGTTCGGTATTAGGGTTTTGTATTTGTGTTTGGAAGCTGTGATTTCATAAACATCATCATCACCATCAATAATTTAACTGGATACTCCGTCTGTTTTAAAATAAGAAATAGTTAAAAGTTATCATCACCCTCAAATATTAATAACCGGTTTATTCCTTTCCATTTTTAAAATAATAATAGTAAAAATTTTCTCAAAATAGTCAAAAAATTATGCTTTTATTTCTAAACTTATAAATTAAAAAATATTCTTATATGAAATTAAACAAAAATTAATTATTATAACAATTTGTAAAATAAAAATTAAATAAATTAACAAATAATTGAAAAATGAAAAATCATAGTAATTGGATTATTCTTGTTACTTTGAACCTTGAAATGTGTTTTTTATTTTAAATTAAATAAATTAATAGTCAGATTTATTACTTGTACTTGTTGGGAATCGTGAAAAAAGTAAGTCGGTTTGGGTACGGATAGCGGAGTATGCGTTTATGACTTGTTGCTAGTATATCGAAATCTTAGCCGCTAAGCCTGTTTTTTTCAAGGCCTTGAATTACAAATTTACCCTTCCAATTGAGACCTAAAATTTCTTTTCTTTTCTTTTTTTTTTTTTTTGGGAAGTGAGACCGAAAAGTTAAAAAAAGCAAAAACTTGATAAGGTTGTTATTACTTTTTCTGTTTTATAATAATAATAATAATAATTTAATTTCGGTAGGAAAATTAACGGAAAATTTAAAAATTTGTTATGAATAAAAGTAAATTAAGGGGTGAGTACGTGGTTCGATTTTTTCTGTTAAATTGATTTTTTCAATTATTTTGATTAATGTTATTCAATTTTTCAATATATGATCGGTTCAATTCGATTGATAATTAAAATCCATTCAATTTTAATCGGTCAGTTTAAACAATCTAATAAATTTAACCAAAAAAAATACAATATTTTGATAATTAAGGCCATTAAAAAATTTATGATAACATCACTAATCTATAATAAATAACTAAAATTATTTGATAGAAATTTGTTTCACTTCACATACCTGATGAATAACTATTTTGTGTATGTGAGTTAGTAATATCACATTTTCAAAATTCAAACAATAAATACAAATTAGATAAAAACAAATGCTAAATATATAAATTTTCTCTTTAAACTTTATAATTTTTATTTTTATACCACTCTCATGTTTTATTTTGGCTCATCCAACAATTTAACTTATAAAATTATATCGATTAAATAATTCAACTTGAATAAAACATATGCTTGAATACTTCAACTTATGAAGTTATAACAATTAAACACCTGTTACGTGATTTAAAATTATTAAAATGATTTGTTCTAAATACTGTGCTAACTATATATAAAATCGATATTATATTACATACAAAAATAATAGACTTTTTGTTGTTAATATGGAAAGGTGAAATTAATAATTTTAAGGACACAATAAATATCTTTTAAAGTTAAAAATGTGACAAGGTTAAAAGTAATTGAGAAATTTGAGGATTAAATTACGTATTTTGCGTAAAAATTTGAAAAATAATTATTTTCAAAAAGCTATTGTACATTATTTTTGGTTTAAAGAAAAAGGGAAAAGGGGGATGTTAGGAAAAATGGCAAAGAAAGTGAAGCTTCCATAGTTATTCCCCGTTCATGTTTTGTATGATGTTGTTGTTATCATATTGTTATGAATATACAGAACGTGAACTTGGCCCGTTAACGGGGAAAAGCCTCAAGGCCCTCAACCAACTGTATAGGACTAGCTCGGAAGCTGGGACTGTTATTAATTAGATGATGCAAATCCGTTTCCAGCTTTTGTATTTTTGCTTTCTTTTTCTTTCTCTAGCGCTTTTATCTTTTGAATCTTTTTATATACAGCACGCAAATTGCAGTGCATGAGCAGCATTTCTTGTAGTATTGAATAATAAATTTAGGATGGTGAAGGAGGCTGTTTTGGCCTTGCTTTGCATTATTATTATTCCTTCTGTTTATTGTTCAGAATTTCCTGCAGTGTTTGTGTTCGGAGACTCCTTAGTAGATGATGGTAACAATAACTACCTCAATTCTTTAGCAAAATCCAACTATTTCCCATATGGAATCGATTTTCATGGCGGTCCGACCGGCAGATTTTGCAATGGGAAAACCATCATTGATTTTCTAGGTCATTGTTATTATTAGTTTACCGATAATGTATAATTAATTGCTTTTTCTTCTTATCTTATCTCTTCTGTCCATTTTTTTGGTAGGAGAATTGATAGGCCTGCCTCCCATCCCACCCTTTGCAGCTACTTTCTCAACAGGAACTGACATTCTTAGTGGAGTCAATTATGCTTCAGCCGCTGCAGGGATTCTTGATGACTCTGGCAAAAATCTTGTAATTTCAATACCATAATTTTCTAAACCATCTTCGTTAATCTCTTCATCGAACAAAACTAACCATTGTATTATGTATAGGGAGATCGGTATACTCTGGGCCAACAAGTGCTAAATTTTGGAAGCACCCTAAGCCAATTAAAGACCCAAATGGATGACAAGAAACTGAGGCAGTATTTGGCTAAGTCTTTGGTTGTATTGAACATAGGAAGCAATGACTACATCAACAATTATCTAATGCCTTCTCTCTACTCTACCAGTTTCACTTACAACCCTAAAGACTTTGCTCATCTTCTCATCAACACCTATACAGAGCAAATATTGGTATTATAACATTCATTAATGAGAAAAGAATCTCGGTTTCTATGGTTATATAATTTGTCTAGTTTGTAAATTGTTTGTGCAGATGCTTCAAAGTTTAGGACTGAGGAAGTTCTTGTTGGCAGCAGTTGGTCCTCTTGGGTGCATACCAAACCAGCTAGCCACTGGGCTTGCCCCTCCTGGACAGTGTCTCTCCTTCGTTAACAATATGGTTCAACTCTTCAATACGCAGCTCAGGTCTGCGGTTGATGAGCTAAATAAGAACAGCACAAGCTTACGCACAGATTCTGTTTTTGTTTTTGGCGATACTTATGGAGCTTTTGAGGATATACTTGACAACCATACTTCTTATGGTACGTAATTAAATAGTAAATACTACTTCTACTTGTTCATTAATAACAAAAGTAGTATGTGCATCTCTTGCAGGATTTGCAGTAACCGATAGAGGATGCTGCGGAATTGGAAGGAATCAAGGTCTAATAACATGTCTGCCATTGGCTTTCCCATGCTTTAACAGAGACCAATACATATTTTGGGATGCTTATCATCCCACCCAAGCATTTAACCGTATCATTGCTCAAAGGGCTTATTCAGGTCCCCCATCTGATTGCTATCCTATTAATGTAAAACAACTTGCTCAACTGTAGGGTGTATTATATGTATATATATATGTAAAGATCAATACCAATTTATAAGTATTATTATTATTATTACTTACTTTTTAGTCTTAAATGTGCAAGAAACCTGTAATTAAAGTGGCTAATAATGCATCATCCATTCGACAAATTATATAGCTTTCTTTGGTTTGGGGATGGCCTATTCACATGCCCATTTCCCCACATCTTCTTTGTTATTAGGCCATACCGCCATTTGTGGAGCTCGCGAACACAATCACACAAACAAAGCTACTTTTTAATTATTATTATTATTTAAAGAAAAAAAATTAGAAACGCGATGCAAAAAGGTGAAGGTTGGTATTATGCATTATCAAAGGTACATCAATTTTAAGAAATTAATCAAGTTTGTTCCCTATCCCTAGGGTTAGAAGAATCTTGATGGATCTGTTCATAACATGAATGTGACCCTAAATTTGCCGCCAACTGGTTTTGACTTTTAAACATGTTAATTACTTCTAAACATGCTTCTTGTTATAGCTTTAAGTAATTACTAATTATAACATATATTTTCCTACTCTTCATTCTTCAATACCATTGATATCAATAAAGAACCGATCATAAAGGATTTTTTTTTTTAAAAAAATTATAACTATTTTATTTTTTTCCCCCAAGAAGTATATGGTGATGAATATCATCTTTTGAATAAAAATATTATTTATTGTTAATTTGATATATACGTGTACTCATACACTGGGTGTAACTAGTTATTCCCTAGACCAAATGTATATGAGTGTTATTGATACATGGAAGACGTATATAATCTATCCATTTGTAATATTCAAAATACTAATTAAGTAGGGCCTACCCTCTGCAAGTTGGTATCAGTTGCCTTTAATTAATCAAGAAAAGAAAAAAGAAAGGTATTAGAACAGTTAAATTGGGTGATTTATTAATTTCGAATGTAGCATGAATGATGTATACAAGGGCGAAGTGGGGGCAGTAATAATGAAGTGGTGGGGAATAGTTTATAAATATAAAAACATCCCTATAACATTCAGCCCTCATCTCTCTCGCTTTATCACCTTTTGTCTACTCTTGTTTTCTTCTCTCTCTCTCTCTCTCTCTCAGAGTTTGCTGTGCTGGGCGATGCTTGACCTAGCTAGCTAGCTAATATTTATATATTAATTCATTGCATCAACTTAAGCGTTCTGCCTCTCCACCATATCCATCCCTATACCGCCTCTGAATTACAGAAGATCATCCATCAGTAGCATATATATTATTAATCAAGATAGTGGTTCTGGAGAGATGGGCTCAAGTAATAACATGGGAAGTCAATTTGGAGACACCACTTACACCAAGATTTTTGTTGGGGGCTTAGCATGGGAAACCCAAAAGGATACCATGAAGAAATACTTTGAACAGTTTGGAGATATCTTGGAAGCTGTTGTTATCATTGACAAGAATACTGGAAGATCCAAAGGTTATGGATTTGTAAGTGCTTATATATATATATATAATGTTATATGTGTTTGTGTGTCTGCATATTTCAATCGAGTTAATTACTTGTTATATATATATTTACATGAGATTAATATAGTATGTTGAATCGACTCATAGATCTGACTATTAATATTTGATTATGTATATGTTTATTTTCTTTTGTTCAAATTATAATTAATAGGCATATATGTATGTGTTGCTCTCTAGGTAACATTTAAAGAAGCAGAAGCAGCGAGAAGAGCTTGTGTGGATCCTGCGCCTGTGATAGATGGAAGAAGAACTAACTGTAATCTTGCTTCTTTGGGTGTCCAAAGATCTAAACCTTCCACCCCACAACATGGTATTCACTCCATCACTTTTTCTTTTAATTATTCTCTTTTCTTTCTTTCTTTTTCTTTTCCTTTTTTTTTTGTGAACTTCTTTTTAGAAATTTTCGTATTCTTTCTTTTTTTTTTCCCACTATTTGTTTTCCTTAATTTTAACAACTTTTGTTTGGCAGATTGTTATTGTCAAGTAAAGGAAATTTTGTAAATATGTACTAACTAATACTTCTTAGCATTAATTCTGTTCTAAAGAGAAAAGAATTCATCATCTTGAAGAACTAATTAATGCTTGTCATAGAACAAAAATTTTACGACTTATGTGAACTTTCTATATAGATATATAACAAATGAGAGGGTTGTAATTAAATTTGATTGAAATATATATATATGTGTGTGTGTGTGTGGAGATGGATTATGAGAGTATATAGTATATGAATAAAAAAGTAACAATGAAATTGTACGTGTATAGGGGGAAGCAGGAACTTTAGGGTGATGAAATCTTTTCACAGTAGTACAGGCTTTCAAGGCGGGGTTGGAACACCTTTTCCTTCTACGCCAACTCTTCCGCATTATGCCATCCAACAAGGAATCCCCTATGCTCTCTATGGGTAAGCTTTTCTTTTCCTTTCCTTCCCTTTTCTTTCCTTTTCGTTTCTTTTTTAACTTGTAATTATCAATCATGTGCATTTGCCAGTTCACTTGTTCGATCATTTGCTCAAATGAAAATTTTCAACTACCAAATATAGATGATTATATACGTACATTCATGTGATGATCCTGCCACCATGCTTCTTGCATGATTACTTGATTAGTTTGACCATTATCACGTGAAAGGATCACATGCTTATGAGTCATGATACGACTAACTGCTTCCATTGACTGTTAATTAATAAATTAGTCCTTAATTTTTTGCTAATCCATAATTATTTTAATCCACAGGTACTCTCCAAACTACACATGTCCCACGGTAATTGTTCCCATTCCTACTGGATTAGTTAATTTCTATATTTTTGTTTAAAGTAGAACCTAAAGTGAAATGATATTGCAGAGCTACTATGGAGCAACAAACAGCCATTATGTTGTATACGGGAGTTCAAATTCTAGTTTCTACCCATACCTTCAATATGGGGTAGGGTTAGATTTGGTGTATCCTCAACATCATTTCCAGTATCCAATTATTGCTTCATCTGGCGTTGCACAGCACTATACCCCTCCTGTCTCCTTCAATGCAATCCCACACTCACAACCTCCTGCAGGTTTGTGAACGTAATCATTTTATCAATTTTTAATTAATCACGCTACAATCAAATTCTAATTGAATAATTTGATTGCAGGTGCAAGCATGAGCACAAGTTACCCTTCTCCTCATCAGACAAACGCCCTTCGCCCCATCAGCAGCATTTGATTACTTTTATTACGTCATTATGCAATATTGCATGCCTTCATTTCCGATAGCAAGAAAATCATCATCCGCATTTTCTCCCATTTTTGGCTAATCATCAACCAAAAGAATTCCAATTTTAGATTAGGTTTATCAGCACTGCGTTATATATACATGTTATAGCAAACAACTGACATGTCGAATTGAGAAACAGTAGAACACTGCAACTCACATTCCTGATCAATATCACCCAAATGAATAACCCAGATGCTGGGTTAGGGTGTAACAACATTCACTGGGCATAAAGGGAATACCCAGAGGCTGTTTTTGCTAACCTCAAGTCTACTCATCTTCCCTTTTGGAAGGGGAAGATAATAATTCTTTCATAACTTGCATTTTTGTTTAGTTGTAAAGTATTATTATTCACTGTGGCTAAACCATTGGAGGGTTAGCCCAATTTTGACGGATAGGCAAGAGCTATTGTTTTTTTCAAACCTAGAGCTCCTGCATGCCTTTGTGAAAATCCCACTTACTAGTAGCTTAGGTTAGTTAACTTGTGTGTTTCTTTTCTTCCCTAATTAAAACTCATGATGACCTGAGGAGATATTTTGGTCCTTGGGTTTGTCCATCTAACTCAAAAGCCATGGTTACGGCTCCATCTCATCAGCAACTCTTTCACTCTGTCATTGATATGTCTTCAATGAGAGAAACATGCATATTTCATTCATTGTTATTCCAAGTTCGGTTTGTAGTATCTCTCTCTCTCTCTCTCTCTCTCTCTCTCTCTCTCTACTAGGCTGTGTTCTTAGAAACAAGAACTATATTTATAACTTTTCGTTTGTGATTTTGAAGTTTGGCTTGTAATAAGTGGCCATTCGCCGCGTAGTACTCTCTATTTATTTTCCTGTGACTTTTCTTGAAAGAGCACGCATTATAATCATTAAAAATGACTCATCCAACTATGTTTTTCTGTTAATTGTTTAGCTCCATATTATTAAGTAAACAAGAATACTACTATAATCAATTAATTACTGTATACTGTATGAGCAAGAAGCAGGCATGTTCATTTTATGTAAGACACGTTAGATCACCAGTAAGATATTCTTATTCACGTGACTGGATGAAATTCTAATGCCCAACCCAGCCACCAAGTAAAAGTCACGGTCTAACCATCCCCATATATGTATGAGGTATAAAATTAAAGACTTATCGTTGGTCTCATAGAATGGCTTGACCTGTTGTTGAACTTTTAGGTAGAAGATTCAAAATCATCATAGGAGTTTGGGTCAAACCACCAACTGTTGGAGAAAATAACAGCTTGCAACTGGATGAGAACTTGTCGTTTTATGTGTTGAATCACATTCCCGGCTGGGAAAGGTGATGTACAGCTTGGCGTTCACATTTCAGCGGCAAAGCCCAATGCCACAGGTTAATCCCATCATTTCAAGGACATCCATCTATACAACTGGGATCGCCTGGGCAAAACAATAGTTTGGGAAACAAAATAATTCCACTTGAAAGTAAATCTTCCAACAAGAAGATTATGTAGAAAGTATAGTTCAAATATCTCCAAACAAGTGCACTTAAAATAAATGCACCAACAACTATCTTGCCTCGTAAAACCTTCCAAAGGTGCTTCTTGGAGCCTGATCACCTCTTTGAAACCTTTAGATACAAAGTACATGAGCCAGTAATATTAAAAACGGGTGAGTTTCAAAAGAAGAAAGGGAATATATCCATTTCAAAATAAAAGGGGTTACTGTAGTTCATAATGTCGTTAAATTCATATTTAAATGAATCCAAAAATAGACCAAGAGAAAGCCCAGCCTTCCAATAATTAAACATGGTGATAAGGCTCCTAACATTGTTGAACAAGGGAAAAGAAGCTCTATACATGAGTGCTCCAATCCCCTCCACCACAACCACAGCCAAGGCAGCAGATAGAATATCCCAATCACCTGTCTGACCAATAACAGTGGCAAAGGCAGTTGCACAATAAAATCCAACCAAGAAAAAGAGCAATTTCATTGGAAGATTTTTCCTGATCTCCTGAATTCTTCCCACTATCTTTGTCTGCAAGGCTTGGATGGCCCTAACTAATCGGGTTCCACCACTATTGCTGCTTGAGGAAGAAGGATCCAATCCACTGCTATCTGTACTACTCTTAATCTGCCATGCTGCTCTCCTGCATGATTCAAACAAAAACTAAATAACACTAAGAGTATGTTAAAACTACAGCCTTGATCAACTTTTTAGTCTATTCAATAGAAAGAAACAATCATAAAACAAAATAATTAAAAACAATCACACTCAAAAGTCAAAAACAGTTTGCTGAAAAAAATTAAATACAAAACAAAGTAAGTTTTAAGTACACTTCATCCTTAAGTTTGCAAGAAACAATGAGTTTATAACAAAATAACATAGATGATAGAATTTCAGAAAACTTTATACGTATCTCAGAGTGTAAAAGCACTCACATGAGGGGCAATCAACTGGTTAACAGAAGAGATGTAAAATAAATTTCTCACAAGAACAAAGCAATCAAGTTCAGATTTTTCATTTAATAATAATTTCTCATTTATCTTCCTTATAGCATGTCCCAATTCCATCCATTATAGCATCTCAAATGCTTAGTCTCTATAAACACGCAAAAACTGCATATCAGGGTCTCATTATTGTCCCCTTATCCTAGTTGCAAGCAATCATAAGCAACTAAATTTTAGAAAATAGCTATGGCACTTACCTAAAATTGTTGTCCCAATATGGTTCGGCCAAATAAACATAAGAACATTGAGAACAGAGTTTCTGGCCAAAAGCAGAAGCAACCGTATGAAAGCATCCTTCAAACTTTACAACTACAGCTCCAGATCTGAGACATTCTCCAGATGAAAGATTAATATTTCTTGGATAGCTAGGAGATGTCATTAGAGTTGCCATTAGCAGCAGATGTGGAAAGTTGGTATACCTGCAACTTAGAATTAAGTTCTATGCAACACCCCAAGTTCTATGCAAAATAATATGTGACATGTTGCTTCCAAACACCCCAAGTTTTTGCAGTATTCTCTAATTTCTCATCTTTATCATCATAAAAATAATAGCAAATTTAAGAATGAAATGTTTGTCACACAGCATACATATACCACAGTTTGGCTTGCTGCCTTAGAGTGGCTTGAAATTTGTATTTCACCATGAAAAGCAGTATCCTTGGGAAGCATCAAATATATCCATATATGGAAATTGGCTTCTTTTCACTAAAAGTAAAGACAAAGATCATAAAAGGAGAAAAAATCAATAAGAACCTGTTGTTAATCACTGTATTTAATACAATGAAATCTAATTTTACCTCCAAGTAACCAGAAAAATAAGGACTTGGAGCTAGTTTACAAAGAAAATTTAAACATGCTCATCAAATATCAGCATTGGTTGAATGTCGTGGCTGAAGTAACAAAGAAACATAAGTACAAGATTTAGCTCTTTAGTTTTTTCCCTTTACATTTGGTGAGCTGATGCTCTTGAAAACTGAATATATTATCAGAAACACCTGGCCCACGTCCCAAATGTTTTCCTTAACCTCAGTTTTCTTTAAACTCGCAAAATCATTTTGTCAATAGCAATCAAAGCTAAACGTCACCCACTCACCTTGGTAAAGGAACTCTCAGCACCAACCACCTCAGTAATGGGAACTCACAGCCAGCTTGCTGTATGAACCGTGAAGTGAATATCCAAACTCTATCATACTACTTATATTATGAGCTTGCAATACAAATATGAATAGAACATGCAAACGCCATTAGATACAAAAGACCAACACTTCTGGTTCATTGCTATTGCTGCTTTAAGCATGTGATATTCTGATTTTGAATAACTATCTTTACATCAATAGCACGATATTTAAGAAAACCATATCTAGGCAGAGAAGATGCGCCTAAGCACATCTAGTATAGAATGCCATAACATGTTTAACAGGAAACAGTAATTCCCACAACATCGTGGAACTCGTTATGATTTATGAAGGTTTATTTTCATATGAACAAATTCTTCAAGGCCTATTTTCGCAAACTAAAACTGTTTAAAAGTACCTATCACCAAGAACAATTCACATTTTCGTATGATAGAAATTTGCGACTACTATTCACACTACAAAAAACAGAGGGATGCTTTTGATGTGGGTGAGCAGCAATCCAAAAGAGCATGACAAAGAAAATACCAGGAGGCTATACAATCAATTCAGCTCAAAATACTGCTCCATGGGTAAATACGCTATGAATTATGACAAGGAGAATATTAGATTTCGCCTAAAACCGAGCAGCTAATTATTAATTCGAGAAAAGAAGATGTTGAACAGCTCAGATTTCGTAAAGCATGTTCAAATATTTTTCAGATGGAAGCCAATATAGACAACGAGAAAGAGAGTGACTTACTTCACCTGAGCAGACTGTTCTAAATGGCAAAGCGGCAACGGCAAGCGCAGCGACCGCTCATCAGACTCCGCAATTGGAAGCAATTTTTATCGCCTTCGCCTCTTGTATTGGTTTTCTTTTCAAAGGATACTTTTTCATTTGCTCGGCCTTCCATCCAATAATAATAGTGGCAATATACTACTAATGAATGATGATAATTACATTGGAAAAATGCTCAATTTGCAACTTAAGGGCAATTTATAATTTGTTCAAAAGATTGTTTCTTATTCAATTCCCATTAAATTTTACAACAAATAATCAAAAAGTTCAATTTTTAATAAAAGTAAATTATTTTAGATATTAATTGTAATAAACTAAAATTTATTAGTTAAAATATTAAATATTTTCTAAATGTCTTTTTAGATATTTTGTTTTTAAATTAAAATAGATTTTTAATTAAAAATGACAAAAAAATATGTTTTATTGATTATGATTCTTATAATTTGATGCAAAATTGAGATGATAATTATTTTAAAAATTGATTTTTTTCCATGAATTATATATCGATTTCAAATTTAAAAAGCAAATTAAGAATTTAATTAGATTATGATAATTATTATATTGTTTAGAAGAAGTTAAAGATAATATAAGTTAATTGCGAGTGATGTTATAAATATCATTTCATTTATGTATAAAATTATCATCATGCATATTTATAATTATCATGGCATTTTAATAGCGCATTCTATGAATATGTATATATTGCATAAATTATACGAGATTATGAATTATTATAAATATGAAATTTGATTGATCACTGTGAAGTGCTATTGTTCTTTTTGTTATTTAAAAAAAAAATTTACGATAATAAAATTTTAATTTTAAGTTTAACTGCTAGATATTTACTCGTCATATGTTTAGTTGACAAGTATTCATTTTAAATAATTTATATAAATTTTATTATTTTGAAATTGATTGGCATGCCAATTATTCATTGCATTTCTCTTATTCATGATTTTTGCCTAATCACTCCATTTGAATGCCCATATATATGGTTGGATAAAATATTATCTTCGTTACAACCACATCAATTTTAGAAAAATAGATATATTAAATTAATTTTAATTAATTATTTAAAGTTAAAAGATAAAATTTAATGCAATATCTAAACAACAATAAAATTACAATAAAATAATTAATCAATATTAATTTTTTAAAAATATCATGTAAGTGAAAAAAAAAAAAAAAAGATGTCAAGATTAACTCGCTATTTGCACAACTCTTAAAAATAATCCTATAAACTTTCAATTATAACCTGATTTAATAAAATTTTGGAGTCCGGACTTCTTTTGATATATAAGGGGTAAAAGTTCCGTATCTCTCGCTTTCTTTCTACGCATTTTCCATTTCTGTTTAGCTCTCAGAGGCATTTCTCGCTCTTTCAGTCTAACCCTTGGTGATAGCGGCGCGTGTTCTGCCATCTCCGGCTGGTTTTACCGTCAACTCTGTCGTTTTCAGGTATAAACTGCCTCATTTTCGCTGGCGATCGTTGCGAGGCTCATTTCTCACAGTTCCTTTCTCTTTCCTGCTAGTGCTAAGATCACAGTCCTTAGACTCTCTCTGCTTGTAGAGATATTTGAGTATGTTACTCTATAGGAGTACGTCTTCTGTTTTTAATGTGCCAAACATTTGGTGTTTGTTTGTGATCATTTGTATGTTGATACATTTTACTCTCAGGCTTGTATTTTTTTTTTAGGTTTTTTTTTTTTTCTATTTCTTTTTGTGCGTGTTTTTGCATCTGCTTCAACACTAGATCTGCCTATTTTATTGTGCATGAGTGATAGGATGATATTTTTGGTATTTACGTGTGGCCATTGTTTGTATTATTTGCTATTTGCGGCTTATGCTCCTTGTTTTGTTTTTTCAATATCTTTTTAAATATAAGAACTACATTGTTTTGCATGGCTCTTTGGCTGTTGAGAACTGAAGGAGAAGTCAAAATTGGAGATGATACCATAGAAGTTGTACCAAGCATTTTTATGCCTTTGGATGTTTGGTTATGAGTAGATTTTTCCCTTTTTATAAAATTATGATTAGCTTATCTAGTCTGTTCGTTCCCCTAAGTTTAGCGCCCCTGGTGAAGCTAATTTCAGTGCTTGCTATAAGGTTAGAGAAAGCAGTTGGTGCTAAAATATCTGATTTGTAGCCGTTCTTTTAATCCTTAAATGATAGTTTTGGTCGAACTTCATCACATTTTCTGTATTTTGCAATGTATTGTAGTTCGTAACCATTTGTTGATGTTGTTGACTTTTATTTTCTAAAAGAATCCTTCTTTTTAGTTGATTTTGTTTCACTCTCAACATTTGTTTTTCCGCACGCTAGTTTTGCATGATGCGGCTAGTTTTATGTGGGAATGCTTGGGAAATGCGTGAGAGGTGTACAAAAATGTATGGTCATAGTCGTCAATTCGAGAATCGAAATTTTAGAATTGAGAATCAGATCGAATTGAACAATTCAGTATAACTTTTCAAAATTAATTAAAAATAAATCGTTTACATTCACGGATATATTTCCATCAATTTTATCAAAATATACTAAAAACTATGTTCATTTACAGTGAAGAATGAATGGTTCTTTGTCCTGGTTTGCTATGTAACTCATCAATTAGCTGGCCTGTGATATTTTGTGTTACAGGGGATCATGACCTTCTTTTGTTCATGATGAACCACATTTAGCACTTAAATTGACTAGTTTTGACGTGCCTTCTTATTTTTATCTTTTATTTTGTAATCAATCATTAATTCTGGAAATCTTATTGGTCTTTTATTTAAAACAATAATTCCACTGTTCGGTTAGGATATGAGTTCAAGAGGAGGGGGTGGAAAGCCTTTGCTTTCTGGTGGTGGTAATAATTCATCATCCAAGGGAAAAAAGGCATCTGAAGTCTCTGTCCCTAAGGTTGGGGAGTTGAGTCAAGGTGTTGCAGACATCAGTTTGGATGCAGCTCAGGACAATGGGGAATGGGAGGTTATATCACGTAAGTCTAAGAACAGAGCTGGAAGCAGTGCTGCAAAACCTTGGGGTACACAGAATTCTAATCCTAAAGCATGGGGACATCCAGATGCAGTACCGAAACTAGGTGCACAGAGTAATGGTGGATCAGGAAAGCTATCTGGCAATGCCTGGACAACTCAGGCTTTTGATTCTAAGAGATCTATTGGCAGAGGAAATACCAGGCCTCAGTCATCCAACAAGAATAGCTATGTGGCTACTCAACCTGTAACACAACCTGTAATTCTCCCACCTCTGCAGCATGGATGGAATTGGCAATCTAGAGCTGGTGCTAGTGCTCCAAAGGGTTCAGAAGATGGCCAGAAGAAAGATGATGATATTTATGTTAACAAGGAAAATGATGATGATGAAGAAGATGATGAAGATGATGATGGCATGGATGATACAGATGATGAGCTTCTTAGTGATGACTTTGATTCCGATGCTAGTCAACAGAGTCATGAGACTCGCAAGAAAAGCAGATGGTTCAAAAAATTCTTTGAGAGTTTAGACAGTTTGACTGTTGAGGAGATCAATGAGCCAGCGAGACAGTGGCATTGTCCAGCTTGCCAAGGTGGTCCTGGTGCCATTGACTGGTACAGAGGCCTGCAGCCCCTGATGACACATGCCAAAACAAAGGGATCAAAAAGGGTGAGGCTCCACCGTGAGCTTGCAGAACTCCTGGATGAGGAATTACATAGAAGGGGGACTTCGGTTATTCCAGCTGGTGAAGTATTTGGTAAGTGGAAAGGTTTAAAAGATGAGGAAAAAGATCATGAAATAGTTTGGCCTCCGATGGTTATCATTATGAATACAAGACTTGAACTAGATGAAAATGAGAAGGTATTATTTCTTTCTTGTTTCTGTACAAGTAAATTTTGTGGGATTCAACATTCAAGAAGTGTTTTATATTGCATGAAATAAGTTTTTTCTGATTTGCTAAGTTTCTTGATCTGCTAATATTAGCTAACTCTTTTGAACGTTAAATTGTTAGTGGATTGGAATGGGCAATCAAGAGCTTCTTGACTTCTTCGGTGGGTATGCTGCTGTGAAGGCTAGACACTCTTATGGTCCACAGGGGCACCGTGGGATGAGTGTTCTGATATTTGAGAGCTCTGCTAGGGGTTATTTGGAAGCTGAGCGTCTGGATAAGCATTTTGCAGAACAGGGAACTGATAGAATTGCTTGGGATCGTCGTCGGGTCTTATTCCATCCTGGTGGGAAGCGCCAACTCTATGGTTACATGGCAACAAAGGAAGACTTGGATTTCTTCAATCAGCATTCACAAGGTTATTTCCCTGTGTTTATATATCATCTATATATAGCTGCACACAAGTGCACACACAGTGTTGAGGATTTTGGCTTGTAACTTCTCATATGCAGATTGGCTTTTGTTGATAACTCACCACCTACCACCTCCTCCCTACCCCCTTGCTCTCTTCACTCTTGTTCCACAACCAAAAGGATCACAACAATGTGATATGTTCCTATATGATCGATAGCCAGATTTAACATGCTGTTATGTTGATTAGGGCGATCGAAGCTGAAATATGATTTGAGGTCATACCGTGAAATGGTTGTCCGCCAAATAAATCAAATGAGTGAGGATAACCAGCAACTGATTTGGCTGAAGAGCAAGGTTGTAAAAGAGCAAATGCGCACCAAGACTCTTGAGGAATCTCTGGAAATAGTCTCTGATAAACTGCGCAAAACTACTGAAGAGAACCGTATTGTGAGGCAGAGAACTCAGATGCACCATGAACAGAGCCAGGAAGAGGTATAACTACAGGCTGAATATACCTTCTCTCTTAAACTGTTACCAAGCTTCTGTAGACAATATTTGTTGTGTGCATGTCATTGACTGTTGGGATAGACTTTGATCTGAATGTTCCTGAAAAGGACAACAACAATGTTGGTGGGGAGAACCCTTTAAAACAAACTCTAGTCCCTTTCTCATAGAAATATCATACAAACTGACCTTTATGATATTTAAGGGTTCTTATTTTTTGCCTAAACTTAACTATTACAATAGCTGGAATAACTTATTTTATTAGTGTATTGTTATCCATGACTATTGAAGTGAGTTCAACTCTGATGTTGGGGTTGCCGTAAGTTGTCATGTTGTGTCTAAGGCCTTTATGCATCCTTGGGGCTTAGGCTTAATCAGTAATAAATCAGGAGCAGGGCATGCATGTAAAGACAGACATTAGGGAATGTGCTGCCAATTGGCTGAAGATTTCCCCTTTCTGGTTTTTAAGTAGTCAGCTGAAAATGAAAATTATGCTGCCAGCACTCTCTTTCTCTCTAAATATCTTTTGACTGACATTATTATTATTATTATTATTTTGTTTTTTGAAGTTGGATTATCAAGAGCAATTTTTCAAGGATCAACTCAATTATATCCATCAAGCAAGGGATGCAAAGGAAGAGGATTTTGAGAAACTGCAACAGGAGGAACGTGAGAAAGCAAAGCAATTGAGTGCAAATCCTTCAAATGCAGAGGAATATAGACGCAGGTATGTGATATCTTAGCCACACTCTAGGAATGCATGCTTCTTTAATGCATCTTGGTTACTGGTGTTCCATAGAAATTAATTTTGGATGTTATACCATTTATTTTCCCTATATATTTGCTACTTTGACTGCAGGGTAGAAGAAATGGAGAAATTTATACAATTCCAAGACAAGGAGATGGAAGACTATGTAGCTGAGAGAGATGGGCTGATCAAAGCACACGAGGAGAAGTTTGCCGCGATGAAGAGGAGGCACTGGGAGGAAGAGATGGAATTGGAAAAACAGTTTGATGCTGAACTAACATCCCTGATGGGGAAGTACAGCCCACATCCCAATGAAGGCTCCGCTTAGTATTTGATGTTCCGGGGTAAGAATATAGAGAAAAATAGCAGAGCAACCTTTGAATGGAAGAGCTGACACAAATTATTATCTAAAACTTCCTCAAAGAATGGAAGACATTTTGACCGTCTTTGGAGTACAACTTGCAAAGAATAGGAAATATGTGAAATTCAAAAAAAAAAAAAAAAAAAAAAACCCAACGAGCTGACACAACATTATTATCTGAAGAACTTCCTCAAAGGAAATGGAGTAGACATTTAGTGACCGTCTTTGGGAGTAAAGCAACTTGCAAAGAACGTAGGAAATATGTGAAATCTGCAAAAAAAAAAGAAGAAAAAAAAAACGCTCAGGTTCATAATCAGTCACTAAAAACAAAAAAAAAAAAAAAAAAAAAAAACCCAGTTCATATCAGTCACAAAAAACTGTCTGGACGGAGCCCTGCTTCATGTATGGATATGATGGTAGGAAATCTCTAGATTATCCATGTGACAGGAAATTTTATGTCGTTAGATGGTTGCCTGCTCTCTGTTCATTATTTTATCCTTTGCTCTCCCTAATTATAATGATGCGTTGTCTATATGCATGCATGCGCTTAGGGCGAGTTATATTAGTATGTTACTGATTCCATTCCCATGTCATGGTGGGTAACGAATTCAGCTGGTAATACCTGGAGAGTTTGTGGTTCCAGATTGTTGCAGTTGAATTGAATGTTTTTGGCAATGTGACTGGCTTATTAGTCTAATGTTTACTGTTTTGGGAATTGAACGGGAAATATCAATTTACGTTGAATCTAAACTCTCCAATTCAACTCTGCTCGTTGCTTAATGAGTAGGGCAACTGTCGATTGGGCGATACGTATGTATCTATTATTTTGACATGCTACAAAAATCCGATGATTAATTCCCCAATATAAGCAGGTTTATTTACTTGACCATATTAATCAAGTTTAGAACCAGTAAAGGTTATGCTTGACTGGTAAACATGAAGATAAATGAAAAGATATAATGGCTTTATAAATAAAAGAAAAGAGACTAAACATTGAAAAAACTCTAAAAACCACAAAACTTGATCATATATTTCCTTGTACCTAAAAGTGACGTGCTGATGCTGGTCAGCTCAATATTATCACGCATGCTAAAATCAACGTTTATGGCCTATTATAACCAATCATTTCTGCAGTAACACTATTGTATGGAAAACCAAAAAAAAAGCCGCCAACATTTCCCAACTGCATTTGAAAGTTACAACTCTAATTTAGTTTCAGAAGCTAGACCTAAAAAACAGCTCAGTTGGTTTTCTTCTCTTCAGCTTTTGCAGCAACTACATCTGCACTGTCAACTTGCTGCTCATCCTCACCACCGAAACCAAATTCATTTATACGTGTCTTGTCCACTGGATAAACCCATCTCTGGTATAGATATATCAAAAATATGACATCTGCAAAATGGAAATAAGTTTGTGAAGACCATGAGATGGACCAGGCTAAAGTGTATTCATTATTCAATAAAACATTCAGGTTCTGCAGTAACACTATTGTATGGAAAACCAAAAAAAAAGCCGCCAACATTTCCCAACTGCATTTGAAAGTTACAACTCTAATTTAGTTTCAGAAGCTAGACCTAAAAAACAGCTCAGTTGGTTTTCTTCTCTTCAGCTTTTGCAGCAACTACATCTGCACTGTCAACTTGCTGCTCATCCTCACCACCGAAACCAAATTCATTTATACGTGTCTTGTCCACTGGATAAACCCATCTCTGGTATAGATATATCAAAAATATGACATCTGCAAAATGGAAATAAGTTTGTGAAGACCATGAGATGGACCAGGCTAAAGTGTATTCATTATTCAATAAAACATTCAGGTGTTATCAGATTCAGACAACCAGATAAATAAAATGATCATGGATCAGAGATTAGATTGTGGTTGGACCAGGATTCAATCATGTAATTGCAAGTGAAACCAGTCAAACTCAAAGCAGGTTGACTGGTTCTTGATTTCTTCCCAATTATGGACTGTTTCAGCGCAGCAAACCAACTGATATAGTCCAAGTTTCAAAGGAAAAAATACTGTTCAAATAACGTCAACAATTAAGGAGTCGTAATTGTCACCAAGTCGAGACAGCATTGAAATGCTAATTGTAATCTTACCATCACGGAAGACAGAAAGCCGATGTAGTGTAGGCATTTTTATGACAAATGCAAAGAGATCATCAATTATGGTATTCAGGAACTTGTATGTCATCTGCCTCCAGGGTAGATGAGCCACAGACTTCAACTTATAATTTATGAACAGCTGAGGGCACATCATGATGAAACCTGCAATTACATAGGAATTACAATACAGGCGATGCAAACCAGTCAAACTTTTGCCACAAAACAAAGGACTGAAAAGACCTTTTAAGGAACTCTCAAAGAGGTTACATTTAAGCAATTAAAGAGAGGTAAAGAAACTTCGTAAATGTAAAAAATGTAGTGATGATAATTATTATCCGCTTTTACAAATCGAGAAACCAATACTTTCCTAGTGTGAAGAAAGTAGCCTCTTGACAAGCAGATTTCTCATCATGCAAGAAAATATATTAGACGGGAATCCACATCCACAAGCATCTTATATACTACAACAACAACAATAACTAAGCCCAATTCCAAACTAGTTGAATAGGTCAAACAAAATTGGAACTTGGAAATGATTCCTTGAGCACTTTTTAGAATAGACAAGACTTCTAAAATGATAAAATTTTGAAATCAAAGACCAATGGTACACAATCCTATATGCTTGCTGGTACATAATCCTATATAGAAAAGATAAATTTGATGGTTTCCAGCATCATGACAGTAAAGAAGGTACTGATGGCTTACCAAACATGTACACACAGCTTGTGAGAGAAGAGAGAATCCAAGAATACCAGCTCTTGTGGCGTTCATACATGAGCGAGTAAACAGAAGAGCATGCAACAAGGAAGAAGAGCACATAAGACAAATACTTCATTGCAAGGTCATCGTATTCCTTTGTCTTATTCCCGGCATATGACTCACGATCTCGGAACCTCAACATAGGTATCTTTCCACTTCTATCAATCTAGAGACATAAAAAGCAGAACTAAATTCAGTAAATGCATGGTAAACTAACAAATGGAAGTATTTAGGTGAGTGAGTCCAACAGAGATATTGTGCAATAAGATACATCCATGCAGGCGTGTACACAAAGACATTGTTGTTGGAAAGAAAAAATCTAATTCACAATTACCTGATCAAGTATGATCCCCCCCAACATGGCTATGTATATGTTCGGTATCATAAACTTTAATAGCTTATATATGACATGAATATCATATAAAAAAATTGCCCAAATAGCTGAATCAAGGCAAACCTACATGCAGTGGTAGAACGCGGAATTTTTTTTTTGGGGTGCAAATATTTATAAAAGAATACCTCTATGTGCATGGCTTTCCCTATTTTCCAGAACTCAATACAGCAACCAATTCCAGAACTTGCAAGTATCATCCATGAAGTGTCGTTGTCAAGCAGATAAAGAAAGACAATGAGCTGACATATAAAGCTCACAACAACAGACTTTGCAGACAGCCCCTCCATAGACTTATTTTTGTTCCAAAATTGGATATCTGCAGAGAAAAAAAAGTTCTTAGTAAACAACATATTAAAAGACATCAAAGTCAACAACTCTTTAAGCAGAAGTTAACAGATAGAAGAATTATGATTCACCATTTTTGAATGCCAAGAAGTCAAAAACTGAATGAAGTAATGAAACAACCATTGTAATCCCCAAGAGGTAAGGATTTCCTTCCAAGAAGACCCTCTGCAAAAAATTATTGGAAAATCAAACACTTGCTTAATAATACCTAGCATCTACAATTGGTTCCACAAGTAGGAAGTTGGTTAAACTGACAATAGAAAATAAATGTAATCTCAAATTCTCCATCTTCAGTAAGGTCTATTGAGACAGTGCAGCGATTTACCAAATTTGTCCCAAAAATCCAAACACAAGATTAACTTCACCACTATAGAATCATAGATTAATTAGAGAGCAATAAATTCCCATGAAGTTTTCAAAAGCATTGTATCACATGCATCTTAAATCCTACAAAGTGACACGAAATATAATTGTGCAGAATACATATTCCTTTTTTATTGTCCAACTGAAGCATGCATCAAAATTAAATATAGTCTCTGGTCCAACCAACTAATATTATGAGAAATTGACAATACCTTCAGTTCATCGGCCTCGCCTTCAAGCATGCTTCCATAATTACGATGAATCTGGAATGACTGATCAATCTGCAGGAATAGTTGCCATTTTGTCATGCTTATAGGTCCCACCTCCAGATTAAGTGGCAACTCAGTCGCTGTCTCGTTCACTGGGATCAACTTATCTCTAAGCAACCAAAACTCGTTGAAGAATATGGTGGGATAGTAATTCCCTGTACTAGGCTCAATATTCAAGACTGCAAATCTAAGTCAAGAAACTCAAAGCTAAAAGCATGAACCATAGTATTCAATTACTTAAATGCTGTGGCAAGCTTAATATACATCATTCAGATGCTACACAAAAATTTAGCAACGTCACCCTCCTTGTTAATTGTGTGAGCACAAGGACTAAGCAGTTTTAATTTCTAGGAGGTTATTTTCTCCCTAGCTGATAGCAATATTCTTACTTCCAACATTGTCAAAACCAAAGATGAACTAAAGAAATGACTCTGCCAGTCATTCCAACTCTTATCCATCCACTTGGCAATTATTAAAGATTCTAGTCCTGAATTGGATATACACCATATGATGTTACCAGGAAAAATAAATCTTCCCATGTCTAGACATGGAAAAACAAAGACATGAAAAGCCATGTTAGTGAAACATCTAATTAAAGGATACAAGGAGCAATATTTGGCGGTACAGCATTATGTGGGTATCTGCACAAGAAATGAGAGAAAAGGGAGAAAAAAAATATTCAAAGAATTAACAATATCCTAAAATAGAAGTTGAAAATAATTGTTAAGGTCAAACATATGAATAAGTATTAACGCAGTTATTCACACTAACAAGTAACAGCCACAATATATGATGATGAACATGCTTTAAACTTGTCAGCTTTTTCAATAAATGCAGTAATGACCACGTTCTCTTGTTCTTCCTATTTGATTTCAAAATCCATGCCCACAAATCCCTTGAACTCCATACAAAGTTGTCGAGCGAAATTGTCCCTAAGGAGCTTTCAAATTCTTTTACAAAAATAGTTTTGCAGCTACCATGTCATTGTAAAGAACAAATAAATTAATCCTGATGTATTTAAGAAATTTGCTAGAGCATTTAATGGAAAAACGCCAAATTAAAGCAGGCCAACAATCCTCCCCTTTAAGTGAAAAGAACAGGCAGAAACCAGAAAAATAAATATTCTGACTCCAAAATTGAGGTACGCATGGGAGTTTATTTTAGGAGGTTAAGGAATAGAAAGTAAATGGAGGTTAACCTCTCATCCTCATTGGCGAGGTATGTTTTTTATAATGCAGATGGGAGACAAATGGCGGTTAACTATCATCCATTAACCTCCAAATGCAAATATTTCTTAACCCCCAAATGAGGTTAGAGGGTGGAATGTGAAGATTTTATATGATTTTACATCTATTAATTTCCGTTACATCCTCTTAGAACCTCCATGCAATCATGAAATGCAATACCTTTCCAATGAAAGCTTGTGTGGATTGATTACCGTGATGACTGCTCAAGTGCTAGATGTTGAGGATTATTCCTAGTCTTCATCTTCACTACGAGACTTGTCACTCACCAGTCTCTAGAATTTTATCCCAAATAAACTCTTTTCTTCAACCGAATGATGTGATTAAGCCAGAAATTTTTAGAACATATACTAGACAGGTTTGATTTATGCTCCTGTCACTAGTTAATTTTATAAAAAGGTATAGTACCAATATATTTAAATGATGTCTGCAAGATATTTCAACAATTGAATGAGCAGCAATTTTTACTTCGAGATTAATATTCATCAATCTCACCAAGTATTGAGAGCCCATATACCTTGTGAAGTCATCAACCAGATTAATAGTAACATTTGGTTTCCAATACGAAACCCATTCCGCAGGGCCATCATCTTTAGGATCAACTTCACTATCATCCACCACCTGAAGCAACCAACAAAAATCTGCAGTTGTAAAAAAAAAAATAAAGGGAAAAGAAAAAGAATAACATAGGATACAAATGTAACTATCTGATACAGATGTACCGTGAGGAATGTTGAAAATTATTCAAGATTTATCCCCTGCTTATGAAGGTTGGACATAGAAATGCACAATTTATGTAGCTAAGCAATATCTAAGAGATACAGATAGATGTTGAAATGTTGAAATTTCCAATCTGTACTTTGCCTTAGGGAAAAATATAGAGATAGATTGAGAGATAAAAGTAACTATGCTTTCAACAATATGCATTGTTTTCCACAAACAACGTTGTGAAACAAAAGGTACAAAAATGTCTAAGACTAAGAGTCAGAAGACTAGATTGAAACACATCCAGAACCCATGCAACAGATCAAAACAGTAAGGTAACAAACAAGGGAATGCACATAATAGTTACGTAAAGGGCCAATACCAAAGATAGAGAAAATATTTTTCATGTGGAAAAAGCTCAAGAAATGAAGTTATACTAAAGTAATTTGCAAAGTGTTAAAGCCAAGTAGAGACCTGAGAGATAGTTTCCTCTCCATCAAAACCTTTCGGGTTCCCCAGCAGACTCTTCCTTTTGTCTGCTCTTGACTTGGGCAAGTAAATCACCACAGCTGAAATCAATGAAAGGAAAGTGACAACTTTAAAATTCAGGACACAAAATAGAAATTGAAGAAACAAAACCCTATCATTGACATGAAAAATAATCCACAATTTTGCAACAAAAATCTAAGTAAATGCTAGATAATCCGCTTCTTACAACAATGCATATATGACTTTCAATTAACAGCTTCATTTAAACTCTGAACCAAGAAAGATAAATAAAGGAAATCTTATTCAGCACTGGATAAATCTATCAACATGTTTTTTGAATAACAAACAAATAACAAAAATAAGGATTATTTTGATAAAGTCAATGACACGATCTTACGGTGCGTCTTCCCAAAGGCAAAAAGAGGTTGGTATTCAGGATCGTTTGGATCGGGAGGATAGCCAGATTTTGCAAAGAAAACATGAGCATAAATAGTGCCATTTTGCTTCACTGCCTGAAAGATAAATAATGTAATCATACTTGCTGCAAGTATTTAAGAAAAAAAAGGAAAAATTGAAGAAACAAATCTCCATCATTGAATTCTAGAAGACCACTCAGATCGCTATGATGGAGGTGTAATAAGATGCATAGAGTGAAGTCAACAAATTGCAACAAATATTACCTCAGATGGATAGTACTTCAAAGAAAGAGACCTGGTACTCTCTGGTCCCCAAACAGCATAAGGTATGCTAGTTTCATGCCAAATAAGTGCAGCTTCATTGCTGAAGTCATTGAACTTTTCCTGTTCAGATAGATAAAACCACATATCCTGAAAGCAAATGCAGCGTTAATTAGAAAATTCTTGAGATGAATATAAACCCGCATATCATGCAAGCGAACGACAAATTCCAAGTTCAAAGTATTGAGCACACAAAAAGAATGCTACCTTTATCGGATAAACTAAATCAAATATTATCAGCAACAAAAATAAACACTTAAGTGACAACAATAGCAGGCGATAAATAATAGACACTTTGTTTCTGAAAACGAATAAAAAATAGAAACGGAAAAGAAGTTGAACAAGAAAACAGCAATCAGCAATTAGTGAGCAAGAGAGTATCCGGATCATGCATACATTCAAACGACATTAAAAATCAATTACAATACCAGAGAATCTCCCTTCTGGAAAAGATTGGAGATGAGAACAGAGGGGTCGGAAGGTTTCTTAGGAGCGAAGAATTTCGAAGCGAAATACCAAAATACAGCAATCCTAATAATTCCGGTAATTGTCTGTCCTATTCCACCTTGCTGCTGCTGTCTCTGCTGGCCAGCTCCTCCTCCTCCTCCTCCTCCACCTCCTTCTGCTGCCGGCGGCGCCATAGCCTCTCCCTCTCGGACGGATGGTGGGTGGCTGCTGGCTCTGAGAGAGAAGGAACAGGGAGGTTTACTTATGTATGTTTGCGTAGGCGCTGCTGCTGCTGTGATCGAGGTGCGAAAGGAAAGATATTTTCTCTTTTTATGTGGGCTAGTGTTGGAAACCAAACCAAGATGGAGTTTTGGGAATCTTAAACTATTCTCTATATAGGACCGACCGAACGCTAGACTCTTGATTTTCTCTCTCTTTCCTCACTTTATTAGTATTACACAAGCCATCCTTTGTTAATCTATGAATTACATAATTACCCCCTGTAAACTACTTGTCGTTTACGCCATCAACGCCAAGCATTTTGAGCTTGTGACCAACCATTAGTAACAAACGGTTGTTCCCTTTATAAGATACCGGTCGTCTTCTCCATTCCAGAAGGAAGAACGCGCAACAGAAGCCAGAGAGAAAAAGAACTTCAGAGCAAGCTGTAAAGTGTGGAATTTCTAATTATTAGAATGTGAATCGAGATAATGTACAAGTATAGCATTGAAGAATTTTATTCTCTCTTTCTATGATTATTATTTGAAGTATTCTGGTTCAAAAATTTCTGCTTTATGGTCACCAATTGTAAAATTCTGGAGGAGGAGAGAGTGCAATTGGAAGTATTCGGAAGGTTTTTCGCTTTTACTTCTTATTCAACATGAAATGACAGGATTTCCCTTGAACATAGATTATGGCAGGCAACCTGTTCGAAAATATGCTCGAACCGGATTCCACCAAGAGGAACACCATAAGCAATAGCTGGTTCTATGGAGATTTTTGGCATACACATCATTACCACGTTCTTGCATCCATTCTCAAATCCTGTGCTGCCCACTCAGCCATAAAATTGGGCAAGGCTCTACACAGCACCGTTCTGAAACTAGGCCATCTTTCCTGCCATCAGGTGTCAAAATCACTGCTTAACATGTATGCCAAATGTGGAGCTCTTAGGGATTGCAAGAAACTATTTGGTGAAGTGGTTAACTGTGATCATGATCCTGTCTTTTGGAATATTCTCTTATCTGGGTTTTCTGGGTCTCGCAATAATGATGCTGAGACCTTAAGTTTATTTAATAGAATGCATTTTGCCAGTAAAGTGAAGCCTAGTTCTGTTACTGCTGCTATCATTCTTCCTGTTTGTGCTCGCATGGGAGATATATATGCGGGTAAGAGTGTTCACTGCTATATGATTAAATCTGGGATGGAGATGCATACACTTGTTGGAAATGCTCTGGTCTCAATGTATGCTAAATGTGGGCTCGTTCAAAATGATGCATATGCTGCTTTTGATAGCATTAATGAGAAAGATGTAGTTTCATGGAATGCCATGATTGCAGGGTTTTCTGAGAATAAGTTAATGGATAAAGCGTTCAGATTATTTATTTTGATGCTGAAAAGTCGAATACAACCAAATCATGCAACTATTGCTAATATTCTGCCTGTCTGTGCATCTTTGGATAGGAATGCTGCCTACCTCTTTGGGAAAGAGATCCACAGTTATACCCTGCGGCACAATGAGTTGTTAGCAGATGTTTCTGTCTGTAATGCTTTGATGAGCTTCTACTTGGTAGTTGGACGGGTAAAGGAAGCAGAATTATTGTTTCGACGGATGGAATTGAGAGATTTGATTTCATGGAATGCAATAATTTCAGGATATGCATCGAATGGTGAGTGGTCAAAAGCTTTGGAATTATTTCAGGAGTTACTTTCTTTAGACATGAGTGAACCAGATTCTGTCACCCTTGTCAGTATTCTTCCTGCCTGTGCACAACTTAAAAACTTGAAGATTGGTAGGGAGATCCATAGTTATATTCTTCGACATCCTTACTTATGGCAGGATACATCTGTTGGAAATGCTTTGCTTAGTTTTTATGCAAAATGTGACAAAAAAGAAGCAGCATATAATACATTTTTTATGATTTCTAATAAAGATTTGATATCATGGAATTCTATGCTTGATGCCTTTGCGGAGGGTGGACACATTACTCAGTTTCTGAAATTGCTACAGTGGATGCTTAGGGAAGGAATTAGACCTGACTCCATTACCATATTAACCATACTTCATTTTTGTGCATTTTTGTTAAAATTGGACAAGGTTAAAGAGACTCATTGCTACGCGCTTAGGCATGGTCTCTTACTATCTGATATTGAACCCATAACTAGAAATGCAATACTTGACACTTATGCCAAATGTGGTAATATTGAGTATTCATTTAAGATTTTCCATGGTTTATCAGAAGTGGGGAATTTGGTTACTTTCAATTCAATGATCTCTGGTTATGTGAATTGTGGATTATATGATGATGCACGTATGATTTTCAACAGGATGCCTGCCACTGATCTCACTACTTGGAATCTAATGATTCGAGGGTACGCTGAAAATGATTGTCCTGATCAGTCAATTGATCTGTTCTGTCAGCTACAAGCTAGAGGACTGAAGCCTGATGCAGTTACCATTATGAGTCTTCTTCCAGCTTGTTCTCAAATTGCTTCTGTACATTTTATGAAACAGTGTCATGGGTATGTCACTAGAGCTTGTTTTAGTGATGCCCACTTGGAAGGAGCTCTTTTAGATGTATATGCAAAATGTGGCAATATAGATTATGCTATTAAGCTTTTCCGATCAAACAGAGGGAGAGATATAGTTACATTCACTGCTATGGTTGGTGGTTGCGCCATGCATGGTATGGCAGAGGAAGCACTCAGGATTTTCTCTCACATGCTTGAGTTGGGAGTAAAGCCAGATCACATTATCATTACTTCTGTTTTATCTGCTTGCCGTCATGCTGGTCTGGTGGATGAAGGGTTGAAGATATTCTATTCAATAGAGAAGGTTCATGGAATGAGACCAACAATGGAACAATACTCTTGTGTGGTGGATCTCCTTGCTCGGGCAGGTCGAATTGATGATGCATATTCTTTAGTGACTGGGATGCCCATTGAAGCTAATGCAAATGTATGGGGCACATTGCTGGGTGCCTGCAGGGTCTATCATGAGGTAGAAATAGGACATGCTGTGGCTGAGCATCTATTTAAAATTGAAGCAAACAATATTGGAAACTATGTAGTTTTGTCAAATCTCTTTGCAGCAGATGCTAGATGGGATGTGGTAATGGAAATAAGGAAATTAATGAGAATGAGAGGCTTAAAAAAGCCAGCTGGATGTAGTTGGATTGAATTGGAGAGGAGAAAGAATGTATTTGTTGCCGGAGACTCGTCTCACCCTCAAAGGACCAATATTTACAGCGTATTAAGCATTTTGGATTTACAAAGTAAAGAGCCATTTGTATTAAAGCAACAAGTTGGTTCACATCTTCTGGAGTGTTGCACGTGAAGGAAAGGGGAGTTGCTTATAAAACTTGAAAAGGAGAATTCAACTGCTTTGATACGCACACAGACCAATTAACTTGGGTATGTCTGTAGCTGTTGAGATTGCAATAAAATCTTACTTTTACAGGTACATAATTATGGTTTCAATGCATATTTTGCCAACGTCTAGATTAAATGTTCACCGTGACTATTGGTATATTTCTGACATCAAATGAGTAATTTGAAGATCTGACATCATGTTTTCCAAGGATGCTAGAGTGAAACCACCCAAAGCATTGGCAGAGCCATGTCTCTTCCCCAACCCACCCACCCCCCACCCCAGAAAAGACAAGAAAAATAATGCCATTTGAGAACTCAAAAACTGACCCTAAAATTCTGGGTAAAATTTTTTTGGAAGTATGATTATCACAATTCTATAATTTTTTGTATTATGAGCGTGATTTCTGCTATTTTTTTGTAACTATCTATTGTTTAAAGTTTTTTATTTTTCTCTACAAGTTATGATGTATTCTCAGTTTCATTAATTCAGTGATGTTGCGAAGCGTAGGCAAAATAACAATAGATATTGTAATTAGTTCTAGAAAAATAGATCCTATTATTACATTGTATTATTTCATGTTTTTTCACCGAAATCTACTTTTTCATGTTTTTTCACCGAAATCTACTTACAGTGACATCATCTGATATGCTTTCTAACAGGGAAAAGATGAAGCTCAAATTAGCAGAGGTGCAATGTCTAAATCAAGGTTTCTCAATTGTGGTGGGGGATCTCAAAGGAAACAATGTAAGCAGCACAGGTTCTGCATATCCTGGTCTAGATCTAGGTGATGGATGCAAGTAAAAACGCCTCTCTTTGATGGCTTTCTCTTCTTCCTCACTATTTAATTCAGAAATTTTGTCCTCCAGTTCCTGTATCGACAATTTTGAGAAAATTGTGGAAGGGGTGCCAACAGGACTTGGTAGAAGAGAAGGATTCCGTGATGTAGTTGGTGATGTCAAAGGTTTGAAGTTAACCGGGGGTTTAATTATTTCAAGCTTGGGTCTTAGATGCTGCCTTCTTTCATGGAGTTTAGATGTTGGTCTCCTTATGCCTGCAACCTTTGTAGCTGCTGTTCCCTGCACTGCATCACTCTCTGATGGGCCAGTTAACCGCTGCACAATCTCTCGAAAAGCATTTGTATCTGTTTGCACAAAAGTAGTTACAGGTTTACAACCAGCTGGAGCTTGGCTTGCTGGCTTCTCCATGGACGTGTATCTCTTGAACAATCTAATTTGTGTAAATGATCTGCAACAAGTTCCAGTGTATGAAATGGTAAGTGATGTCTTTTATAGGACAAGTACTTGGTTACTACTTGGTTAATGCAGAATTTAAGCATCTAGTTTTTCAATAAACATGTGTACAAATATATTTATCACTAAACATGATTGATTGATGTGTTTGCTCGGATTTTGACCTACCTAAGTTAAAATCCAGTCTGGAGTAGGCATCTCTAAACTTGACGAGCTCATAAATCATAATCACGTATAGCCTTCCCAATAAACTAAAAGCAGTAGGATGTAATTATAGGGAAGTGGGTTTAGGTAACCTATGGTTGAGTTCTTTATTGAATCTAAATATTAGTAGTTTGTCACAGTTTGTACTCTGCAATACATACACTAGAAATAATGCATTTTAAATTATAAGTGGAGATATTTCTGGAATTTCCCTGTGTTTCTTTGTTGCCTATGTAATACCTAAAATTAAATTTGAGAGATAACTACCATAAATTGACTTTTGCTAGTATTGTGTAATGTTAAGTTAGCTGAAATTTGTGGTGTTTTAGGTTTTCCTATGTGTTCTATATCTCCCTTATCTTCCTGCCTGCAAATTCCCGAAATTACATTGATATCTTGAGAAATATATTAGGACGGTGTCGAGTTTTATAGGAGGTGAAAATGTCATTCTTTGTCATTTAACCAAAAGACTTCATGGACCTTACACATCAAGGGAAGAAAACATTTATCTTTTTAATTCTACTGGGACTGTGGATTGTGAATTTATGTTGGTAGGCATCTTTTGAAACTGGCAAGCAACCAATTGACCATACTAGATCCCATAATACAGTGTCTTTGAGTGATGATCTTTTTCTGACTCTTAAAAAGCCCTTTTCTTTTCTTCTTCTTTTTTATAAATAAAAGAAAAAAAAAAAAAAAAAAAAAAAAAAAAAAAAAAAAAAAAAAAAAAAACTGATCTCTTCCCCATTTTCATTTTGCACAATAACAGGACTGTTTGTCTATCTGATTCATGAATTTGCCCTGCATCGGATCATTGATCCTAGATGGGTCCCTACAGAGCTTCTGTGCGGGTTTCACACTGGAATTAAACGTTTGAAATGGTGCAAGGTTGAAACAGACAATTTGCAGCAAGCATTCTCTTCTCTCAGGACTCTTAAAAAATTTCAGTAAGACATCCTGCCACAATGCAACTTAATGCAATGTGCATGAAATTTAACATCAGGCAACATGAAATTAAATGACTTCAGAAGGTGAACAAGAAGAAGAGAAAAATTCTAAAAGAGAAGTTCCCCATACCTGATTCTGCACCTCCAAAAAAAAAAAAAAAAAAAAAAAAAAAAAAACTGATCTCTTCCCCATTTTCATTTTGCAATAACAGGGACTGTTGTCTATCATGATTCATGAATTTGCCTCATCGGACATTGATCTAGATGGGTCCCTACAGAGCTCTGTGCGGGTTTCACTGGATTAAACGGTTGAAATGGTGCAGGTTGAACAGGAACAATTGCACCAAGCAATTCTCTTCTCTCAGGAACTCTAAAAATTTCAGTAAGACATCTGCCAATGCAACTTCAAATGCAATGCCATGAAATTTAACAATCAGCAACATGAAATTAAAATGACTTCAGAAGGTGAACAAGAAGAAGAGAAAATTCTACAAGAGAAGTTCATACCTGATTCTGCACCTCCAAGAGAAATGAAGATATTGGAAATTTCAGCAGGGAAATTGAAAGAGAATAAAATGGGAGAAGAAAAGAAGTGCCACAAAGGAGCTAAACACAAAAGACAAGGATATGTATTTAGCTCCTTTTGTATATCTCAAAAAAAAAGGGTTTTTTGTAGATGTATATATGCAATTGAAAGCATACGAATTATGATAAGAAAGTTGCTAAAAATAGGCGTTTTTGTCAGTAACATTTCAATATCTAAATATACCAAATGATTGTTAAGAAGAGGAACAATACAATTGAACAAGTATTTCCTGCTTTGGCAGATGGATAAATATAACTGCAGTGACTGACAACTTATTAGTTATGTAATGTCCACTCTTGTTTTCTTTTTCCCTTTTTGTTTTTTTTTCTGGTTTGACTTTTGACTTTTGACTTCTCAGTGACAATTGGTCGTGAGTGAGTTATGACCAGCTTCTTTGCCAAAAATATCTATGTGGAAATACAGTTGAAGGGGTTTCTCCATTTAACTGTGTTTATCAGCTGTGAATAGTTTTGCCGTTTTGCAATGGACGATCCACATTAAAAACACTTGATATATATGGCCTTTTTCAATCTTCTCTTTTTCTTTTGAAATTAAAGGAGGCGTTGTGTTCATCTATTTATTTGGAACAGAAAGAAAATTTATTTACCAAAAATAATTGTTGTTTCTTGATATAGGTTGATTAGTTTTTTTCTTTCAAGTAATTAGTAATGATTTCCCTTGGCTTTGTTATTTGCCAAAAATCCATTTTTATGGTCAAATTAATAATAGAAATATCAAATTATTGAAATTATAATTTGGATTGAGGGTTTATTACATGCATGTATAAGAGCATAAAAAGAAAAACTATCTTCTTGTATTTTATTTTTAGGAAGAGCAAGAATTACCATTATACAAATTGCAGAAGTCTCAGAGGGTCAGTGGGGATGCATTTAGCACATCATGGGCCATATTCCATTTCTCTCTTCTCAAAACAAAAGAAAAAAAAGATATCTGTATGAACTAGTCAACAAAGGGAGACTGAGACTAATAGTCGTTAGCACTCATCATAAATGCATTCCCCTCTTTGAAATTTGAATCATCCATTTCTACTGTTCAAATTCTTTCAAACATATATACTTATTTAGATAAATTTTATTTACAGAAAATCTATAATAGTGAAATTTTCAAAAATATATCCTCTGCTTGCTGCAGCCTTAATTTATACTAGTAGTAGTGGGGAGTTATCTATACCTTTCAACCATCAAAACCTCTCTCACAGCTGTGTACGTAATATTTTTCTGCCCCGGGCAATCCGGCGATTGCTGAGATGAGATGAGATGACTCATCTTTCCCTTTCCACACTAATTAATTACTATCTTTTTGAAAATTCTTGGCAGTTGTCAACTCCTTAAGTAGTCTCATTCTCTTCTATCTAGACTTAATTTGTCATTCATATTTATATATTCACATTCCTGCATTGCTAACTAAGAAATTAACCTATCTTATAAGCTACAAAGTACACAGGAAAGCAATGGTATCAGAAGATTTCAGCTTCCCAAAGATCAGCAATTTCCCCCTCAACCCTCATTTCTCTTTTTCATCTCCTTCTTTATGGCGAATATCTTCCCTGGTTTATCCTGATTTTTGCGACCAATTATTAGATGATGGAGTTGATAACAGAAACAGAAGCAGCAGTGAGGCAGCAGACGCAGACTTGATGATAAATAGTAGGAGGAAGAGCTTCTTGTTATCTTCTTGCTACGAAGAAAAGGATGAGCTCTCAGTTTCCAACTCTAAAGGGGATCAGGAGAAGATGGACATGTTATGGGAAGACTTCAACGAGGAGCTTCAAAGGGTTTCTTCCTTTGGCAACAACAACAACAACAAGAAACAGATGCAGCCTTTCAACTCCTCCAAGAAGCCAAACTTCTTTTTGCTTGTTAAGCTTTTCAAGAAGATCCTCTTGCTTCAAAGATCACCTCGTATCAAGAAAAACCACTAAATAACTAATATATATATATATATCTATATATATATATATATATGTGATTATTCAATGTTTTTGGCAAATCACAACTCGCAAGGATATATATTTGGTCCAATATTATACGCAGATTAATATTGTGGAAGGGCTTTTTGTCATTAGGGCAATAATGGAGTGCAGAATGCTATTGTTTTAATGCCAAGTATTTCCTGCCTCATTGCGTGCTATATACTTTAATGACCAAATTGTGATTTGTGCCTGCAATTGTACTTCTTTCATTGCTTAACTAATTGACTTGTGCTAAAATCAATTAATCATCCTTATGATAAATAATTCCAGAAATCATGGAAGTATAATAGCCTATTCAACTTTATTTTGTCTGTAAATTGAAGTTATTCCTATCCTAGCATCCTAATCCTTGATCTAATTGACTAATTGCAATATGGAGTTATGTAAATGAGACATAATTTGGTCTAATAATAAAGGTTAAGTCCTAATTAAGCAAGTAATAATAAAGGATTATACTATAATTTTTAGGCAATATCTATATCTCTTAAAAAGCAAAATTAGCTGGAAATGATTACCTCATATATATAAATAAATAAAAATAATTCGAACTTAAAAAATTTTAGTATAGTATGAAATTAACGGTCCTAAATATGACATGATTAATTATCAACATTTTTTTAACCCAAAGTTGAGTGCTTTTTTATTTTATTTATCAACAATTAATTTTCGTAGAAATAAAAAAAAATACGTTTTATGATTTGTTTCTGATTTGTACGCAAAAAGTCGGTCAATTTATGTATTTTTGGTTTCTGAACTAAAATACGGGAATCGTAAGAGGAGAAAAAGAAAATGGATTTGGAGAAGGTGAAGAGATTCTTGGAGAAAGAAGACGATGGCAAGAACCGGTCCGCCATTGAAGAAATGCCTCTTAGATTCTTCGAACGTTTCGTAATGCAAGGTATTCGCGTTGACCTGATAGAGCCTGGGCGTCTTGTTTGCTCCATGAAAGTCCCTCCTCGCCTACTGGTACTTACTTGCAGATTACCAAATTCAATTCCTCCTCCGCTATAATTTTTGTTACTCTTTTAATTGGATCGGACTTTGTTCCATGGGCTTATCTTATCTTTTTATTTCAAGAATGCTGGCAATTTCCTGCACGGCGGAGCCACAGCTACGCTAGTTGACTTGGTGGGTTCAGCTGTAATATACACTGTTGGAGCTCCATTTACTGGAGTTTCTGTGGAAATCAACGTTTCATACTTGGATGCTGCTTATGCCGATGTGGGTATCATTTCTTCCCCTTCTACTTTTTCCTAATTTTGTTTCATTTGTTTCCGAGTTTGAATATTTGTTAAGAGTGGGGGACGAAAAGAGGAAAACCGTATTCTGCTATTCTTTAGCTTTGACTCGCATTTGGTTTTTTGCAATTAACGATTAACTGCTTGTTTAGGCTATGGTATGAATACCAATGGAATAGATAGAAGTCTTTATACACACTACCTGAAATTCTTAACAAATGAACCCTATCAAGCTTTACACCTTTTAATTCATGTAATGATTTTCCGCGAGCAATATTTCACCTTTATGATATGAGCCCTTAGCTGATCTAGCTTCAGAATTTTTGAACTGGTTTTTTCCTAATCGCTTAAAATAGCATAAAAAGCACTCGACTCTGAGAAAATTGAAAAGAAATTACTTTTACGAGTGGTAGCATAAGTTATATAGGTGAAATGCTTGTTTGGCAAACCTCAATTCTAATACAGATGCAGTCAGCTTTTATGGATTCTTTACCTCCACTCAACTTGGATTGGGGCTACATCTACAGATCATAGAGTTGCTAAATCGTTTTCCACTACTTCATCCAATGTAATATTTGGTCTTGTATTGCAATATCAATATCTTTGACCTTTTGTACTTATGCATTTGTTGGTCTACAAATTACTCTTTCACTCATCTTTAATGGTGCCCTTTCACCTTATTACATATGCACCAATCGTAGGTCTAGCACTTCCATCTATTGGCAACTGCGCACATTTTGGTTTCTTCTTTAAATTGCTGATTAAGTTAGCCAAAAGACTTTATGTTTCAATGCATGACTGACTATAAAACCGCTTGGTTATTGGGCTAATATTACTTCTCAAGACACATAAAGATTTAACAGTTTTACATTTGTATCCATCATATTTTATCAATACTGCATAGTAATTGCATTGAGATAAATTCGTATGTCGTGCATACTTTTGGTGGGGTTTGGTTCTATTTCTTAGATCATATGAAATCCTCAAATTTCCCAATCAATTTATGAGGGTTGTTGTGCTAGTTTAGAAAACTATGGTAGTTTGCTGTCATGTTCTGGTCTTTATCCATTTCTCTAATGTGTCACCAGCTTTCTCATGACTTTCTATGGTAGTTTGGTGGGTAGTTTGCATATATAGAACTTAATGTACTGCATTTTTCAGAAGTTAATAGAGCAAAATTCATAGTCTGTTGAGGTATTATCATAGGCAACTTCAAATTCTGTCCGAGATTAGTGTTGTATTTCCTTTGATGTGAACGTCTAACTTGTTTTTCTCCCACCTTGTGGGAGAATATTGGTCATCTTTTATTGCACGGTACAAGTCTTATATTTAGGCTCTGTCTGGATGGACTCTTTGTCTCTGTATCGTCATCCCTGTTTTTGGAACTTCTAGAGGAAGTTTGCTACTGCAGATTGATCATGAAACCAATTCTTTTGTTCACTTTGGATCATAAAGTGAATGGATTTTCACACATCCTTCTAGAGTTTTGGGAGTCATTCTTCCTGAGTTTTTATCAAAGTGACTTGCATTTACTTCTTATCTTGTCCCAAGGGCATTGTAGATGGTTTCTGTGAGATGCTCTCAGAGTAAAAGCATGAAATAGAAAAGTTGAATGGGATTACCATATTTATGCAACACATACATAAATGGGTACGATGGATTGTTAGGTCCACAGAACGATGTATATGTCTTGCTGTAGTTGATGTGCATATGATGTGAAATGTTTCGTCATAAATAATATAAATGCTACTGTGGCGGCGTAAAGTTTCTTGTTGCTTGTTTTCCAGGAAGAAATTGAGATTGATGCAAGGGTTCTGCGTGTTGGTAAGGCTGTTGGAGTTGTCAGTGTTGAGTTCAGGAAGAAAGAAACTGGGAAAATAATTGCTCAGGGGCGACACACAAAGTACCTTGCTGTTTCTAGTAAAATGTAAATGGATTGAAGCTTCCTTATAATAGAGTTGTAACAGACAACATAATTGCTTCATTGAAACAAATAATGTATTTGCCAAATATGTTGTGTTTTACTGAATAATGTGGATTAACAGCTATGATTGATTTGATGGGCAAATGGGTTTTGCTGGCCCCTTCTACTTCGTCATTGTTCCGTTGCTTAGGCAAATTGATTTTTGTGGTATATTCTCTCACCAACCACGCACAATCAGCCCTTATCTCCACCTACCAACTCTATTCCTTCCTTTCCAGTGCTCTCATATTACAAACTAGTAATCGTACAGAGTTTACCGGTCGGCAAGTTCCACAGTTCCTTGTCATTTCAGAGCACGTACATCCCTCCACGTGAAAAAACTAAGCTACTTAATATAGAGAAAAGGAAGAAGAAATGCAAAATTTGGTTACGCCATTCATAAATTTTAAAAGTTCTGCCAATGTTTTCCAAAACATCATACAAGTTTGTGTAGTTAGAAGATTTGATGCGAGCAACTGAGCATCAATCAAATTGTTTAGAACCATTGGCTTTCAATCCTAAAGCATCTCCCAGGTTAATTGTGCTTCTCATGGTTCTCCTTCCAATTCCTCCGTTGCCCATCCTCATCATTGCTGCAAACTCCCCATAATCTATTTGTCCATCCTGCAATGCCAAAGTTTCAATTTCATAATCAGATTATCATTTTGAAACATGGAAACAGTTGAACTTTTGATCATAACGTCGAGAGAGAAAGAGGAATTTGGAGTTGTTTTCTGAGTTGGGGAGAAGAGCAAACAAATGAACCGTAAAGAGAAGGAAAATGGACTTGCGTTGTCTTGATCAATTTCTTTTATCATCTCATCAAGGTGGAGTTCACTTAAGCCAAACTCTTTGCAGGCTTGTTGAAGCTCATCTATGGTTATGTATCCACTACCATCTTTGTCAAAGAACGAGAAAGCCGACACCAAATTTTCCTCTCTTTCCAACTTATTCAAGTGTACTGTGGCAGCAAGGAATTCACCATAGTCAATTGTACCGCTGTTATCAATATCAGCCTGCCACAGACACAATATACTCGTTCCCTGTTAAGCTCAAACAAAATGAAGTAAAAATCGAATGTAAAAGCTGATTACTACAGGATGGAAATAATTTTTCTTACTGCATCCATCAAATCCTTTATTTCAGACTCCATAAGTTCAGAGCCTACTCGCTTTAAGCCTTCTTTCAATTCATCAAAAGTTATTGTTCCGCTGTTGTCTGTATCTATCATTTTGAACAACTCTTTTAAACCACCAATCTCTTCTTCAGAAAGCCTCTCTGCTATGACCTAAAATTGAGTAGAAAAATTAGCATATACAATCTCATGAGATCATCATCATAAAAAAGTTTGTGTTTCATATGTTTATACATATGATGCATGTTGTACAATTGAACTCAGACAAGAAACAAAAGAATTAGCAATGCATGGATAGTCCTGTATGTACCCGAATGTCATAAATGAAATGAAGAGAAATCCTGTTACAAAACCATTAAAAATTTTCATTGAACAAGTTAAACAACTGCTTAGCACTAAAGGTTACTGTCCAGACCTTAGGCTCAACATTATATTGTGTCTCCCTATATTATTCTCAATGTTTATTCAATATTGGCCACTGCATATAATTCCTTTTATGAGCACATATGACATTCAAAGGGGAGGACCTCCGGACACCAGAAACGGAGGATTTCCAGGATATTCAACTGCAATGCTTGTTAGCACATGGGAACAGATCAGGAGATCGAGACTAGAAGCACATTAGGGTTGGCTGTAAGACTTGAATGGCTGGCCCTTGTAAGCTCTAGCAGGTGCGCAGGTTACTTAAAATTAGCAGTAGTAAGACTTGAATCTATCATTTCCAAATGAACAGGCCAACCGTAATAGGCTAGCCAACAGAGTTTAGCCTTGCATGGCATAAACAGGCCAAATACCGGGTCTCCAGATGTTAATCCTTTGTCAGCAGTTGCTAGCCAGCCATGGGACTAATTATAGGTTAGGCTGGGGCCACGCTTGGCAGCAACTGGCCAGTCAAAAGGTTCACAGACATTAGACGTGGCCCTTGCCTGCTAGCAAATTGCCAGCCACAGAGCCAATACATAGCTGGGGCAGCACAAACTCCACCACAGGAATGTCACTAGTGCATAGTGGGCACACCAAGCATCACAGCATAAAAATTGGATTGTCTTTCCTCAATTGCCTCTTGATTGGTGTCTTTGGACTTAGTTTATGCTAGTGCATTCTCAGATGTGAGGCCTATACAAGGCATGTGCCTAGAAGGTATGCAGCACGGTACGTAACATAAGGATACCAAAAAATAAAAAATAAAAATCATTTCCTATGTTTATCCTTCTGCATCTTAAGAGAGGGATTTTTTCACCGTGACAAATTTGTGCATGGTTGCCACATGAATTCTGAAAACAGGTGATAACATAGGCAAGCACATATTGCAGCATTTAACAATTTGATAATGAAAGCAACGTGTACATCAAATGCTTACATTCTGAGAGACATAGACCACAATTATATATCATCTTATCTAACTCATTTTAAAAATTCCTACAAGAATGAAATCTAAAGAATCTTTACTTGAAATTCAAAATCCAGAAGTCATTTATGGTAAGGAACTTCTGAAATCTTAATGTTTTATCAATATCTTACCCTCAGCAAGACCTTAAAATATGATTAATCATTCAACTTTCTTATCTGTTAATGCATATGTTATAATGCTGCTTGCAGAGAAAAAGACTTGATATATCATTACAACTCAATGTTTCGACAGTAATAGAATCTGTTTACCAATTAATCAACCTAATTTATATAGATGCAATTATAGTTCAAAGTAGAGCTGATTATGCAATTTTGGAGAAGAGGAGGGGGGAAGTCTATTTATATATACAAAAGCCTTACTCGCAAAGCCATTTTCTTAAGTTTGTTCATTGCAGAGAACTGCTTCAGGCGGGATAAAACAGCTGAATCAAGAGGCTTATCTGGGGCAATTCTATCATCCACAATCCAAGGATGGCCTGAACAGGAGTTTAGTCACCATAATTAAGATCCACCAATGATCACTGTGCTAGGACTTGCTTAAGAAAAGACTTACATAGCACTTCATGAGCTGATAGTCTTTTTCTTGGATTCCGTTCCAGCATTTTTCTTATGAGATCCTTGGCACTCTCAGAAATGCTAGGCCATGGTTCAGACTCAAAATCAATTTTTGCTTGCAATATCTGCCGGAAGATTCCCATTTCAGTTTCTTGAGGGACCACAGGATGCAAAAGCCAAATCAATAATATGTTGTCGGCATTAAAATTTAATATTGCATCAATATATGAACTTGAAGATGATTACCTGCCCAAAAGGGTGGCACTCCAGACAGTAAGATGTACAAAATAATTCCTGCGCTCCATACATCTGCTTCAGGTCCATAATACTTGCGCAACACCTCTGGTGCAACATAGTATGGACTCCCAACAACATCAGAAAAAGTTTCACCTGGAAAGCGACAAAAGAAAACAGTGAGTTCCTATGAAGCAAAGATGAAACAGAAGAAAATAGATGGCATTAAGGCTTATCGTAGATGTATCAAAAATTTATGGGGTGAAGATAACATCATGGATCAATCGACTGTCTATCACATAAAGTATTGGATATACCCACCCCGGAAATAAAATAAGTTCATCTGGAAGGGAGAAAAGTTCAATGAAAGAGTAGAAATTTATCGCATAGTAAAGCATCATTCATTAAGTAAAAACAAATACGAGTTATTAATTTGATCACCTAATCGAAACCAATGTCAGAGGCGATACATCCACTGTGATCGTTACACTGAACTAGAGCAATATTAGTTCTAAACTTGATAAACTATGACTAATTTAATGAGGAATCTGATCATTAGTGAACAAACTCAGTAAGTGAACTAGCAACGAGATCCCAAGATTGAACATTTTAATTAAGATTCTAAGAAGCAGAAACGGGATAGACCCCAGTCAGAATTCATTCGCATAAGCGGAGAGGACCACTGAATCTGAAGAAAAACAAAACCGGTTGAAGAAAAATACACAAAAAAAAAAATTGGAGAGAAGTAATCAAAGAATAAAAAATAACGAAACCTGGCTTATAGAACACAGAAAGACCAAAATCAGTGGCCTTGAGAGCAGCATCCTCTTCAACACTATGAAACAAGAAATTTTCAGGCTTAAGATCTCTATGCATGACACCTAGAGAATGGCAAGTCTCCACAACTCCAACAATCGTCTTGATCAGCTTAGCCGCCTCTCTCTCACTGTATTGCCCTTTCTTGACAATCCTATCAAAGAGTTCACCTCCCTCGCATAGTTCCATCACCAAGTGGACACAATAAGCGTCTTCATAGGCTCCTCTGATCCTGACGACATGTGGGTGCTCTGACAGGTGATGCATTATTTGGATTTCTCTCCAAACATCTTCATAGTCTTCCTTGCAAAGGAGCTTCCTTTTGGGTATGGATTTGCAGGCGTAGTTATATCCACTAGACTTATGAGTGCAAAGATATGTAGTGCCAAACTGGCCTTGGCCAAGCTTTTTCCCTATGGTATATTGGTCTCTGAGGTTTTCGGTCCGGTGGGGAAGAACCCATTTGGGCTTTGATCTAGTTGCGTGAGTTGATGAAGTTGCAGCGGCTGTAGTTGCTGTTGCTGTTGTTGCTGATGCTGTTGCGGTTGTTGTGGTTGAATCTTCCATTGGTGGAGGAGTTTCACAAAATCAGAGAGATAAAATGAAGAAAGATTGACTTCCTTCTCTCTCTTCCGTCTCCGCCAGTGTTTAATGTTTAAAGGAAAACAGAGACTTTTATTTTGGAAATAAATTTCTTTGTTTTATAGATTCTCTTTATTACACAACACAAGGAGCTGAGTCACATTCTGGGTATAGACTAGGTGGGGCCTATTTATCTCAGTCTTTTATGTCCTAATCTAATCACCATTACTTATATTTTATTTATTGACTTCCTGCTTTTGATTCCTCACTAAAAATCTCATTCATCCTTCCCTTCCTTTCAAATTTTATGCAGTCCAGGCAATGCATTACCTAATGTTTTTTCAAGATAAGATATTCAGAATATTTAGATTCTTTATTTGGAGAAAAAAAATAGTGATTCACTATTCTATTCTATCCATCAATGCATTACCTAATCTATTTAAAATGCATAAAGTTGATTTACAATTATGAAAGTTTAATCCACAATTTTCATTGAGTTATTACTAATAGAAGATGGGTTAAACATTTCTTCATTTAATTCTTGTGTTCAAAAAATAATTCATATAAAAACAACATTCAAACATAATCAAGCATGCATCTTTATTCCACATTTTATAAATCAAGCATGTAAAATGTAGTGCATCATCTTGGAGCTGATGAGTGATTATGGCTGTTTTTTTTTTTTTTTTTTTTCTGGGTATAGACTATGGGTTGGGGGCCCTATTTAATCTCAGTCTTTGTATGTCCCTAGATCTAATCACCCATTTACTTTTATATTTTATTTATTGAGCTTCCTGCTTTTGATTCGCTCACTAAAAATCTCATTCATCCTTCCCTTTCCTTTCAATTTTTATGCAGTCGCAGGCCAATGCAGATTAAGACCTAATGTTTTTTCAGGATAAGATATTCAGAATATTTTAGATTCTTTATTTGGAGAAAAGAATAGTGATTTCACTATTCTAGATTCTAATCCATCAATGCATTTACCTAATCTATTTAAAATGCATAAAGTTGAATTTTACAATTATTGAAGAAGTTTTAAATCCACAATTTTCATTGAGTTTATTACTAATAGAAGCGATGGGGTTAAACACATTTCTTCAATTTAATTATTGTGTTTCAAAAAATATTTCATATAAAAACACCGATTCAACCATAATCTAAGCAATTGCATCCTTTTACTTCACATCTTTATAAATCAAGCATGTAAAATGTAGTGCCATCATCTTGGAGCTGATGAAGTGATTTGGGCTGTTTTTTTTTTTTTTTGTTTAGTTAGCAAAGGAGAAAGGAAATCCTGAATGTAAACCATTGAAGGAAATAGTCATAAGTCTGAATGGATTTTTTTTTTTTTTTTTTTGGTTAGTACAAGGAGAAAGGAAACCATAACCATTGAAGAAATAGGTCATAAGTCTGAATGGATGGTGGAGGTGCTAAATAAACTCATAGCTGCCCGTGCCTGGTGTATGGGCGCAAGCAGACAAGGAGATGCTGATGCAGTTTTGTTTTTTTTTTTCATTTTCGAGATATGCTTCAATGTCAGGACTCTACCATTCATTATTCACCATGGGAGATTTGATTTGGCCCATTCAATTTTATTTTATTTTTTATAGAATAGAATGGAATCAGTGGTACTTTTATATTTTATTGTTGGATATAAATATTATATCAAATATCTCTAAATAAACATGAGAATATAATGATTGGATATAAAGCATTATTAATAATATGTGTCCATCTGCCCTTCTAGTTTTATTTTTAATACTCATTCCATCATGTGATATGCAGCCATAATAAAGTGATACTGGCAGTGGAACACACTCCATGGCCAAGCAATAATCAGATCCCTCGGTACAAATCTCAAAATCACTTCACACTTGTAATAAAGCTCATAATATTCAAATCCCATCATTGTAGTCTTTTTTAGGCATCCCACTAAATAAATTGGCGAAATACACCACTTTGGTGTGATTTGTGATTCCTTCAAACAAGTCACAAAATAAAATTGAACTTTACGGGCTTCAAAGTATCCACAAAAATTAGACACAAGCCATAGAAACATAACTACTCCATATACTATAGCAAATAAATATGTTTATATTACAATATCAAAGGGTTAAAACCAATAAATAACCATATTCCAAGATATCATCCAGCAACGGTGAATAACAAACTCATTTAGGGGCTCTACCCAATAGAAGATTACATCTTCATATATAGCCCAAGATTAGATTAAGCAAATTAGATGTATGTTTAGGTTTGGTAAGTTTCATAGAATGGCCAAAAGGTCAGATGCGTTCCCAATGGTTCCACGATTCAAAACCAGTTGGAGCTCATATTAGCTGGTAAAACCCTGTACAAGATCTAATGCTACTGCTCTAGATGTAACTACTTTTCAACAAAACTAAACTAACTAAAATCCTATCCCGTCCCTTTTTCATCTTCTACTCGAGGGCTTCAGGTAGAATATTGTTTTGACGCCTGCAAATTACTAACAGAATTCGAAATCTCCAGCATCTGTTCCTCCATCTTAGCCTTCCATTTCACCAACTCCTTGAACATTTCCTATTGACGAATAAACAGTTCAGGGGATCTAATGAGCAAATACTATAAATAGAAAACAAATACCATATACAAATGTATGTATTATTTTAATAATACATACAAGCCAATCAAATTATTTTTAGTGGTACACTAGTAAATATCACCTGAAAAAGAAGAAATGGGTTGTCGAGATCAAACTTCAAATTGTTGGTAACAGATGAATCAGGAGTGGCACTAGCTTGAGCATCTTCTGTCCTCTTGGGTATTAGGTCCTGCACATCTCTGTTTATACAACAAAAAGGAATAAGATCAATTATATCAGTTTGTTTTTTCTATTTGGCAGGCAAAGCGGATCCATCGTAAAGCAATATGGCCCTCCTCAATATCTTTGTGTCATCAATTCCAAGTCCTATTACCTTTTCACTTTGGCCATTTCTTCCTTGAGCAGTTCCAGCTCTCTAGCACAAACGGGTTCCTGACAGGGACTATCACAAGGTTTCAACCAAGGCCGTGGAGCTGAACATTCCTGCACCAGTGCTTCTTGTCCCACATTAACCAGGTCAGTGCTCCCTAACCATGGTGCAAAGTCATCCCCCTGAACAGTGTCCAAGTTGTTGCTCTCTAACCAGTCCTCCCATCTTTCAGAAACTGGACTAAAGGTTGTGCATTGTTTTGAAGCTTGCATACTGCTCAATGAATTTGAAATTTCCGTAAGCTGCTGTTCAGTCTTGGACTTCCATATCATCAATTCCTGATACATGTCCTGTTCACAAAAAAAAAAAAAAAAAAAAAAAATTGGACTTCATATCATCAATTCCCTGATACAATGTCCTTGTTACAAAAAAAAAAAAAAAAAAAAAATCGAAAAGGGGACTTTTTTCGGGTTAAACGCGAGCAAACGCAAACGTGAAAAAAAAAAAAAAAAAAAAAAAAAATCAAAAGGGGACTTTTTTCGGTTAAACAAGCAACCAACGTGTCAATAGTTCATTCAAGGAATAAAGAGTTGCTTTGGTACCCGCATACTACTCAAAGAACTTGAAATCTCTACCAAGCGTTGATCAGTCTTACTTCTCCATCTCATCAATTCCTTGTGCATCTCCTGTGAATAGACACCGTCTCCAAACAAGATTCAACAAGATTCCAGGTTATCTATCAAATTATTCTATAGCAAACTATAATTCAACATTCACCTCTACTCGATTAGCTTGATTTTGCTCTCGATTCTTTGATAACAGCTCATCCATATCCCTACGAGGGAGGCACACAGAATAATTACAGAGTAGGGACCTCTAAACAATTCATGTAATATGGTTAGTTACCTCTTTAGTTTTGCTATTTCCTCTTTAAGCAGCATCGATTCTCCAGAAGAAACATACTCTCGAATGGCAACACCACTAGGCTTCCACCAAGATGGAGGAACCCAATTTGGATCTGCAGCCCCAGCCTCATGCTTAACTTTAACCAGATCGGCACTCTCTAGCCAGTACTCCATTGTCCCTTCAGTGTTATAACATCGACGAAACCGCTCAGTCCCACCTGGTGCCACTTTACCGTCAATGTGCTTCAGTAGATGGTCCAAGAGTCCGGTGTCTGGAATGTGTTTGCGAGCTGCCAGTCTCAGTACTGGCCTAGAAATGGGATTGTCAAACACAGCCCCTTCAGCCTTCATGACCTCCAACATTCGTTTCTCTGCCAGCTTGTACCTTCAAAATACAAACTCGTTTAATGATAAAGCACCACGTGACATTTCAACTTGACTGACAGCAAGTACAAGATATTAGATAATACCTCTCTGTAGACCATCTGTCTATGAAATTCTCCTTTTTGCTAGACATAGAACTCCCTTTCTTGCAGGGGATGGAATTCTCATGCTTAACTTTACGACTGTTAGTTTGCTTCAGACATTTTGCAGCTCTAGCTTCTCTAAGCTGGCAGAGGTTAAGGCGCTTCCTCTTCTGAATTCCAGAACACACATCAGCTGCCTCTATCCTAGCTTGTTTATCCTCCTTTTGCTCTTCTTTGACAATGGAGGATGAAATTTGAGGGTTGTTTCTCTCATGCTGGTCAACTGACGCAACTCGCCCACCCCACTGTACCATCCCGGTGCGTCTTAGCTCCAGAAAACACAATCCTTTCTTGGTAGCCTCATCTTGTCTCCCACAACTTAAATACAGTTCTGAACCACCTGCAAAGAAATACAACACTCTAAAACCTAAATGCTGCAACCAACTTCACAGGCTCAAAAACTTAGAAGTCTGATTAATCTAATAAGAAAGGAATGTCAGATTTATTCACTTATAGAATAATCGCCCAATATTATTTATTCACTGAAGGATAAAGGAGCATTGCACCTCCCAAATGGAGAGCACGATTCATGTCTTGTTTCCAATCTTGTTTCTAACTCCCAAACTTATTCATAAAAAATCCTCCTTGTCCTCAGAGTGTATACTTCATGTTGGTTATGTAAATTAAGAATTGAAAGAGACCGAACAATGAAGATGGCCAAATATGCAAGCAATGGTATCATGAACAACATTCATTAACTATATTTTTCTGAGTAGCAACAAACTAGATCCAAAATTTCCAGCAAGTTCATTTTTTAGGGCCATTCCTTTATTTCAATCAAGGATCTGAACTGGAGAGGTTACCTTTATACGAACTCGACATCAACAAGTAAATGTTCCCATAGTCCAAAAGCCACCGTTCCAATTTGTAAATGTGTTCCTTCAAATTAATCCAAACAAATAATAAAAATATCATCAATGCTTTTACCTTCTCACCTTTGATCATATATAAAATAACAGTAAATTAGTATCAACAGATAATGGAAAGGTTTAAAGCATCCAAACTAAGGTCATTTTTGACTCAGCGTAAGCCAAATTTCCTTAAATACTAAACAGTCACGAAACATAATTCAGGAAGAAATTACATAATTTAGTGACGTACCCACAAAAACCAGTGTTAGTTTTCAGAAAAGAGTTCACAAAATACAGTAATTCCTGTCAACCTGCATTGTGTATATATGAAGTAATTCACCAATTTCCCTACACTTTTCCTTCTTGCTCGCAAGAAAGACACAATAAACGAAAAGACGGTGCTCAGAAAACGATTCCACTCTGGTCATTTTAAGACAAGCTGACAATCTTAGTGTCATATATCATAAAACATAGAAGTAGGCAAAAAAAAAAAAAAACAGATAAATAGGCAAAGAAAGGAAGAAACCAAAAAAAAAAAAAAAAAAAAAAAAAAAAAAAAAAAAAAAAAAAAAAAAAAAAAAAAAAAAAAAAAAAAAAAAAAAAAGAAAAAAAAAAAAAAAAAAAAAAAAAAAAAAAAAAAAAAAAAAAAGAGGAAAAAAAAGGGTTCCGGTACATACCTCCAAAAAGAGAACGAGATTTCTCAAAAACCACTACGCCATTGTGAAATCTTAACTGCACAAACATAAATATAAACTCGAATATCTGCCAGCAAAAACGAACAAATAAAAGAGCTGAACAGATCAGAGAAAACAAAAGGTACCTTTTTTTTTGTCCTTTGTTGGGGATTTTAAAGGGACGACTGTTCGTTGGTTCGGGATTTTGGAGAGAAGAAGACGTGGGCCGACACAGTAGCCAAAATTCGATATTCCCCTCCGTTTGCAGAGAGGGAATGAGCCACTAAAATAATACAACAAGTACGCTCTCGCTAAACCCTAACCGCCATTTCTCTAAAACCCTTCGCTAATTTAATATTTTCAAAATTTGGTAAATATAAATCTGATCTCAACGCTAAGCGTCACGTGAGGATATCCCACAGTTAATTTCGAGTGTAATTACTATCTACTCCCTAGGGTTCAGTCAAATTTTTCAGAATTACATTACTGGAACGTAATTTGACTTTATTATTTTTGTTTACACTGTTGTAAAGTCAATTTGTATTTCGAAGGGTAGTTATTATGTAATTTAATTTTTTTCGCTTAACCGAGAAATTAAAAGTCATACACCAATTCATACAATGTATCGATGATATATATATATATATATATTGGACCGCATATACATAGGGGTGGCCACGGTTCCGGAACCGACGATTTCGGTTCCATAAAATTTGGAATTGGAATCAAACTAAAAATTAACGATTTCAGTTATAGTTTGAAACTGAACGGTTCCAGTGCCTCAACGGTTACAAAATCGACGGTTCTGACTAATTCTCCAGTCGATTTTTCAACCGGTTTCAGACGGTTCCGGCTGATTTTGGACTATTCCGATCGGTTTCAAACGGTTCTGACCGGAATTAGAATCGTCGGTTTTGGTTCCAAAACTGGTGAAACCATAACCGAACCGGTTTTGGTTCCGGTTCCCATCGATTCGAAACCGACAGTTTTGGTTTTGAAAACCGAATTTTGGCAACCCCTGTATATACATGGCAATTCTCTTGTTCCCATCACAACCCCATCCACTTATAATTTCACTTATTTTCTTCAAACAATCTTTATAAAATCTACTTTCTCTTTGTTAAAATTAAAATCTTCACAAAATCAAAATAGAGATGGATGTCTAAAATGAAAGTCTTTTATATTCCTAAAATTTATTAAATGTATGAGTTTTTAATTATATTAAATAGTATATTATTGTTGTGCAATCAAATTAAATTAATAGATTTGAAATATGTTTTTATAAATAAAATAATTTATTCCATTTAAAAAAACAATTTATTATAATAGATTTTAATAACCCATGAAACAATATATTTTAATAAATGATAAATTTTGAATAATCCATAAACTTTGCCCTATTTTAATTGTGCCAAAGGATGGATTTGCACAACAAACATGAATTATTTAGAATATGGTATATCAAACGTACAATATATTTACCTCTATTATATATAAAAGTCGAAATGAGACGGGAATAATGAGATTGTCGATATTGTCATTATGAAATTTAAAATATCCTAAAATAACATCAGTGTTGGGCAAGTAAAAAATTTTAACCGAAAAATATATATAATGCTTCTATAATTTGATTGGATGTTTTTTTTTTTTTTGACTTTTTTTTAATAGATAAATATATAGATAACTAAGCATTTTAAATTTTTAAACTTTACTATTATTATCTTATTATCTCCAATTATATTTTATTTCATTATATTATTCTCCAAGTTATATTTTATTTCATATATATTATTATATATTTTTAATAATTTAATAATTTTTTAATAAACTTTATATTATTATTATTATTATAGTTTATAATTTAGCTTCAATGTTATTATTTTAAATAATATATGTAATTATGAGGCATTTGAAAATTTTTATATATATTTTTTAATTTATTTGAAAAGAATATATCTAGATGATTCAAATTTTTATTTTAAAAGGATATAATTAAATTTCTTTAGTTACAAATTGCACTCTAATTTGATTGGCCAAAAAGTAAGATAAAAAATTATTATTTTTAAACATCTCAAATTTTATTACTTATACTGGTATCTATATTGATATCTTATATAATTCAAATCCTATTTCTATTAAATAATATTATGTTATTAATGATTTTTTAAATGCTTTCATGATTTTAATTGGATAAAAAAATAAAAAATAAAAAAATTATTATTTATAATTTTAATTTGATTTATTAGATTGGTTTTTTATTCTATTGTTAAATTATATTTATTTACCAAAAGAATTATAGTGAAGTTATTAACAAAACATGTAAATTAATTAAAAAAACTTATAATATAAGCTATATGTTGATTTTTATAAATCAATTTGGTTTTTCTTTAAAAAAGCAAATGGAAGTAACTAACGCATAATAAAGACTGTATGAATCTGAAACACCCTGAATTTTTATTTTCGAAACTTTTGAATGTTTATTAAATCAAAAAAAAAAATCGCAAATTTTGGCCGCGCGGGCTGCAATTGTAACACAGTCCCAATTCGAGCCCAAATTTTCGAATTGGGCCTAAGCCCAAAATAGTTCGTTCGGAAATTTTCGGTTTGAGAACAGTTAAAGAAACAGTTAAAAATTTTCGAGTAATAAAATGAAAGTCCAAGGCAATTAAATCTATTATGTATATTATATATTATTATATATATAATATATTAATATATATATATTATATATATAATATTAATATATATAAATTAATTACCCAAAAAACCAAATATTGTTACTATTTAATTTTTTGTTATTAACTATTGAGTAAATGAGAAAAATAATGGAACCAAACAAAATAAATAATTAAAAATAAATCGAACCCGAACCCGGAAATCGAATTAATTTGAACACCACACGAATAACTTGAGAAAACCAGCTGGGAAAAAATCTGAGATCATAGCAAAAATCAAGCAAATCATACAAATCTAGACCAAACCGGTTTGAATCGAACCGGAATGCTAGAATTGCTAGAAACCGACATTTTTCTTTCTTTTTTTTTTTCTTTCCTTTCTTCTTTTTTCTTTCCTTTCTTCTTCTTCCTCCAGCGTCGACCTCACCCTCGCCCTCTTCTTCTCTCGTTTTCCGACGACCAGAGAACCGCGCCGCGCCTCCTCACCGTCGATTCCTCGCCGCAGCAGCTCCGGCCTTCCCTTCCCTCTCTCCGTTCGTTTCTAGAGAAAGCAACAGTCGCAGGAAGAGCTGCGACCTTGCCTCGATCGGAACCACGTCGCAGTAGTATCCTCCTCGGCTCTCCGGCGGCTCCAGGCGGTCTGAATGACGGCGCAGCTTCACACTCTTCCTTCCATTGCCGTTCACCTGCTGGCATAGCGAATGCAAGGAACTGCGGTTGCGTTCCGAGCGGGACAGTAGCCCAACCATTTCTTCGACCACTACCTCCTTCACTTCCGACCGAACTAGCAGCGGCACTTTCTACTGGGTAAGCCAAATTTTTACCTTCTTCAGTAGAATTTAGGAGTTCTTGCTGGATGATGAAGGATTTGATTCATGAATTAAATTGGTGTTAGAACTAAATCCCTGCTACTACCTGTTCATGGCAATTATTAAGAGAATGTGATTCTTCAAACTAATTTTAAGTATAGATAATCTACTGAATATATTAGCATGAATAAAGATTGATTATAGACTGAATTCCGGATAGCACGAGGATGATATGTTGTTATACAGATTTTTCATTAAGGTTGTTAGAATAAAATTTGATATATGGCAGTTAAGCTAATCTAACCATTTTGTTTAAAGTTATTGCCTTTGATATAATGATTTAGGGATATTATCAACTAAGTCTTGTTGAAGAAAGGAGTATTGCCTGTAAATGTACAGGCTATATTCAGAAAAATCTGATTTCTTTATCTTTAGCTTGGCAGGGGCTAGTTGGTAAGATTTTATGAGTTTTGCTAAATGAGTTTATATTAATGCTATATATTTCTGATTCGTATTTGACAATGTTGTTGATAAGGTTTAATGATGTGATTGACAAAGAAATATGAACTATAGATTGGGATGACAATAACTTTAATTGAATTTTTATTTAGGTTAGCATTGATTCTTAGTGGCTAGTTTAGAATTTTAACAAATGTATAAATATATGCGGTTTATACCTTAAGCAAGGATGATGAAGTAAAGGCTCGACGGGGAGTTTGTAATGAATAGAGGCTAAGTAACTATCAAACGAGAATAGTTGAATTTAATTTATCGATGCAAGTTTTATTTATAAAGTGTACATTTATGCAAGTTTTATTTATAAAGTGTACATTTATTCGATAATTAGTTAGAGGACAATTAACAATATCATTGGAACATGTTGGAGGTTATTATAATTTGTAAACTAATTGGTGAATGTCGACATGGTTTTTTTGAAAGGAGGATGAGAATTAAGTTGATTGATTGCCTGATAGATGGGCTGCGTGTATTGATTGATAAATATATAATTATTGTGATATTTAAACAGGTAGTTAGTCATATTTTTAGGGGAGGTTCTGCCGAAATTTTGATAGAACTTAGACTAATTTTAATTAACAACATAATTAATAAGTTTATTTGGATTAGGTCTATAACTTGGTACATAATAAATATAGTGCTCTGATTATTTATTATCTTTATTATTCATTTAATTATTTGCATATTTATTTATTTATTTTCATTATTATTATCTTTATTATTATCATGGTTAATTAGTTGCTATATTTATTTGAGTTTATGGATTTGCATTATTGGTCGTTTCAATGTGTTGATTATGCATGTTTGAGTTGATTGCGAGTTGTTAGTGTTATTGTTGTTTATTTGTTAATACTATTGTTTATTTATTTTTTGCGGAGTGATTGGATGTCTAATTTGATTAATATGTTTTTGCATTGATTGCAAGTGTTTGAATTAAATTGTGTTGTGATATTGCTGTGCTTTGTTTGTGTGGAATTGGGAATGAAGTGGGTCCCACCCATAGTTTGTGAGGAACGTCGATTAAAGCATGGATTCTTTGATTATATGAATTATGAAACGTGGGACCGTCGCCGGGTAAATGGGAAGATCGGCGCCCCCGTGTGCACCTATCCGTTACCTTTTACTGTTAACGCCAGGTTTGGCTCTTTTATTGGGCCCGCACGCGGATAATCTATGATTTGTATCGCAGGCCCGCAGGGTGGCCTCCTGTTGTGAGCGCCTGATGATCTAGATTTGGATGGACACGAGCCGGGTTTTGCCCTCCTGTTGGTATGGCAAAAGAAAAGAGAGAATCTGGGAAAAAACAATGAGCAGGGTTGGTGCCAAGTGAGGATTAGACCGTCTGAACAACAGTATGGGGGATCGGGCTCCCTGGTGCACACGATATGCGAGGATGGGCCATGTTGGGAGGACGGGCTTCATCAGGGGGTTTCGGTGGCGCCACATGCGACCAATTTCTCCACGTGATGGTGGATTAATATGAAAAAATGTTAATGATTGTGGAGTGCTGTGATTGTGCGCCATTTGTGTGACTAGCTGGCGTTGCATATAACTAGTCCAGACGACTAGATTAATATTTTACGACACATTTGGTGTGAGAAACTGCGTGTGTGGGTGCACAAAATTATTACTGCCCTTAGAAAACTCACATGTTCTTGTTTGACTTTTTTTTCAAAGGAAGTAAGTTTTTCTTAAATTTCCGATATTCAATTTAGGCTATGTTTCTTCGACGTAGGGCATAAAGAAATTTTCCCTAGTTCCATAAGTATTTTACCATGTAACTGTATGTATAAAAAGCTATGTATATCACACAGTTAGTGACTCTGCATTTGTAGGATTTATATATATTTAGTCGTGTATTAACATAGAGAAAATAATTCTGTAAGCCCATATTAGAATGTGATGTATTCTAAATTGGGCCGGAACTATAGAATGCTGTAGAAGATAAACTTGGGCTGAGAAATAATAAAATATTGAGGTTTATTTTTCATAATCATATGAGCTGAATGTCGAAATTTATACCGTTTTAGTGTTTCAGGCTTACTACGGGCTTCGGGGGCCTTAAGCTTACCTTAGCCCTAGTGCCGGTCCGGCCCACGGAAACGGGTCGTGACAGAATCAATACGTTGACATATAACCAAAAAAAAAAATTTACTGTATATATAAAGTATAATATATTTTAACAATTCAATTTAAATAAGAATTTATACTTTTAATATTATATAAATAATAAATTAAACGAGTATAAAGAATAAGCATATAAGGAGCATAATCAACGTATAACGCATGTCATAAAAATAACTAGTTATATAGAAGAGTGGTAATAAAGAGGAATAATGAGATTTCATATATTGTCTTCGTAAAATTTAAGATACTCTAAATAAGATACTCTAAAATAATTTTAGTCATAGTCAATTCAAAAATTTTAACATAAAATATATATAATATCTCTATAATTTGATTAGATGTTTTTTAATATTTTTCAATATATAAATACGTATAGATAATTTAAGCATTTGAAAATTTAAAATTTTACTATTATTATCTTATCATGTCTAATTATGTTTTATTTCATTGTATTATTATATATATTATTAATAATAATTTAATTATTTTTATTTTTATTTACTATTGTTGTAATCTATCTTCGACATTATTGTTTTAAATGAATATATGTAATGTGAGGCATTTGGAATTTTTTATTTTTTTTGAATTTATTTTAAATATATATATCTAGATACTTAAGATTTTGATTTAAAAATGGTGTGGTTCAATTTCTAATTTGGTTGGCAAAAAAATAAGATAAAAAATATCATTTTTAAACTCCTCGAATTTGATTAATTATATTGATATCTTATTTAATTAAAATCCTATTCTTTTTATTAAGCAATATAAGTTTTTAATAAATTTTTTAAATGATTTCATGATTTTGATTGGCTAAAAAATAAAAATAAAAATAAAAATAAAAAATATTATTATTTATACATGTTTAATTTAATTTATTAGATTAGTTTCTTATTCTATTATTAAAGTATATTTATTTACTAAAAGAGATTATAGTAAAAGTTATTAAAAAAACATATAAGTTAATTATAAAACGTAAAATAAAAGGTATATGATTATAAATCAATTTGTTCTTAAACAAAAAATAAAAACAACTAGCGTATAGTAAAAATTTTATGAACCAGTATGTTGAAAAGAATATAAATGACATATTTTATATTTAAATTGCTATTTTAAAGAGAGAAATAAATATATTAATTTTTTTCAATGAGATATTTTTTTTAATTAGATATTACAGTACAAAATATATAACTAAAAAAAATATTTTACTGTATATATAAAAATTCACTATATTTATTATAATCTAAATAAAAATTTATATTTAATTACATAAATAAAAAAAATTAAATAAATATAAAAAATGAGCCATATAAATAAGTACACACGTATCATGCATAGTAAAACACAATTATTAGTAGAGTCAACACTTATTTTATGGTAAATCAAAGCAAATGAAAAGTTAGGATGGATGTTGACTGGAGGTAAATAGAGCTCGGAGTAATTAAACCAACTGTTGCATGGGAATATAGTAGTTAAATTTACAAAGTCCAATATATAAAAATCACTATATTTATTATAATCTAAATAAAAATTTATATTTTAATTACATAAATAAAAAAAATTAAATAAATATAAAAATGAGCATATAATAAGTACAGTATCATGCATAGTAAAACACACATTATTAGTAGAGTCAACACTTATTTATGGTAAATCAAAGCAAATGAAAAGTTAGGATGATGTTTGACTGGAGGTAAATAGACTCGGAAGTAATTAACAACTGTTGAATGGGATATAGTAGTAATTTACAAGTCCAATCGTTAGGCTAATAAATAAATAGACCCTTTGTTTAATTGCTATTCTTTTTATAAATAATAAAAATTGCAACCTCTCCGTCTACAGACACCAAAAAAATAAAAAAATAAAAAACAAAACAACTTTGGTCTGACGATTGATCCGATGACTCGGGCGGGTAGGGTGCTGAGCGGGTATTTTTGTCTAACAGTGGAAAAGAGGGGCAGGCCACTGGCCAGAGTCAAACTTATACCTGTCACCAAACAAAGCAATTTCCAGTGCGTTGGGTTTCTTCTTTCACACCAAATCTGCCTCTGCCCATTGCCAGCTATGAATTCCAAAACTACTTCTTCCCTTATATTGTGGACATTTTGTACTTCTCTTTTGACTTTTCTTAGAATATCGATCAAAAGGAGGAAACTAATATTCTGTTATAGTAGAAGAATCTCTCTTTTTGTTTTGTCCATGTAAGTTACTTTAATTCTCGCTATTTATTTTAATTGTGATGTCTCATTGGAATCTGTTCTTCATTGGTCAAACACACGGATTGAGGTTTAGATTAATATTTTCTTTCTGTGATTTTGTGTGATTGTCGCTCAAAAGGTGATTGGGTTTTTCTTTATAGTGTATCGGATTTTTAGTTAAATACCGGGTATTTAAAAGAATTATATATTTGAATTTCCTCTCGTCATCCATTATGGCACACAGAGTGAGAATGAGCTCGATTGTTTAATTGGGTTTGCCGTGTTTGATGATGCAAGTTAGTGTTTGGCTGACGGTGTTTGACTTTGCTGCATCAAGTAGATGACTTTCACACTCCAATTTTTGTTAATCAAACAGTACAAGAACTGGAAGAACATCGTTTAGTAAATCCCATGTGGGAACTTTCTTATATATAAACCAAGTCAATTATTTCCACGTGCTTTCACGGTTCTGTTTGATTATGGATCTAGGCCATATGATTCTAGTTCAGTTTCTTTGAGGGCTAACTTCCAAATCATCTCTGGCAGCATTTTGAGAGAAAGCAATTATGACAAGCTTTGATGGCAGCATAGCTCCCAACAACAATGAGGTTTGTATTTAATCCGTTAATCAATTCAAGCTGGAAAATATTTGCAGAAATATACTCTTCTCTGCTGTTTGTTTACGAAACTTCTAACTTTTTTTTCCTATCATAAAACAGGGAAAGTTTACTGCAATGGCAGTGTGTTGGCTTCTTGGAAATGGATGTCTCTTTTCATGGAATAGTATGCTCACAATAGAAGATTACTATGGCTACCTTTTCCCGGTATTTCCCATATCCATTTTTGTTAAAATCCTCAATCCTTTTCACATGCTCATCATTATTATTATTTTATATTATTTCCCTTGGTAAATTTTGAAAATTTATGAGTTGGCTGTTTGTGACTGACAGCAGAGATGAAGAATTTGCTGGAGCTACATTTATTATCATTAATATAATGTGTATTCCAAATCTATTCCTATTTAACAGTGAATTTAACCTTTTGCCAGTAACTATTGAAACATGATAATGAATTTTATCATGTTACTTTAAGTTGTCAGTCACTCATGGTTCCTTTGATATGCTACCTTGGGCAAATAACTTACATAATCTATTATTATGGTTTGCGCTGTTTATAGTGGTTCCTGATGGTGTTTCATAGATGATAAATAGTAAGACAAGATGCATTTTCTCGATTTGCAGATCTCATTGCATATGTTCAAGAAATCTTGAATTTGATATGATTGTCCTTACTTTTCGTATTGTTTAATGATTTATTGCGCATATCTTTTAATTTGAAAATTTGCATATATTGTTCAAAGAGGATGGTGCTGTATCAAAATATTCTTTTCCTATAGTTGCTCCATGAGTAAATTCTCTTTCTTGTAAATCATTAAGTATATTAGTGTTTCTTGTCAGTGTTGCCAGTATTACTATTATTATTATTATCATGGCCTTTGGCCATGGATGGCAGTCATTTATTTGACATTTGAGAAATGTTTTTTCTTAATCTATGCAGCGATACCACCCCGCAAGGGTTCTTACTCTTGTGTATCAACCATTTGCATTTGGAACACTTGCAATACTTGCATACAATGAGGCAAAACTCAATACAAGAAAAAGGAACGTATCTGGATATATCCTATTTTTCATAAGCTCTCTTCTTGTTTTAATTGTGAGTATCTTCATTTTTTATTTTTATGTTTTCCAAATAACTCATGGACAGATTTGGTTAATTCATAGGCATATTACTTATTCATTTGAGTTCTCATTCTGTTTACATTTATTATGCTTCCATAGCTTGATTTAGCTACATCTGGAAGAGGGGGCCTTGGAACTTTTATTGGGATTTGTGTCATTAGTGGTACATTTGGAGTTGCAGATGCCCACGTGCAGGGTGGAATGATCGGAGACCTATCCTTGATGAAACCTGAACTACTGCAGGTCAGTATATTTGGCTGGCCTAGTAACCTGTTCCATGGTTTTCTATCTCCTATGATTGTTTTTCATGATCTCAATTTTGATGAATCTTTTATTTTTTCAGTCCTTTCTTGCTGGTATGGCAGCATCAGGGATCATAACTTCTGGTTTGAGGTTCATTACAAAAGCAGCATTTGAGGATTCTAAGGATGGTCTTCGCAAAGGAGCTAGTATGTTCAACACCTTTATCTTGCTTCCTACAAAGAAAACTTAAATAAGGAACTCTCTTTAATATGCTTAACCTTTTGCCCATGGATGATATCCCAGGATGTGAAGGGCATTAATATGATCACAAAATGCACTTGTAATTTTGCCTTAGGTTTCATATTTACATACTTTTGTGGACTTGAAGAATTATATGTTTCCTATCTCATAGAGTCATACATAACAATGGCATCCTGTTCCAACCACTGTAAGAAACTTGCCAATTAGCCGTGAAATTTTCAATTGCTAATTGGGGAAATTCCCTCCATAAATATAATTACTGACAGCAAAAAATTGTCAGAAAAAGGCTTGTTGGTAAAAGTACAATTACGGCCAATTTGTCTGTCGGCATTTGGCGAAGATTCTGTCAGTAGTTCTCCCGAATTCCATAGGTAATTTCATTGTATATCTGTAGTCTGTTGTCTTCTACTCTAGTTAGCAGTGGAAACACAAATTGTCATTAAAATCCAACAGTGTCAATATTTTGGTAATTTTAACCACAAATTTTGAAATATTAACTTAATTATTTTGTCCATCGCTGATCTGTCGGCTTTAATAACGAACTTCTCTGCATCTAAACTTTATTTGAAATTCTGTTAAACATACAATTTTGAACACCGCTAAGCAGTAAACCCTCATTTATGTTAATGGTAATTGAGCAGTGATACTTAACACCATATCAAGTTATAACTGGTTGATGGCTTTCAACTATGTTTAGAACTTTTCAGTATTTACTTGTGGTTATGATTCTCTTGTATAGTATATAAAAGAATGTGGAATTGTCTGACTATAGGGAGCCATTGTGCTGTTATCCGTTGTGTACAATCTGAATTCATCATGGTAGTATTAACTTATTTCCAAAAACTCCATGCTTTTGGAATTTTATGCAATCTTGCTAAGGCTAACTAGTTCTTCTGTTCGTAACCTATATATATATATATCCTGCATAATGTTAAGCTTGGCAAATTATTTGTTTAACAGAAAAGTTCACACTTGGGCTTTCTGCAAGTTGGTTATCATGACTAAATGTCTTGATTGTCTCCTGCAGTTGTATTTTTTGCTATCTCTGCATTTTTCGAGTTCCTTTGTGTTTTTCTCTATGCCTATGTCTTTCCAAAACTACCCATTGTGAAGTACTACCGCTCAAAGGCAGCCTCAGAAGGTTCAAAAACGGTTTCAGCTGATCTTGCTGCTGCTGGCATCAGAACATTTCTTAAAGAAGAAGTATGCCCCTTTCCCCTATGGATATTTATTTAGCATAGTGTTTATGCGAATTCAATATGCAATTTAACAATGAAATTCTTGACAGGCTGAGGAAGATCCAAAAAAATTAGAGCGGCTAAGCAACAAAGCTTTACTATTGGAGAACATTGACTATGTAGTTGATATGTTTTCGATATATGTGCTCACATTGTCTATTTTCCCTGGATTTTTATCTGAAGATACTGGATCACATAGTTTAGGTGCATGGTGAGCCTTAATTTTTATTGAAAAAATTTCTTTTCAAATAGAACTAATTTATTTTCGTCTTCCTTGGTAATTTAGAGAAGCGTATGTCTGAAGTTTTTGTAATTTCTGAATTTGGTGATATTTCAGGTATGCCCTAGTTTTGATAGCAATGTTTAATTTATGGGATCTTATTGGGAGAAACATTCCACTTGTGAAATCCTTGAAGCTGGAATCGCGAAAAGGTCTCATGATAGCTATTCTCTCTCGTTTCTTACTCATTCCTGCATTCTATTTCACTGCCAAGAATGCAGACCAGGGATGGATGATAATGCTAACATCCTTCTTAGGATTAACCAATGGTTATTTCACTGTCTGTGTACTTACTTCTGCACCAAAAGGTTACAAGGTTTGTAGGTTCCCATAAAATACTCTAGCAAAATTATTTCTATTTTTATTTATTTATTTATAGGATTAATTAGCATTTGAATAGAACTAATTCAAACATATTTTTGTTTTGCCATAGGGACCGGAGCAAAATGCCTTGGGGAATTTCCTTGCTTTGTCTCTTTTGGGTGGTATATTTGCCGGAGCAATGCTCGACTGGTTGTGGCTGATAGGCAAAGGATGGTGAGGGCAGACATCTGCAAAGATCAAGTGGAGACTCTTCCTTGGGAGGAAACTGTTGTCTGATTTGCATAATATTGGTGAGTTGTGATGAGAAGCGATAGAACTTTGTGGAAAGATTGATTCAATTGGTGAAAAGGTTGGACAGTTTTCTCGGAAATCGAATTATCAATACTTTGTTTTGTCATATTCTTTGTGAAGTGTAGATAAATGTTACATGAATCTCTGGAAGTAGCAAAATGTATAATTGTTTCCATGGGATTTGATGCTGAAAATCTCCCCCTTTTAATTTTCTTTTGCTTGCCATTATTGACGATATTAGTTATGAAAGAAAAGGTTGCATAAATGAAATCTTTTCTCCCTTCCTCCTTTTTAATTAAATTCAGTTCTTTCTTTTCCCTTCTCATTGTTTACCTTCTTCACCAAAATAACATTGATTTTCTGCACCCAGTGTTTAAAAATGTTCAACGAACTTGACCTTGCAAACTGCCATTTATGAACTGCAAAATGTTCAATGACCATGTGTAATTTATTTTTTATATATAAATAATACACCTTTATTACTTTTTAAAAAATTATTATTATTTAAATAAAAGAACGTAAGAGGAAAAAGCAAAGATGTATCCCTTCCATCATAAATACTGGGATTGGCTAATGGCTATTTCACCCTTCTCTCGCTAATAACTGGAATATTTAACTTCTATAATACTCATATAATAATGTATTATTATCTGAAATAAAATAACACTCGATATGAGTCAACGAACACCACATCCAAGCCGATTGCTTGGTTCTCACCAGTCTCTTCTCTCTATTTGAAAGAAAGCAATCATGTCAATTCTTGATGGCGGCATAGCTCCTCCTCCTGCTAAGCTTGAGGTTTGTAATTGTAATCAATATTTTCATTGCTTTAACCTTTTTAATTAGGAAATTGATTTACCTTCTCATACGCATTTTGGTATCATTAACGCAGGGAAAATATGCTGCAATGTTAGTATGCTGGCTTCTTGGATGTGGGTCTCTCTTGTCGTGGAATTGTATGGTTACAATAGAGGATTATTATGGCTACCTTTTCCCGGTAGGTATTTCCCATCACCGATACTTCCTTTAGGCAATATTTGTAGTCTGCATATTTTACTTTTTCTATTAAGTAGCGTGGTCGGTTCCAACATGTTCTCCATGTTTTGATCTCCAACAAACCTTTTGGCATCTCAGTCACTCTTCTTATTATCGTTGTAATTGTGATGGCCGTTGTTGACACAATACTTTTTTTTTTTCTTTTGCATGCAGCAATACCATCCCTCGAGGGTCCTAACTGTTGTGTATCAGCCATTTGCAGTTGGAACACTTGCAATCCTTGCATACAATGAGGCTAAACTCAATACTAGAAAACGGAACCTATTTGGGTATATACTGTTTTTCATAGGTTCTCTCATTATTATAGTTGTGAGTATACAGCATCTTTTGATATTATGATATTTATGATTTTCTATGTACCTTTGTGACATATTTCCTTAATTTCGGACCATATTAATCACTTCAATTTTCTGCAATAGCTGGATTTAGCAACATCCGGGAAAGGAGGCCTTGGGACTTTTATAGGAATTTGTGCTGTTACTGGTTTGTTTGGATTTGCAGATGCTTTTGTTCAGGGTGGAATGATTGGAGACCTCTCCTTGATGCAAACTGAATTTATTCAGGTCTGAATATTGGCTGACCCTACACCATCCTCCATCTTTTGTTTTTCTCATACAAAAGTCTGATACAGTTTTAATTTAGTGGATATTTTTCTTTGTTTTAAATTTGTTCAGTCGTTCCTTTCTGGTTCAGCAGTATCAGGAACTTTAACCTCTGCTTTGAGGTTAGTTACAAAAGCAGCATTCGAGAATTCTAAAAATGGTCTTCGAAAGGGAGCTAGTATGTCCAGTTGCTTTCTGATTTGTTACCTATACATAAAATAAAACATCCATTTCTTCTGCACTTTTCTTGAACATTTGTATTTATCCCTTGGGTGAATGCATTAATATACCCTCCAAAAATACCAACAGTAATTTCTTTTATTCTATATTGATGGATGTCCTTCCATGAACTTAAATAACATGTTTCTTGTTGCAAGGTCAACTTTTGGGTTTCCAAATTTTCTTTCTTCTGTTCTGTTTGAGAGTTCTTCACATTCATCTAAAGTCTACATTAAGCTAGTCTTACTTGTGCTGATAAATGTCAAGAATCATACACAATTAATACAGTTTGTTGATGAGATGAGCTATTTATCAGTTTCAACTTAAATTTCCATTTTTTCTTCTTCTAGAGATCTAGAGAATTTTATAATTTTGAATGCTGTATATAACACAGGTATGTTAAATGAAAAAGTATCATGGGAAAGTTAGTTGAGGGAATGAAGACTTTGACCTATAACTTGGGATTATAAATTATCAAAAAAAAAAAAAAAAAAAAAAAAAAAAAAAAAAAAAAAAAGTCCTATAAACATAAGCTAGTCTTAACTTTGCTGATAAATGCCAAGAATACAATACACAATTAATACAGTTTGTTGATGAGATGAGCTATTTATCAGTTTTCAACTTAAATTTTCCATTTTTTCTTCCTTCTAGAGATCTAGAGAATTTTATAAATTTTGAAATGCTGTATAAACACAGGTATGTAAATGAAAAAAGTATCATGGAAAAGTTAGTTGAGGGAATGAAGACTTTGACGCTATACTTGGGATTACAAATTATCAAAAAAAAAAAAAAAAAAAAAAAAAAAAAAAAAAAAAAAAAAAAAAAAAAAAAAAAAAAAACTCTTTTGAATCACCAATAGAAATAATTCATGTTCTTTTTGCCTGCATTTGAGCTTTTGCACATATCCAAATTGTTTCTTGGCAAATTATTCATTTTGTGCTTCGACAGAAAATTATAAACTTTCTCACAATTTTGTTACCATGACTGCATTTCCCCGTCCACTGCAGTTTTATTTTTTTCCATTTCTGCATTTTCCGAGCTCCTTTGCGTTCTTCTCTATGCATATACTTTTCCAAAGTTACCTGTGGTGAAGTACTATCGCTCGAAAGCAGCTTTAGAAGGATCTAGAACTGTTTTAGATGATCTGGCTGCTGGTGGCATCCAAACATTACCTCAAGAAGTATGTCTCATTTCCCTAGCATAAATTTGTAATCCTTTTCCTGGTAAATCATTATGCAATACAGTGCAACTTTTAGCAGATGGAAGAAGATCCAAAACAACAAGAGCGGCTGAGCAACAGAGAATTATTGAAACAGAATATTGACTATGCAGTTGATTTATTTCTCATATTCGTGATCACATTATCTATTTTCCCTGGATTCTTATCTGAAGATACCGGATCACACAGCTTAGGCACATGGTACGTCTTATTTTAGAGAACACCATTAGGTTAGTATGCAGAGAATGACTTTATCCAGCAAATGCTCTTTTTTTATGTACTCTCTGTTCTTATTAGCAAAGAAAACTTCTGAATCTGATTTCCCATTGTCTGCTAACTACTGAAAACCTATCCAAAGCTTTCTGAATCTATTATTTTTCAGGTATAGCCTAGTTCTCATAGCTATGTTTAATGTATGGGATCTTATTGGGAGAAATATTCCACTTCTTCAATCCTTGAAGCTGCAGTCAAGAAAAGGTCTCATGGTAGCTGTTCTCTTTCGATTTTTACTTATCCCAGCATTCTATTATACTGCCAAGTATGGGGACCAGGGGTGGATGATAATGCTCACGTCCTTCTTAGGGTTAACCAATGGTTACCTCACTGTCTGTGTCCTTACTTCTGCACCAAAAGGCTACAAGGTTTGTTCGCTATACGATACTTGCAAATCAGTTTTTCCCATAGTTTTGAGTAGCATCTGAGTAAAATGAATTCAGTGTTAATGTATTTCTGTTTCATAGGGACCAGAGCAAAATGCCTTGGGAAATTTGCTTGTCTTTTTTATTTTTGGTGGCATATTATCCGGGGCTATATTAGACTGGCTGTGGCTGATAGGCAAAGGATGGTAAGCTTTGATTCCTCTCACTTTGTGACAAAAATTACTTTTCAGGAAGAAAGCTATATCTTATCTATAAGATATTGGTCAGTAATCAGATAGCAAAATTTAATATTTGACGCATTAAAATCCAGCAAATATTTAAATAATCAGCTTCTTGAGCAAAATTTCAATACAAATGCCTCTGGACTCAAATTATTGGAATAAGCGCAGGTGTACCACTGTCTAATGTTAAAATTCAAGCTCTAAAACCATTAAGTCAAAAAGGTTTGATATCATATTAAAACTATAAAGCTTAGTTAGAAGATTAAGCTTATAGGAAGGACCTGAGAAAAAATAGCTTTTTCCTCTTTCTTTTTTGTAGACTGATCTTTACCATAATCATGAACGCTTACACAGATAGTTTTGAGTTCTCTCATAACATCAGGCTAATCACTACATATGTTTCCTAGAACATTCCCAACCTCAAATGGAAACCTTGCACTCTTCCTAGCATTTCCGAAGTCTTTAACTACTATTAAGTTCAATGGTGGTAATGCAAAGAGATAATTCAGAAGTTTTCAGTGCATTTCAAATTATTAACAGTACTCAACATGCCCCATCTTGTTTATGTGCTTTTGAATATGCTATTGGATTATTGGCAGGGGTACGAGGTTGATGAAATTGATCGATTTTCTGGTTCTGTAAAAAAATCAGATGCTGAGCAACAAAGTGTTAGTTGGGCAAGAGAGATTGCGGGGTGTGTTTTCTAGTGAGAAATCATCATTTGTGCATTAGAATCTTTAAATTGTACTTAAAGACCCTAACTGGGTCTAACTGGTTCGCTAGCTTGCCTGCTAATATGCTGTATTTCAGATTTGACATCATATTTATGTCTTCTAAGTTGCAGTCTGTTTTCCAAGGGCCTTTCGGAAGTTTGTAACATACGGACTCCACTGTAATTCTCTGCTTGTCCTGTTACTTGTCCTGTTACAGCTGCCATCAAGTTTCTGCCTTGTATGATTTTTCCTATCATGTTTAATGCCTTGTAATTTTGGAAGAAATAATCCAAGGATTTATATGTCACTTTTCACTCTGAGTTATTTCTCATTTTTACTCCTGTTTGAGATTATGCAATTATAAAATAGTGAATTTGAACTCATTGTACAATCATACAATTATGAAAAATTTTGAAATAAATTTATTGAAATATATGTAAATATTAAAATTAAAATAATTAAATATCAACAAATAAAATTCAATAAAAAATGTATATTAATATGACACATTCCTTTTTATTTATTCTCCTAAATTCTTAAAGTAATCCTTCAATGAGATTTTAAGAAGCAAGTCTTTTGATTTATTAAAAAAAAAAAAAAAATTCAGCAAGAAGCATTATTTTGGATATCATTTGATTAACATGTGGATAAACTTTAACGTATCTATAATATTTGCCATGTAAAATTATTAACTTAGTACCTGAGAATTTTGATGGATTGATGATTCTTGACAAGTTATGATTTTCATAAACTATATTTTATGCCTCTTCTTTATCTTTCAAGTCTTTTAGGGCTTTATCAAAGAAAAGCTACTCTTAATTGTCCTTTTCAAAAACAAATGTTTACTTGTTCACAATCTTTTCACATGGTAGTACCAAAATAAACATACTTCAGATTTTGAGAGAAACATTGGCTGGAAGGGGTCTTTTGATCCAATTGGCTTATCAGACACCAAGTGGATTGAGTATATACACTTTTTTTTTTTCTTTTTTCTTTTGTAAAAAATAACAATATAATGAGAAAAAAATGAGACTAGTTATGCAGAATGTTGTTATTTTTTCCCAAAAATTATTATTGTAGGATGGAGGAAAGTTTGGATCGCATTACAGAGAACTATACTACTTCCTACTATGGATTTAAAGTAAAATAATAATAATAATAACACTCAAAACAAATTGATATTGAGTTCTGGCAATTTCATGCTGAAGCTTTCGGTCCAAAAATCAAAAGGTATACCCCTTTGGTTTAAGAAATCCTATAATCGGGCTTGCTCTAGATATGATATCTTTTGTACATTTGATGGACAGCTTGGATAGGGTGTTCTTGGCAGTAGTATTTGTGGTCAGCCGAACAAGCCTGCCCGATGCCTCTTTCGAATTGCATATGCAATATAAATTCATCCCTAAAATCTGTGACACTCTAGAAGAATTTTGTAGTTTCGTCGAATATCACTCTGTTTTTTTGCTTGCAACAACATTTTGAGACTATAATATTTCATATATTGGCCTGTAGAAGGCATTGATATTGAGCTCAAGCCATTCCATGTTGGAGCTTTCGAACGTAAAAATCCAAAAGTATATCCATTTTGTCTAAGAAGCCTGTATAAAGGTCTGTTCCGAAATTGATATCTTATGTACGTCTAACAGGCAGCTTGTATAAGGTCTTCAGGCGATAATTTGAGGTCTCGTGATTAGTCCGACATGCCTATCTCGCTCGCTTAATGTGTAATTGAGATTGCATATGCATTATATATTCATGCGTAAAATCGATGTCACTACAAAATGGTAATTTTGGCTAAATATCTCTCTGTCTGTTGGTTGGAACACCATTTTGAAACTATGATATTCGTCTATGGACCTATAAGAAGCATTGAAATTATTTCTGGGTCATTCTGTTCTAGAGATTCGAGGCCCAAAAATCTAAAGGTATATCCCTTTGGACTAAGAAGCCCTGTATAAAAGCCTATTTCGGAGCCGATATCGTCTGTATGCCTGATGAGCAACTCGTATAGGGTCTTCTAAGCAATAGTTTAGGGTATCGTGGTTATCCCAGCATGCTTATCTCGCCTGCTCGATGCGCTATTAAGAATTGCATATGTCATGTAAATTTATATGCAAAATCGGTGTCACTCTAGAAGCATTCGACAAATTTGGCCTAATATCTCTCTGTCTATTGCTTGGAACATCATTTTAAGATCAAAATATTTCATCTATCGATCTGTAGAAAGCATTGAAATCATTTTAAGGCAATTCCATGCTGGAGCTTCCGGGAGCAAAAATACAAAGGTATACCCCTTTGGTCTAAGAAGCATTGTCTGATGGCCTGTTCTGGAGTCGATATCGTATGTGCGCCTGATGGGCAGCTCGTATAGGGTCTCCTTGGTGATAGTTTCGGGTCTCGTGGTTAGCCTGGCATGTCTATCTCGCCTGCTTGATGCGTCATTAAGAATTCCATACTCCATATAAATTCATATGCGAAATCGGCGCCACTCCAGAAGCATTCGACAGTTTTGGCCTAATATCTCCTTGTCTGTTGCTTAGCACACCATTCTGAGACTATAATATTTTGTCTAAGACTTGTAGGAAGTATTGAAATCATTTTCGCCTCATTCCGTGCCGGAGCTTCCGAGCGCGAAAATCCAAAGGTATACCTCTTTGGTATAAAAAGCCTAGTATGAAGGGCTGTTCTAGAGCCGATATCATCTATACACCTGACGGGCAACTCGTATATGATCTTCTAGGCAATATTTTGGGGTCTTGTGGTCAGTCCGACATGCCTATCTCACCTGCTCGATGCGTTGTCAAGAATTCCATACGCTATATAAATTCATGCAAAAAATCGGTGCCACTCCGGAAGCTTTTGGCAATTATGCTCCAATATCTTTCTGTCTTTTGTTTGGGACGTCATTTTGAGGTAATAATATTTCATTTAAGACCTGTAGGAAGCATTGAAATCATTTTTGGATCATTCCCTGTCGGAGCTTTCGGCTTAAAAATCCAAAGGTACGCCTCTTTGGTCTAAGGAGCCTTGTCTGAAGGCTTGTTCTGGAGACGATATTGTTTGTATGACTGACAGGCATCTCATATAGGGCCTTCTAAGCGATAGTTTTCTATCTCATGGTCTACCCAACATGCCTATCTCGCCTGCTCAATGCGTCGTTAAAAATTGCATATGCAAGGTAAATTCATGTTCAAAATCGATACCACTTTGAAAGTATTCGACAGTTTTGGCCGAAATTCTCTCTGTCTATTTCTTGGCACGCCATTTTGAGGCAATAATATTTCGTCTAAGATCTGTAGGAAACATTAATATCATTTTCGGACCAATCCGCATCAGAGCTTCCGAGCCCAAAAATCCAAAGAAATATCTCTTTGGTCTAAGGAGCTGTGTCTGAAATCCTGTTCCGGAGTTGATATCATCTATACATCTAATGAGCAACTCATATAGGCAGCTTGTATAGGGTCTTCTAGGCGATAGTTTGGGGACTCGTGGTCAGCCCGACATGCCTATCTCGCATGCTCGATGCATCATTAAGAATTGCATACGCTATATAAATTCATACGCAAAATCGGTGCTACTCCGGAAGCATTTGACAATTTTAGTCTAATATCTCTCTATCTAATTTCAATTTAAAGATCGTGATGAAATAGGCTGTAGCAACTAGCAAGCTCCATAATCAAAGGATTATTTAAATTTTGTTCACAAAAGCACTTTATTAGCTGGATTACCACTCATTGTAGCGATTCGAGCTACCTACCAGTGCTCTTTTAATGAAAGACCCCCTTCCAAAAAAATTAAAGAACCTAAGAGGTGCTAATTAATAAACGTCCAATTGGATTGACTTACATAGATTATGTCTCTAGCCTCACCAATTGAATCAAACCAATGAAAATAAAAATTTTTATTAAAACAAAAGTATTCCTGAATATATACTAGAAAAAAAAATAGAAACAATTTTTAAAAAATTTTTATTTTCATTGATTTGGTGGACTATGGACTCGATCTCGATAAGTATCATGGTAAGTTGAATCCCTTTTAACCAAACAAAAGCCAATATATATTGAGATAAACAATTTATGGTCACATGAGACCATGATATCCATATTCATAGAGGTTGGCTTTCTTTACTTTGGAATCACTGATTTTGACAAATGAAAATCCTTGTCTTTTGTCAATATAGAGACAGATGTATAGCAATTTTCAGTTCATTCTTCTACTAGCCAAAAAAACGGAGCAGCTGTGTATGAACAGAGAGCAGGAAATTGTCCAAAATAATATATTAGGACAAGAATAATCAGAAAAGGTTCTTAATGCTTATACAATATAGTTAATAAATATAATATATTAAACTCTCTTTTGTCTTGCTTGGGAAAACCCTACAGCTTCAAGAAATTTTAGCTGGGCATTTGGAGGCAGTATTTGAGAAAGCTGCAAAGCACAATTTTTAGTGTCAACACCATCTCTTCTATGAAAACATGGGATATTTCTAAGCCATATCATAGTACTTGTTCTTATTTCTACCTTCTCCAGTGCAGTGGCATAGTCAAAAATAGACATGATAAGATCCATATGAGATTCATGACCCACAAAACCAGATAGCAGAAACTCCCTGAGGTTTTGGTGTGGAGACATAGGAACTTTCTTTAGTGTTTGCTTAAAGTACGTTTGTCTGCTATAAGCTAGGGAATCCTGCAATCGAAAACAACAACCTCATCAGCATATATATATTTATTTTCAATCCATGGATAGCTCAAATTCATAATTAGCTTCAAAAGACTCAAAAGTACATTAAATCTAAGTGTAAGGAATTGATTCTAATGAAGGTTTCGTGTTAATAAAGAGCTGCAATTCCAGAGTCATCAGAATTATTTTCTAAGAAAATGATAATTTTTCTTTCCAATCTCCCAGCAGCAGCCCAATCATAAGACTGAACTTTTTGTTTGCACAATGCATATGTGACATCCACCACGTAGTAAATGCTGAAAATTCAATGATCAGAATATCAGATACACGAAGACTGAAATTATCATTTGGATCCCAGGAATTTGTAGCGAATACCAACAAACACCATTGAAGTGCTGTGCTAAGTTTTATGTAAGGTGCATGTCACGCTTGAAATCATTCAACCACAAATTCTTAAGACAGTCAAGGGGAAAAGAACAGAAACTAACATTGACATAAAGAATACTCACAGTATGTAACTCAAGTCGTTGCAGTAATGGAGATGCCCTGACTACGGAAGTGACTGCAGGATAAGACAGACGAGTAGAGCTGAAACAGTTGCAAAGAAATATCAGTTGTTTCAACTTGGAGAAATGAGGTACCTCGTCCGACAATCTTATCCCCTTCAAACACCAAATCAGCTATACGTGAATTTCAAGGGAAAATTGAAATCAATTTAAATATGTTTTTGCTTACCTCGAAACAATGAAAATCCATTGTCAAAAACACCAGCTGAGGAAGATATGCGGCAAACTGACCAAAAATAAAACAAAATCTATCTGGATAGGTCATACCCAAATAACTTTTTTTGGATTTGCATATACTCCACTAAAAGGAACAATGCATACATTAACAAGATCTTTAGCCTCCCTGATAGAAATATTTATCCTTGCACACTGATACCTGAAAACAACCAAGTTTGGAGCAAAAATTTCCAAATTCTCCAAGGCACTACACAGGTACATCTCCAAGCATTTCAACTTTAAGTGAGAACCAGTATGCTTTGCGTTGATTTGTTTCTCACTACTGCAAAAAGGAGGCATTCAAGAGATGAACAGGTAGATAAAATCATTTCAAAAAGTTCATCTGTAATGTCCACACGTGTTAGAATTAGTTCTTTAAGAGGCTTTAAGCTGTTCTGTGCAGTAAGAGGAGAGGCAAGTACAGCAGAAACAGAATCCAATTGCAAGTGGCATTTGATCCCCTTTATTTTATCAAAGAGTTGAGATGGGATAGAATAATTTTTCTCGTTGCTACAAGCAAGGATACCCAAGTCCAGTTCAAGCCTGGAAACGCCCCTGGCAAAGGCAAAAGCAACCCAAATGTCAATATGACAGCTTGAAGAGTCGTCTAATGGGTAATGGATGATAAATTCGTGCAGATTTGAATCTTTGCAAAGCCTCAAAGCTTGATTGACCATATTTATAAACTTTTCTTGGTCCGCAATAGGCTGAAAGACCTCTTTATTTCCAAAGCCAAGGCTGGGTTTTAGACTTGGGAGTTGATCTCTTTTTGGTGAAGTTTGAACATGAAGATGAAGCAGATTATTTGAAAGATGGATCCTAATTAATTAATTAATCAAAGGATTTGTTAAAGTAACGCACAATGGAATGTTTAAGTTAATAATCATCAAGAAACGCATATTAATTTCAATCTTACAATTCTTCTTGGAAAAATTTCCAATTTGTCAATTGATCAATTCATCATAATACATGCAGAAGAATTGGGTTTTTGGCATTTTTGTATATGTTTGTGTCATTCTTGCAGCTTAGGATCAATTAAATGGGGTAGCTCAAGCATATTGGCCCAAGTCCAGAATATTGCTTCTGAAATATTACATTACAAATCTACCTTTTTTTTTTCCATATGGAAAAAAAAAAAATTACAAACTCTAAAAAGAACCTAAATAGCGTATTATCCTACAAAAATCATGAGTAAATCATTCATATAAAGCATGACTAACCCACAAAGTAGACTATGCTATAAATAACATGAGTTACAAATTCATACAAAGCATATGAGGAGTAACCCATTTATAAGAAGAATGAATATATTTATCAGGAATCTATACACATAATCCACAAAATTGCCTTTGAATTTTTAAAATTTTTATTTTTGTAGCACCGCAAACTTTATAAAAGATCTATACAATTCATATTTTTCAACTATACAAGTCAATTTAATTTTTACAAATTAAAATGTTCAATAGAAAAAATTTATAAGTTGAAGAGTTTAATAAGTATAATTTTATAAGTTGAAATATTGGATCAAACTAAAAAAATGATAATACAATAAGATTTGTTTAAATAAGGTAAAAAAGTGAATTTATGTATTTGGCTGCTGATGATCTGTTTAAGCTTTATTGAGAAAGAAGCACATCAATACTTACTGTTTTCATTTCTTCATATTTCAACATATGAGGAACGCGTCTCTGTACTTGCTATTTGAGGAAAGCGTGGCATTATCAACAAGTAGTGAATTTCATGCCTATTTGCAATTTCTAATATGCAAATAATTTTGTAAATAGAATAACAATATCCAATTCAAAGAACTGAAAAGAACACAAAACAAAAGAAAAGGAGATAGAAGCGCTAAAAAGAATGAAAGAAAATTTAGAAATTGAAACGATATGCGTTGTAGGAAGAAACTTGTTATTGAAGAAATAACAATTGTATGAGTGATGCATGTCTTGGTCCAAACATTAGTATCCTGGGCTTGTGGCATATGTGGATCCATGTATGGACCTCTCCACCCATTGCCATCGGAGAAGAGGATAATTCAATCTATGTACAGACATCCAACCAACCGCAATTCTCTCCTTCCAACACGTGAATCCATGTTGTTGTATTAATATTATTCTATCAAACAAATTTAAGTAATCATTGTTTTTGGCTTTCGAGTTGAATAGTATAATCATAAATTAAACTAAAAGCTTTTCTTATAATTTGGCATTAATAAACGACCAACATACTCCAACAAACAAACCTAGCTCTCTCGTTCTCGATCGTATCAGGATTAAATTAGCAGCATCGAAGCTGATTCCCTTCTAATCGACCAATAAATATGCAATATATATGGTGAAACGAGTCTGAAATTTACAGTGGGCAAAAAGACAAAAACAACCCTCCCCACAATTTCAATTGGCCATTTTTGTCCGCTAGCTTCACGTGATCCCCCGACACAGTCCTACAACTACTAAAAAATTACAGGGGAGGGGATGCCTGCCAAAGCCTAAAAGTTAAACCCCTAATATCCAAACAAGGAAACCAAAATGATTATGGGCAAAACCCGGTATCCGAAAGCAGACCAAGACAGTGAAGATGAACCAGACTCGGCCTTTTCGAATTGCAGAGAATCAACGGCCAAAGGCATGTTTTCTTGATCAGGGCTGCACTTGGATTCATGGGGTGGGTGAGCACTGTACATTATGGCTCTCAAAACCGCAGAAACTGTTGGTATATAGGCCGTCTTGTTGCGGGCAAGTAACCATGTCAGACCCATAAGCTGACAATCCCTATTGAACATCTTGCTTGCTCTGTCATCTCTTTCCCCTGTTTCGTTCTTCAGCTGCAATTAGGAAACCATTTCAGGGGTATTTAATGATTTAATCTCTAACAAAAAATAAAGTGAACATACATACGAAAGAAGAAATGTCAAATGGATGGAAATGTATGCAATGCAAAAGAGGATAGGAAAAGAGATAGACAGAGGCACATGGACGACACTAGTCATTTTCTTAAGGACTACCAGAACGACTTTTGTTCATTTCAATAAAATGGCAAAAGAAAAAGACTCTCAACCATATCTATAATAATTAATAAACTCGCATTGCTCTCTCACCATGCATTAATCTAAATTTATAGTAAACTCCATTGTCGAACTCAATTTAAGCTCAAGATTACAATTTTCCTTTTCTTGGTTCAGTTGACGGGAAAGACAATGCAAATTCCAAAACATTAACCTACTAAATCAAGGGTGTTACCTAAAAATGAGCCCAAAAATGAATAGATACCATATACTAGTAATCAATAAGCACACAACAAAGCGACCTAATAAATGCAAAGCAATTACTTGTATCTTCTAACCAACCTCATAAATGCAGGTAAATCTATAAAAACTGACCTTTTGGAGGGCGCCAAGGCACTTAGTACACCCAGCGTACGAGGAATTCTTACAATTCTTCTCCAAATTCCTTACAGCAGCAGTAGGGGTCGCATTATGGAATCCAGAGCTCACATTGAAAGCTGCAGGGCAGCTCAGAGAACTAATCTGGTGAAGCCTTATTCCGCAGAAGCATAATATAGGATCGCAGCTCGCATTGGGTTGCGGTATCTTCACGTTCTTGTTCAATAGCGCGCTTTGCAGCGAATTCACACACTTTTGCGAGTCGTCCGGCATCATTGGGAGGTCCGATTCCGCCGATGCCGGAGCAGGTGCCGGCACTTGGAGGGCGTACCGAGCGTGAGCAGCAAAAAGCCATGCGGCTAACACCGGACAGCACCGGCTCCGGTCTAGGTCTCGGCCGCACGCATCGTTGACGCCGCCAAATAGTTCCGCTGTGAGGTCCAACCGACAGGTCTGCGACTCGGTTTGAACAGGAAAGGCCGGTACAGTATTGGGTGAGGAATAATCGCCCGGTTTTAGTGGCTGGTTTTGGCCGGACACCGGTTGGGCTAGTAAACCGGCGAGGCAGGGAGTGAGTAATGAGTAGAAGATGATGAGTGGAAGAAAAACAAGCGTGTTTGGAAGCATTGTAAGCTTAAGCAAAAGAAAAGGTCAAGAAGTGGGATTTGTTTTTCTTGCTGAATTCTTTTTTGTGGTGGAAACCAGAAAGTAGAGATATTAGGTGATTGGGAAATGGGAATTGGAAAGAGTAGGTAAAAAAGATATGATTTTTAATTATTTTAAGTTTAAAAAAAAAATTAAAGGTTTATGCTTTATGTTTTATTAGGAAATTATTGAAGATAAAAGGCAAAAGGAAGAGATGCAGGAGATATTCAAAGGGAAATAAGTGGAATTGGAGACTTTTTGGTAATGTTAGTGTCTGGTCTGAAAGATGGGTTTTTGAGAGAGAAAGAAAGAAAGCAACTTTTTAAGGAGAAATGTAAAGAAGCAACAAAAACAGTGAATAAAATGGAAAGGTTTGTGGAAGATGAGTTGGAAAAAGTGTCCGTTTTGGGGCTCTCTTTGGTTTTCTCTCTCCAGACTTTACCTCTATCAACTCAAGACTCCAGAGCAGCAGTGATTTTGTTTTGGTAAAATGACGCTCCAAGGTCACGGAAATTTCATGGCTCATCAATATTTTATATATTACATCGGAGGCTGAAAAGGGGAAAACAGAAGAGATTCGCTGAGTTAGAGGAGGAGGACGACGACGATGAGACTTAACCTGGCAAAAATGAATTTGGCAGCTTGCAGTGGCATGTGCTCTGTGGTGTCCTTTTCTGTTTCATTCTCTCTCATTTTGGCTGTGACTCGTTAGCACGAAATTTCATTGCTTCCTACCTTTTGTTTGCATTAAAAATGAAATCCCATTTTGCACACAAAAACATATTTTTAAAATTTATTAAAGTAAGATAAATAGGACAAATTAAGAAATTATATTCTAAAATTTAAAACTTTTTCATTTTTAAAATTAACAAAACAAGAACACTTGGGGACCATTGTTCATCATCATGTTTTAGTGTAAATCAAAGTGATAACCAAGTCAAATCAAGAGGGTCCTCTCCCTATTCCTGTCATTGCAATTGCATGCATGGCTAATGGCTTGTCGTCTATAAACATCCATCCACAAAAACACATCCTCCAATCACCATCCTATTATTGAGCATCTCTATGTTTTTATACCTATGTATATAGAAATAGAGCAATTAAATTTGACATTTCTCTGTTGAACTCTTTTGAGCACTACTTGTCTGTTTGACTTCACTTGCATTGCATTTTACTGCGCACGGCTAGCAAGCAAGACTATGGCATTGGTATGGGTGACAGCAAGTTTTAATTAATTAATTAATTAATTAATTAAAAAAAATCCCTTTTCAAGATAACATTAATTAATTTACTAATGCAATTCCTTTATTTTAACATATAAAACCTATAAGGAAAAACATAACATATGCTACAAAACAAATATAGGTATGTTCCAACTATAAGAGAGAGAGATTATTTATTATTAATAATTAAAAAGTAGTGTTGAGTAAAATATAATATGAATATGATGAATCCAAGGACAAACCATAACGAGCCAATAAAGCCAAAATGATTTGAGCATAAAGTGCCTTTGTAGAAAGCTTACTCCCTAATCAATTTCTTTTTTATTATTATTATTATTATTATTATTATTATTACTGGTTTCTTTAGGTTTTGGGTCCCTTTGTTTCAGTATTTGTATGTACAGATTCAGCTTTTTATGTTTATATCAACAATTAGATTCCATTTCATTTCTCTTTGGTAGTTGTATGCTTTTTTTTTTTTCAGAAATTAATTTTATGGATTAATATTACTAACTATATATAAAATAATAATAATAATATTCTATATATTAACTGGGAATATGAAATTATTGCTACAAGACAAAATACATTTTGTTTGTCCAGATGAAAAGAAACCTCTTGAGACAAAAAATAAAATAAACAAACGGGTTTTCCAGAATCCAAAAGCAAAAAGCAAGTTTGTAATGTGAAGACAAATAGAAAAAATGCAATTTCAAAGACTACCACCTTATCTGACTCATCTACAGATCATATATCAATGTCATCCATCATCCTCTTAAAAAGCTAAATGATTTCCAAATCATCCACACTAAGGGCTAAAAAAAAAAAAAAAAAAAAAAAATGGTCATCCATCATCTCCTTAAAAACAGGTAAATGATTCCAAATCATCACATAAGGGCTAAAAAAAAAAAAAAACAAAAAAAAGATCTGCTTCAAAAAAAAAAAAAAAAAAAAAAAGATTGCTTCGATTGATTTTATTTTTTAAAGATGACGGTTACACGATTCGGATAACCTGCAATTATTATTAAAAGAACTGAAATTTGAGATCTTTCACCATTATATAAGTGAGAAGACTAATTAAATCAACTCACATTATCACTGCCTCTCTAACTTTACAACCAAATTAAATGTGTAATATAACAAAAGAAGCAGCTGTCACATTTTGAATAATGCACTTTGAAAAATCACACAAAACGACAGTGTATGTATATATATATATATATATATTCATACAATTATGTAATTGTGGATTAGTTGAAGTCGGCACACAATGGAATGTTCTAAGTTGATAATAATCATCATTAATTTCAATATTGGAATTATTTTTGGGAGACAAGTTGCTTTCGATTTGCTTTATTCTTTCTCAAAAATAATTACATTAAAGCAGTAGTCAGTAACATTAATTAAAACTCAAAAGGGGCAGCCTGTTTATATTGGGCCCAACTCCAAACAAATGGTCTTCATAATTGGGCTTGAAAATATAATTAGGCGGACCTCTCTCTGACATGTCGTATGAACGGCTTTCAAGGGAGGCAGGCCCATATTGCATAGTTTGCGAAATAATAATAACATATTATTTCATGGCATATGCAAGCATGACATCAAAACCCACCCTTGTCTTTATCGACTGAGGCCACAAGTGTGAACCATATGCACATAACAATATGTCAATTTTCGTAGGAACAACACAGGAATATTAAGTCTCTAAAGTAAAGAATACCATTGATGGATCTTGAAACAATGCAGACAAGATTGCACTTTTTGCGTTAAAAATGTCAAAGTTCAGTGGAGGAAATATACATGAGCAACTGCTTTACGAAATTGCTTTGCGTGGCCGGTCTATCCTCCATATGCCTCTATCACCAAAATAAATATATAACTATATATTAGATATGAGATGTTATGATTTATTAGCATTACGATGGAGATACCACGCATGCATGCATGCATGCACAGTATTACTTGCTTGTGAAATTTTTGTGGCTCTTGTGTTGTGAAAAGCATTATATTAAATGTATTATAAAAATATAACACACGTATAAAAGATACAACCATGACCATTTATTATTATAAAAAGAATATGGTAATTTTGAGAAAGCATACTAAAATTCTTCCTATTTATATATGTATTCCTTGCTTAGACCATAGGAAAATATGGTAATTTCCTATTGATATGTATCCAACAATTAGAAAAGGAAATACTGTTACCTTCATATGTATCTTTAATTCCTAGCTGAATTGCTAAATATATTAAATAATTAATTTTAAAAAATTGTTTTATCAATTTCTATATTTGGAAATGAGATAATTTATATATATAAAAAAAAGTGATTTTGAAGTATCATTATATTTCAAATTTAACGTTACAAGAATTTAACTATAGTTAAATTACATAAATATCATTATAGTTTATTAATTCTTAATTTACGTGGTGTTTTTGGAATAATTAATTTTCACATAGAATTCAATAATTCAATTCTTGAAATCCTCCGTCAGCAAAAAAAAAAAAAAGTGTATCAGAATTAGTTGCTTATTGATTTTGAGTTGTCTCATGCTGAAACTCGACAATAAAAATCTTATTTACTTTCATAAACAAAAAAGTTTTTCATTCATACTCACAATCACGAAATGAAATAAATAATAAAAAGGAATTTTAAATTCACATAAATATGAACATTACCTGCAAATCCACGACCCCAAAGCCTAATATATATATATGTGTGTGAAAATATAAAACATGAAATAACAGCAAAACTTAGTCTATGTTTCCTGTATTTGCATACAATTACTAATTTACAAGAAATCATCAATGTCCAAACTCGCTGGAATTTCAAACTTGAACAAGCTGCTGCAATAGCTTTCTCTCTCATCCTCCGTGCTGCTGCCATTGACGAATGTGGATGACGAATGCAAGGGAGCTGGGCTTGATAATGGCGTTGACATAACCGATTCCATGCCATAATTCTGATACCCATTGTTTACTGCTTGAAATCCTGAGTTCTCTTGAAGTTTATCGGTAATCGGAGAATCTGTATTGGCATAAACCAAATTTGGCTGCGAAACCAAACTATTACTCAAACTGGAAGGAATTAACAAGTTTTCTTGGCATGAAAGTCCTTCTTGATTGTTGCTTTCCAAGAACTGGGTTTGACTTAATAATGGAGCAGAAAGAGATTCTTGAAAATTATTATTAAGTTGTGGTTGGTTTTGCTGTAGCAAGCTGTTAAATAATTGGTTGTCCTGTAAATGGTTCAAAAACAAATCTGGGTTTTCTTGTTTTAGTGAGGATAGGGTAGAGGCCAGCCTTAAAATGTCTGGATTTAGAATTGTTTGAGTGCCTAGCAAGCTTGACAGATTGAGAAGCGATGAGTTACACAAAGCTGAGCCGATAATGGAGGATAGATCAAGAAGATCGAGACGTGGAGCATGAGTAACAGGATCGATTCCATTTCTGAGGAGTCTTTTTCTTATGTGGGTGTTCCAATAATTCTTGATTTCATTATCAGTTCTTCCTGGCAAGCGAGCAGCTATGGCCGACCACCTAACGTTGAATTTTTTTTTTTTTTTTTTTATATCCAGTTCTTTCCCTGGCATAGCGAGCAGCTAATGGCCGACCACCTAACGTTGAATTTTTTTTATTTTTTTTTAGAAAAATAAATTTAGATTACCATAAAACATTTAATGAAAAAACGGTAAAAGATAATTGAAATAATGTTAGACAATATCTTACTGTGCTTTCCCATAATAGCTATGGAGTTGGATAATAGACTCTTTCTTTCTTCCGAAGGAGAACCTTCCTGTCTTCTTGATATCAGGTCGGCCGGTAGTTTTTGTCCATCGAAGACGACAGCTCTTCTCCACATCTTCTGGAGCCCGAAACATACAATATTGGAGATAGGGATCAGTGTGTGAGAAAGCCGTGAGAATATGGAAAGGGAAAAGAAAGGTGATAAGGAACCCGTTAATTAATCAAAACTAAAAGTATGTAAAATAGCCCAAGGCGAGTTGCTTGGGAAGGGAATTTTTTTTTTTTTTTTTTTAGAAAAATAAATTAGATTGATAAAATTTATGAAAAACGTAAAAATAATTAAATATGTAGAACAATATCTTACTTGTTCCCCATAATACTATGGAGTTGGATAATAGACTCTTCTTCTTCGAAGGAGAACCTTCCTCTCTTGATATCAGGTCGCAGGTAGTTTGTCCATCGAAGACGACAGCTCTTTCCACATCTTTGGAGCCCTAAACATACAATATGAGATATCATTTGAACCGGTGAGAATTGGGAAATGAAAAAAATGATAAGAACCCTTAATTAATCAAAACTAAAAGTATGTAAATACCAGCATTCTTGGGGAGGGTACGCCAGTTGCCAGGTCCATGAAGTTGAATGTAAGAAATGAGCTTATGATCTTCCTCAGGAGTCCATGGACCTTTCTTGAGACCATTCTTATCACAGCAAGGAGCTCTTCCCATTTCTGTATATCTATATATATCTTCTTTAAGTAATTTCTTTAAATATACAAAGGGGCTGGATCTATACTATATATCAAGAAAGCAAAAAGTGTAGTTATGGATGGTAACGATAGAAGAATCCATATTTATAGCTGAGATCAAAAGGCCGCGAAATAATCCGTTCAAGTCAAAATTATTTGGTGCCGTCCTCTTAGCCACGTATTATTTGGGTGATATATATTACATAGTAATATATAATGTGTATGAGACAAATGCAAACCAAGTGACACGTGACATTAATATGCTCATTAATGAATTATTTTATTTTTATTTTACAACAATTATTGAATTTATGGAAAACATATTGGGTGTGAACGGCTATGAACCCTTAGTTAAAATGAGAGTAATTAGCAATAAGAGAAATGTGAAGTTGACCTCCTCATATAAGTCCAAACTCAGAATGATTGGACGGTAAGGGTAGTTAGATAATCTATCAACAAATGCAAGAAAAAATGTTTCACTGTTTCATTGCTTAATCTGAAAATATTTTCCAAACGTTTAAGTTAGCTTTCCTTAAGCAATATATATATATATATAACCATCCATCTCATCATCTGGGCGTCAAAAAATCTACTTCTGTTTGAGTAAATTAAACCCAATAATTATATATTATTTATTCTTTAATTTAATGGGTTTATTAAATTATGTATCCTTACACAATTAAATGAGTTCAATTAATTACTATGTGATTTCTTTTCTGGTGCAATACTGAAGGAGGCAACAAATTACAAACCCATTACAACCACAAGACCATTTATATTTTACCTTGCAATAAAATCAGCCTTGTACTTTTACAGGTGTCTTTGTGTAAGAGGACACCAACTTTCCAAGCTGGAAACATTATTTTAACTGGATGATAAAAAATCTGCCACGTCGCAAAAAGACAAGTGTCTTTTTTCTCTCCAACAACAAAGTCAACTCCTTCTTGAGCTTTGACAATTGTCCCTCTCAGTCTGAGGCCAAGTACGGACATATGTTGCTTTATCTGCAGTAGCAAAGGATGGGGAAGGCTTCACTCCATCTTCGCTTCGCAGCCAATAAATTCAAACTCATTGAAAATCAGGTGTTCATTTCATCCACCCTCTATCTAACCCAAATCCCATTTCAAACATTTTTATAATATTATATTTTTCCAATCTTACTTGGCAATTTCTCTAAGGTCAAATACTTTTTTCTCATCTTTTTCTTAGACGTGTGTCATTGAGAAATTAATCTGTTTTAATAACATTGTTATAACTTCGTAATAACTATATAATTTAATTATTTAAGTATGTAATTATTTTAGAAAATGTATATTTTGATCTCTAGAACTTGTCTCCCTGTTTGCTGTCTCCATGACATCTCCATTTGAAAAGATTGCACAGATAAGGATTAGGGAAATTTCGAGCTGACGAGACATATGATCTATATATGCATGCATTTGACCCTGACGATATATGGAGTGAATTTATTAATTACATATACGTATATATATGATTTTAATTAATTAATTGTGCATGCATATTTCTAGTTTAAGGCATTGTCGTGGAAAGTTTGCATTTAAAAAATATTAGTGTTAATTATAAATGGATTTGATTACATAATGGAATACCGGTTGAGGTAATTACTTGTCGCGAATCTAGGGTTTGCTTGTGCATGGCTTTAGTTCATGTGATCATGTCTTTATCTAAGAGAAGACTTTGACATTTGTTAATTAATTTATTAAAAAAAAATTGCTAGTTACAAAATGTTGTTAATTAGTTGTTGGAGATGGCGAGGAGAGCCTCCAACAAACTTTGAATAATATTTATTTGTTCTCTTGTTCACATGCATGCGCATTTGTTTTGTATTAGAGATGATAATAGATGAGGTTGAGGCCAAATTTTGCAATATTCATACTTGTAACTTATAACAAAAACTAATATCTATCGGGTATCTATTATGTGTTAGATCAATCGAGTTTGGATTCTTATTAGATTTAGATCGAACTAAATCATGTTAATATATATAAAATGTCTAAAAAGAGAAAAAAATAATTGATTCAAATTCGATTTGACTTATATTGAATTAATTTATATTCGTGTCCGATCCTTTTATAAATGAATTGAGTTTTATCCTACGGATTTGGATCAGATTGTATTATATGATCCAACATCCAAGTCAGACGTTAGATTTGATAACAAAATCTAACTATGGCACCTGCTCCTGCCGCGTCGCATCGACGTAAATGCACAAGGACTTGAAAAATTGCACGTAGCGGATTTGTTGAACATGTTGGTGGCTATGAGCTTGTAGTATGTGTTTAGTGTCCATGCACGTATACGTGATGATGCAATCGTAATATCTTTGGATTGTGTCTAGAATTTCCTTTCTTCTTCTTTAGAAGAAAATAATGAATTTATTATTTCAGAGAGAAAGTTAAATTATTTCTCATATCTAACTTATTTTCATAGTTTTATATTTGAAAATAAGTTAAATTAGGTACTTTGAGGTTTGGGCTTGGGCTGTGTGTGTGATGACTTGAAGGTACTTTGAGTTCAGAAAATGCCTGTGTGTTTTTGTTTGCGAGCCTTTATAGAACAAGTAGATTTTGGGTTGGGTTGAAATGAGGTTTTGGGCTTTACTTCCATTTCAAAGGAACCCAAAACATGAGGAAACATCGAAGTCAATATTCTATCAAATGCATTAAACACACAAATTTTTGGAAGATAAAGTGAGTGTTTGCAAATTTTTAAATGTTGAAGAAAAATTGGGTTCAAATGTTGCTGAATCGCGGCATTAAACACATCCATTTTAGTCCCAGTGAGTGCCACAACAACAACCTGTATCCCTCTTCCACTTCTCTTCACTCTTTTTGGGTCTTCCCCAGGTAATGAATTTTCTTTCCAAACTGCAGTTCTAGATGGTTTCAAAAGCATATGATTGGCAATTAGTCCGTGCCCTTTTCCGACAGTTGCCCTTTGTTTCTTTGATTTTTTCCATTTTAATTATAGAAGAAATATCAATCTTACAATTTCCTTAAAATAGATTCCAGGTCAATGAAATTTGTCAATTTGGTACCAAACATTTCAAATAATGGATTTGGTAAACACACAATAGGCGGCTAGCCCTGATTCCAAATTCTGACTTTTTTTCAAATGCTGATATCCTATTATGCAGAGATTCAATAACTTATATAAAATGCTCGAATTGGTATCTGTTATTTCTGTTTTAGGCATATAATATTAAGGTCCGCAATAATAATAATACATTCTATCAACTCAACTGGTATAGTTCTATAGCAGGGGAGAAAGCACTAAAGGGGAAGACTTTTCCATAGGGAAAATTTCGTTTTATCTCCATATATAAAACCATATATATATATTCTAAGCAATACTTGTTGTAAAAGCAAGATAATCGTCCCCGTTAACTTAAGCTTGTAGGTTACTGTTGCTCCTTCAGAACAAAGAACAAATCTCTGCAACTTCTTCCTCTTCTTTTCTTTTAAAATCCTTCCAATATGGGAAATAGTTCTCCTTCCAGAATCACCCATCATGGTCAAAATCAACAGAGAAAAGGCACAACTTGTCAATGGTGCTTCAAATCAAACCAGGTAAGCTTTTTGTTTATGTGCTATTGATTCTCCTGTAAAAAGAACCAAACCCAACTCTCACCTATTCTTGCAGATTCTTTTTCTTTTTCTTTTTCCTTTTCATGTGCATCCATATCCATTACACAATTTTTTTTAGGCTGGGGCGAGCGCAGCCCATTTAATATATTTGCATTGCGGGCCCAATAGCAAGCAAACGACACAAACAGAGAAGTTTGATCCAAACCCAACGATCCTTTTTTTTTTTTTTTTTTGCGGGCTCCAATAGCAAGACCAAACGACACAAAACAGAGAAGTTTGATCCAAACCCAACGATCCTTTTTTTTTTTTTTTTATTGGCCGGGCTGGAAATTGACGTCGCGCGAAAAATAAGAAATCTAAAAAATCGAATCCATGCCATGCCAATCATCCATCCATGCCTGCATGGCAAGTGGCGGCCGGAGAGCTCTCCTGTGGTGAAGTGTCCTTTTTTTTTTTTTTTTGGCGGCTGAAATTCGACTCGCGCGAAAAATAAAGAAAATCTAAAAATCGAATCCATCCATCCATCCATCCATCCATCCTTCATCAATGGCGCCGGAGAGCTCTCTGTTGAGGTCCACTTGGAATCTGACGTTAGCAAACGGATATTTGAACATTTATAATTATAAACGCGTTTGAATGTCATTATTTGGAAAGTGTGAATATACCAAAAAGCCGTCTCTTTGCTCCATTATTCCTATTTTTTAAAAGAAAGAAGAAGATACTTACTTGATCCAGCTCCATGTGATTCACATTCGAAAGTCATTAACTAAATGCAGTCAACGGCGCCCTTTCATCCCTCCATATTAGTTTCCTTCCAGATCCGTTTTTTAACCAATTCTACTCTTTAAACATCTCCCTTCCCTTCATCTTCTGCTTTTCTCTCACAATCCGTTTTCCAGGTAGTTCCTCATCCTTTTCAACATCTGAATCACTCTGCAAATTTTCAACTCAATCCATTATAACTTTTTCAGTTTTGTTTATAATGTTTTACATATATTCATTAGCATTTGCCTGCTCTTTTATACTGTATTGATAATGCAGATGGATGCAACGACGTCGGATTCTAACTTGGAGTCCATTTTGAAAGAGTTTCGCATCCCTTCTTTCATTTTTGACGCTGAATCGGATGTTTCCGATGATGAATCTCCTCCTCCTGAGTGTCCTGTTTTAGTTTTTATAAACTCCAAGAGCGGCGGCCAGCTCGGTGGTGATCTCCTCGTTACATATCGTTCTCTTCTTAATGAAAAACAGGTATAATAATTCGATACGCGACTGATCTATTTTCTACTTTGCAAAATGGACTTGAGACAAACATTCAATATTCAATGCGTTAGGTGTATGATTTGGGAAATGAAGCTCCTGATAAAGTTTTGAGAAGAGTTTACCTTAATTTGGAGCTGCTTAAGTCTCGTGGAAATAACTTAGCCATTCAGATTCAGCAGAGCTTGAGAATCATTGTAAGTTTTATGATTATTGTTGCCATTTCCTATTTCTCGACATTTTCAGTTCTATTTATACTTAACATGTACTTGCTCCTCAGGTTGCCGGTGGTGATGGAACGGCCGGCTGGCTTCTCGGTGTCGTTTGCGATCTGAAGTTCTCTCATCCACCTCCAATTGCCACAGTGCCGCTTGGAACTGGAAACAATCTACCATTTGCGTTTGGTTGGGTGAGACTTCGCATTTCTTTAATATGCTGTTATACATTTTCTTCTTTATTCCTTTTTGAAATAACCATTGGTCTCTTTTGAAATAACTTTAACAATTACTGTGGAAGTGGATTATGACCATCAACTTTTAATTTGCAGGGAAAGAAGAATCCTGGAACAGATCGTAATTCTGTGATTTCATTTCTGAACCAAGTAAAGGAAGCAAAGGAAATGAAAATAGACAAGTTAGTTAACATGGCTTCCTCTCTCTGGTCACTTCTCATGTTCATTTAAGTTGCATTTCCATATTATTACTTCCAGAATTTTCGAAATTTTGATGCATAACAGCTGAGAAATGCTTCTAGATTTCTGTAACCTAATTCATATGATAATTTATTGTTAATTTATATGTCCCAGTTCTTAAGCCACATAGCATGAGAATATTTTTTTCCTGAGCAGTCTTTTGTCATTTTACATTGGATCTTTATCACTGTGAGTGGGACAACCAATGTAAAATACTTTTCCCTATTTTTTTATTCAATCCTTTTTCCATTTCACATTCAGTTTCTCATGCTGCCTTCTATGATTCAGTTGGCATATTCTCATGAGGATGAGAGCTCCAAAAGAAGGTTCCTGTGATCCCATTGCACCTCTTGAGCTACCACATTCTTTGCATGCATTTCACCGTGTTTCTGCAACTGATGAACTCAATAAGGTGAGTAGTTTATCTACATTTACCTATATGGTCTCAAAAACTTGCCCTTGGGACTTTCTGGTAGCGAACCAAGAAACTGTAACTTCCATGCGGGATATGCACTGTACTTTTGTGCCCAGGATATCTTTTTAACTAGTTTGAATGAAACTACATTTGAGCTTGCGCATTTATACTGACTGGTAGCCGGATTTGAACTATTATGATTACTTTTGAACTGTGTTTAATATGTAAAAACTGTTAATTTGTTATGAACATAAGATACATAATTGAAGTAACTGTAAAATCCAGTTAAAAGCCATTTCACCCATTGTGTGCATCATCAGGTGGCATAGGCACTGGGAGTGTTGAATTGATTCCTGGATCTTTATTTCAGTGTTTACTTAAGGAACTTCTTAAATTTTATTGTTTTCTAAATGATATGATTTATTTCACAATTGTGCTTTATTTACAATTACGTCTTAGTCTAGCCAAGATCATGAGTGTAAAAATGTGACAATGAGATCTATGCAATACGTTAGCCTGTGTGTAAATATATGAATTTTAGAGGAAAATGGAAGAAAAACCATAGGAATGTCTTGCTGACTTTCTGTCTATAATGTCCTCTTTCGTTGGGTATACATTCCATCATTTAAGTTCTTACAAGCACAATTTGTTTCTTTTTTAGGAAGGTTATCACACATTTCGGGGGGGATTCTGGAACTACTTCAGCATGGGTAAGAGATTTTTCTTTTTCTTTTCTGTTCTTTTTTCCATTTTTTTTTAAAGAAAAAATAAATGGGCAAGAGTTCTTTCCCGGATAAATGTAAAGTATTCTATCTGCAAAGTGATTCGACCTGTATCTTGATTACAAATGTCTCAAACTTAAGTCTAACTAGTAATACTTTTGGAACCATAAAGTCTATTCTTTATCTTTTCTTCACTATATGTGCTTTTCTAAGTTTTTGGGTGGACTGTATGCAAAGTGCAGGAACTCTTTTGCCCAGTGAGTGGATATGCTGAATAACAAATTGCTAGTGTTAGGATTAGTGTTGATATTTGATAATTTCATATAATATAACAAGCAATAAGGCAAAAATAACATCAATTCAAAAGTATTTGTTTTTGTCTTGTTTTGTCCTGTAGCTTCAATAATGAAATTGAATCACAATGGATAAATTTCATGAATCTTCATTGTCTATCTTGGAGTTTGTAATGGATTCTTCATCTTCAGAAATTTTCTTCATTGTCTATCTTGGAGTTTGTAATGGATTCTTCATCTTCAGAAATTTGGTTCTTCCTTGATGCAGTCTGACATAATGGCCACATGCATTCTGTTGACAGGAATGGATGCTCAAGTATCATATGCGTTTCATTCTGAACGGAAGTTGCATCCAGAAAAATTTAAGAATCAGTTAGTTAATCAGGTATTTTAATGCTTTTTACATTAATTGTCTTAATGGATTGATGTTCAATCAAATAATTCCATTTATTGTGGAGGTTACCACCTTTTCTAACTATTATTTTTTTATTTATTCCATTTGGAACCAGAGTACTTATGCAAAGCTTGGTTGTACACAAGGGTGGTTTTTTGCTTCTCTTTTTCATCCTTCTTCAAAGTGAGTGTTTATAGATTGCTTTTTAGATTAAGGAATTGCTCTGCTTTCTTGCTGTCTTCTAATAGTTGTTACTGCTATGTCCTATTTCAGCATTTTGTTTCATAAAAAGGAAATAATAATGTTTTTCATCATTAGTTATGTTTGGGATTGCAGAATTACTCAAGTAAGAAATTGATTAAAAGCAGTTATTCACTTTTGATCTCCATTCTATCTTCGTTATAGAGATGGACATTTGGTATGATATATTAACATGGCAATTTCTAATTTTGGTAGAATGCTTTCAATTTTTATTATTTTCGCATCTGACTGAATTGATTTTATTTATATAGAATATAGATAAGCACATGCTGGTTTTTTCCTGTAGTTCTCATGAATTATAATTCATGTATAAATGAAACGCTGTGAAAACTGTCTTCATTGGGTATTTTGTTCTGTATCTCAATTGAAATTGAGACCAATTTCATTTTTTTTTTTTTTTTAAATTTACAGGAACATAGCTCAGCTTGCACAGGTTAAGATCATGAAAAAACATAGTCAAGAATGGCAAAAACTGGATATACCCTCCAGGTAATGTACCGTTTCTTTGTTTCCATATATTCATTGGGCTTGTCCTTCTTTATTTCTGGTTCATGCATGTTATAACACAACATTTTTCCTTTCTTTCCTCTTATTTTTAACAGCATCAGGTCCATTGTATGCCTTAACTTGCCCAGCTTTTCTGGTGGTCTGAGTCCTTGGGGGACGCCTAATAGCAAGAAACAGCATGAGGTGAGTTCACTCGCTATCTTCTTTCATTTTCAGTCTTTGATTGCAATCAAAGCAAATTAATTTGATACAAGCTGACCAAATATTTTTTTGTGTATGTGCAGAGGAGCTTGACTCCTCCATTTGTAGATGATGGACTTCTTGAGGTTGTTGGTTTTAGAGATGCTTGGCACGGGCTTGTTTTGCTTGCTCCAAATGGACATGGGACTCGTCTTGCACAGGTAAGAAATAGAACTTTCGAGATCACCATCACATAATGCTACTAACAAGAGTTCTAAATAATTTAGTGATTTGATTTATGGCTTTGTTTTTGGAACCAGGCACATAGAATCCGTTTCGAGTTCCACAAAGGTGCTGCCGAGCATACATTCATGCGGATTGATGGTGAACCTTGGAAGCAGCCCCTACCGGAAGACGATGATACTGTAGTAGTTGAAATATCTCACCTTGGCCAAGTTAACATGCTTGCCACCCATGATTGCAAGTCTAAAAGCATTCATGATCCTTTATCACTAAGCCATCACAATGATGGGGATGATGATAGTAACGAAGACGAACCTGAACATGGTGAAGAGTGGAGGAAATTTGGTGCAGCTGAGACATTTAAGATCCCAGATGGGGTTGAGATTGCCCATCTTAGTTAAATCCTTTTGAGTATAAAATTTCTTCTTTGGTTTGCATTTCTTATTGATAGTGTATGATTGGTTGTTGGTCTTCAGATTTTCCCGTTATGTAAATGTTTCAGTAATATTTTAATCGCTACAAAATATTGATTTGTGAATAAGCATTTGAAATGTGTGGGGTTAACAGTAAATTACTGTATTTGATTTTACAAATGAATTCTTATTGTTCTGTTTCTCTACTTAAAGTAGCTGTACAAAGGCGCGCTATAGACTTGTCCCTTTTGAATGAATATTGCTTCTACCTTGTGTTTTCTCTTTTAATTTTTTGCAATAATGACAGCTGCAAAAAGGAAATAGAGCAAGAGGCTAACACAGGGGAAATCAGAGAAGCAAGGACCGGTAGACTAATATGGAGATGACTGATAAACAGGCAACTGACGACAGTATTATAATGATACATTTGTGGTATAACAAAGAAAAACTGTTTTAAATTCAAACAATGCAAAATGAAGGTTATATATATGACACAAGGACACGATGTATTGTAGTTACCATGTCTAGAACAACAGAGTTTAAAGTGCAAGCCCCACGAGCTGCTGTGCAGAAAGAACGGAGGCTTTATATTCCCCCTCAATATAAGAGAGAAATCAGTAGGCTGGAGATGCACAGATGATCAGTTGTATGGAGACTAGCTCGCATACTGGGGCTCTCCAAGACATTGTTTGACAGCCTCATTAGCCTTCTGTGTCTCTGTCCGTTCTTCTCGTTTCTTCTTCTCCCTGAAAGTCATAAACATTTCAGAAACAACTACAAATGATATAAAACATATAAAAGACATATATATATATTAAGCTGCCTTGTCATGTCCAAGAGAAACAGAATATTTAGTTGCAGTAAGAAATGGGATAACTCCTTAATGCCATTATGAGAATTCACAACCTGATGCAGAAGAGATAGCACAGTTTAAAACAGAGGTTATACACATACACAATCTTCCATAAAATCTTGATGTTGAAGTGTGCCTGCAAATTTTCTCCCATTGGACTGATGTCTGTAACCTATATTCTTATAATTTCCCAATAATATTGCAAGAAATAATCATCTTATCAATTTTTCTATATGACAAATTGCAGCTTAATTGCTGAATTCTTGACTGATAAACACTTGTTATGTTCGCAAAACCAGCCCAAAACAGTAGCGTCCCATATTTTGAAGTAAAAGAAACTGAATGTAAGCAAGAGGAGTTTATCTTATATACCTTTCCACGTACTCCTTCAGCAACTCTTTTGCTTGAACCAGTTTGGAAAGGAGGTTGCGATAGACATCAAGGTCCCGATCCACACTTCTTTTATTTACATTTAATGCTGCACAAAGCTGTTCCATTGAAATTAAACGGAAAATATCAAACCATTAACAAAAAATCTTTTTGCTTCTATGATTATTCATATAAAAGAAAGGAAGTATTGAGTGGAAGCTTATCATAGATAGAGCAAAATTAATCAAAGCTAAACTTTACCAAAGCTAAGACAATCTTTATTACTGACTTTCCAACCCTTCAAACTTGAGTTGCTTTGATAAACTAATGAGTGTCATGTGCATATTTAAAGCTTATGGTAGCTGAATAAGGAATCATGCCATTTATAATTTGAATCTACCAAACCCAACAAAGTCTTTGAACTAGGACAGAGCCATTTTAAATGATAAGACATTCTGGAAACAATTCTATAACCTCAACTGACATAATCAAGCAATTCAGTCAACTTGGTTTTAGTCAACTTGTACCAATAAATATCTATCTAGCACCAATGGAGTAACGCACAGCCTTCCACACATCCTAATCTCAAACTGAGAACAATCTGAATGCAGCTTGAACGTACCACCAAAATTTAAAAATTAATACTTCTCAATTTAAAAAAAAAAAAAAAATTATGCATTTCCATAACAACATGGCAGGGAAACACTTAAGAATGTATAACAATATGGTGTGATAATTAACTTGATAGAGAAAAAAAATCTTCCCAGCATATTTGCATTTTGCACAAACCTATTAATCTAAGAATTCCGATCCTTTAATTAAGCAGTAAGGAATCAATACATAGAATAGATTGCAAAATTATATGGAAGGAATGCAGCAAATAACCTTTTCCAATATGGTGGGCTCAGTGGAATTTGAAAGCTCAAGAAGACGAAATAGTCCAACAGCGAAGAAACGACTATAGCTGAAACTCCCACTCCTAGCCCTTTCTGCAATGTCCTTCAATATTCCCTCAACTTCTCCTTCTCTTGATGAAAAGTCAACTAATGAACTGGAAGTCTGAGAGCGAGCCCATTCTTCCAACTTCTTTGCATCAACTCTATAGTGCACAGCACAGCAAAACAAAATTAGTACAACTAATTGTGAGTTTTCAATCTAATGTCTTACAACTTCATTGAAGTTCAAGGAAACAAAAAGCTGAGAAACAGAGAATATTCAGATCATAGTTCTGCTATGTATTTCAGTTTTTTATTCAAAATGATTTTAAGCCAGTTGTTCATTTGCACGTTATCTGCTATGTTGTTTTCATCGTGTCTCCATTTTAACAAGTTTCTTAAAGGATTTCCATGATTACAAATCAGATTATCTATATGATGTTTAGATTTTTCATAAAAAGGAGGAAGTAGATTATTCTTATTTTTCATGTAGAATATTAATTGAGGCTTTTGCTTAGAAAATACTTGTACACAGTTTTCTGTCTACCTTTAAAAGATGAAAACATAGTGATATATGACGAACTATCATAGATTATCTAGTCTTCACAAGAATTATTTACACATTGCCAAACTGAAAACTTAAATTCAAACTAGGAAAAGCAAATACATAAAAGAAAAAAAACAATTTCCATGGAACACAAACCTATATTGCTCGGGTTCCTCCTTTAATGCCTTTATGTATGCTTGAAAAATGGCCTCTCGATCCTCATCACTCGGGTATCCTTCCATTAGTTGATCATACACAGTAACAAAACCAAGGGCAAAGACAGGGTCATAGCGGTACGTCCTCTTGTACCTCATCAAGTGTTGCTGAACAATGAGCTCTTGCAGAACAGTATTGTAGATACTGGGAATTGGCTTCTTGTATGCCTTTAGAAAATTGAACTTCGTCTCAGATACAGTGGGCGGCATATCTGCAATCAAATCCAATGAAGCAAACAAATGAAGACTAAGAAATGGAAGTATATGACATATAAAAATATGAAAAATTTCTAAGTACCAATTCTTGGGCACCAAGTGTCAGCATTGCAGATTTAAGAAACTAAAATGAAGTTCTGTCCTTGGTGATGATCAAATCAACACAGAATTAGTTACTTAAACAAATGGAAAAATGACAATCACATATTAATTTTAAGAGCAATTCTTTCGAAGATGTAATAATGCTGTAAGCAAGCAATTGAATTAGTAAAGGCTTTCACTTTTCTACGGTCCCTATCGCAAGAGAGCCTAATTAAACTAGGGTAGTTCACTATCTTCACCAGGTCTTCTGCTTTTTCGTGAACCAATCAGAATTTACAAAATCGTAGAAAAAAAAAAGGATATCGACGAATTAAAAAAGTCACCTGTAGCAGTGGACATGCAATGAATAACCATGCGAGAAGTGGAATTTGAAGTTCTAACGCCCACATAATGACAATGAAAACGAGTACGGAATCGGCAATTGTCAAAATTCGAAGCGAAGGAGCGCGTGCACGAAGCAAAGGCTTTTCTGTCGCCGGGAGACTGATTGATTGCAGAGAAGGAGACCGAAGTAACTGCCGCCATTTAATCAATAATATGTCAGAAACTGAAACTGAGATTGAAAGAATGATAAACAGAGAGAATATGCCAGGAAAAATCTATATCATATCGGCAAGGGAGAGAAAACCAATGGAGAGATAAGCAGCATTGGCATTCCGATATGGCTACGAGATTGAATTAATTTTCTTTTCTTGCGAGAAACGAAGAGAAAGTGAGGTTGAAAAGGAAAGAGAGGCTTATCCAATGCAGTGAAGTTGAAAATGAGACTTTTGTGAGGGTTTAGAAGAGAGCCGGTAACGATTTGACACGTATGCATTTTTTGGGCGTGAATAGCCCTTTGCTTTCTGTACACTCTCTCTCTCTCTCTTACTTGTGTGTGTGGCTGTGCTCCTTCAGTTAAGGTAACTTACCTAGTTAACTAACTTGAAAGAGAAACTCCTGTCCGGTTCCGGCCCGACTTAACCCGGGTCAAATTGTCCTCAGTGCAACGACGTCGTTGCATATAGCTCTCCGTTTCCAATACAAGCAGTAACAAATATTATTAGTTAAATGGGCATATTTTACGCCCATAATCTAACAGGATACTAAACCTTCGTGTTTCTGCTGCAAGAAAAGCTGCAAGTTGCAGACATGGTTAAATATAAATAAGTGTCGTGTCGATCTTATCCAACCAAGTGTCCCTTCTATCCATTGATTCACGTGGTTATATGCCATGTCCTCCAATTACTAATGGAATCAACGTGCTCTCTATCTTCCTTAATCAGCAATTAATGATAAATTAATAAAAACAAACTAGCAAGCGTTCAGAAAATAAAGATAAAGCAGCAACAGAATGATATAAAATTGCATTTGCTGGTGAATATTTCTTCACATGGGAGCCATAATTGCGTAGCTTTTGGATTTTTTGACTCTAGGGGTCTATATATATATATATATAATATATTATATATGTTAACTTTTGTAAGATTACACTTGTGCTGTGGAATCCTGCCTTAGCTAAAATGCATTAATTCTTTTCTACACAGTGATTAAGAAAATTGAACAGTTTCTTGAATGAGAATGAAATGAAAAGGTGTAAATATATTATTTATTTGGTTTAGTAGGAGCCATGGGTTTTTGCCAAGTGTAGTTGAAGTCTACAAGCCTACAAGGAGCTTTTTGAAAGCAAGGAACCACTAGAACATAACAATATATGCTTCTTTCTTCCCCCTTATATATAGACTGTAGAGAGCTTCAGTGATCTTCCAGCTAAAATCATAGTCTTTCAACAACCCAGTTAAGTTGGCAGAAGATGCAAGGTGTTAAAGATAAAGCTCCAAAAACAAATTACAGTTGGGTAAAATCCCTCAAGAACTCTGCTGATAATTCCTCCAACTCCAAGCAAATCGCAAGCTTTTCAGGTAATTTCAGTACCAAAGGCTTGAAAAAATGTAAAGCTCATAAAAACAATGATGATAAGTACAAGCTTAAACAGGCAGAGGAGTCACTACGAACTGTCATGTATTTGAGCTGTTGGGGTCCCAACTGAACTCAACACAATCCATTTCTCTTCTCTCTTGTCCTTTCATTTCTTGCTCAATTTACATAAAGACTGTTTTATAACACTTCCAATAACATCTCTTATCTTATCTGTTCCTTAATTTGTTTATGGAAGAAAATTTTATGTTCATTTCGTCAAAACAAAAGCAATGTGCCACTTAAATCCATTAAATCATCCTCATATTTTCATATCAAGAGTGAACAATATATATATAATATATATATAATATATATTATATTATTATAATATATATATATAGGCTATTTTTCTTGGAAGACATTTTGTTGCAATCAAATTGGTCAATTTCAAGAATGGTATAAACATAATATTCCTTTACTGTATGAATTAATATAATAAAGCACATGTGAAGATAGATAACCATTGAACAAGACAACCACTGCTTGGATGAGTTTATAAATATTATATTGTTATTACTGTTCTAGTATTGTGTTTTTACTTAATCGAAGAAACATACATTTTTGAAGAAAATGGGGTTTTTAATGAGAAAAAGAAGGTTAAACTTTCATTTCCATACAAAGAGAAGAACCGAAGCTGTAATTCTAAAGTAATCAGTTAAAATCATATGAGGTCCCCAGCAAACGACACGCATGATTTTCTGGGCCTTCTCAGCTTGCTTTGGGCTGCTTCTCTTATTTGCTTCTCCTCCAGCTGCGGCTGAAGCGCATCTAGCCACAAGTGTTGGAAGCTTGAGTGCGTAGTCTAGGCTGAGTCATTGATCCTGTAGAAGCTCTCTCAGGCCTTGGACAGCTCTCGTGCAAATCCTGCTCATCAATTCCTTGTGGCTTGGATTGCTAAACTAGAACCGAGCAGCTGAATTATGAAGTCATTTTCAGCTTGGAGCCATTGGCTTTTTGGGTTGGAATACAACGGGTTTTGGCCTTTTGGGCTCTCAGATTAAAAAAGAAAAGGCTTGACGTTGACACTTCAAACCAAACATATAAACAAAAACGACGGGCGCAAAACCACTGGATTTAGAAACTGGGAGCGAAAGTTCGTCCTCTTCTCCTCTATAAATATATCACAAATCGTAATATACTCAATTCAATTCATCAGCAATTCTAAATTCCTAAGACTACAGCGTTTGTCTTGTCATCTTAAACTACTTGAAAAGAAAACTAAGAATAGAGAGAAATGGGTTCAGCAGGAAAAGGTTGGGCGGTTGCAGCCAGCATTGGAACTGTGGAAGCATTAAAGGACCAGCTAGGTTTTTGCAGATGGAACTACACCTTAAGATCATTGCATCAACATACCAAGAATAACCTCAGGTCTCTATCTCAGGCCAGGAATCTCTCTTCTTCCTCATCTGTCTCTAGCAATAAAGTGAAGGAATCAAAACAAGCAGAAGAATCTTTGAGGACAGTCATGTTCTTGAGCTGTTGGGGTCCCAACAACTGATCACAGTGTTCATTTTCTGTAATCAGCTAGCTCTAATATTGTAAATCAATACGAAGTACTATATATAGATACGAGAATTTTATCATCTTATCATCTTTTTCTTTTCCTCCTTCATAATTGCCATCACGAATACTTAATTAACTTAATTTTTTTCTGAGATATAATTAACTTAATTAATACTGCTAATTAACCAGCAACCATTTTTATTTTCTCCTTGTAGCCATGCCACCGTCATGAAAATGGACTTTTCAAGAAATTAATTTAAATATTTGGAGAATTCCCATAAAATAAATCACCCTAACGGTCATTGTTTCAATTCAAAATTGTGGGTTAATATAATGCCTATGCCCGTAAATAACTTTCTAGCATTTCAATAAATTACTGAGAAATGTTGATTAACCAATTGTTAATTTGTAATGTATGAGTTTAGGAAAAAAAAATTATGTTTATGAATATTTTCAAAAATTAATTATGAATCTTTCCACAAAAATTAAAGCACAAAATGTTTATGGAGGGATCAATTTTTTAGTCAATTGAAATCAATAGGGATTCTTTTGGGTGTGAAAACTAAAAATTAGGGCTTTATAGTTATTTTTTAAAACAAAGATCTTAATTTGTTAATTTTGATTAGGGATCAATTGTAATTTTTTAACGTTAATTTTTCCCACTAATTTGACACGTGCTCAAAGCCAAGAATTGCCACCACTAAGCTGAGTGGATGCGTGGCATGACATTGGGTTGATAGAGTGGACAGCGCGTAAGTGTTAGATTCACTGTTATGACAAAGACGCTTCGCTCATCCTTAAAAAAACAAGCAGTTTCCTCTCCCATACTTTGGGCTTTATTTGGACTTATCCGTTACGTAAGCAAAACCATGTGCTCCCACTACACTTCAAAACTCAGCCGGAAAACCAAGACTCACACTTTCCTCATTAATAATTCTCACCAAAACCGCTACCAGATGCCCACAGTCCACAGCCTCTGGTTTTCCTCCCAAGACTTTTGGCACTCGCTTTCTTTACATCTATATAACCAAACTCTTCCTTCCCATTTGCTTCATCATCTTATTTCTTACAGTTCTAGTCTCAAACTCCACAAGCAAGAGTGTCCAATTTCTAGCTCTAAGCAAAACAAACAGCAGATAGTAATTAGTACAACATGAGTTCAGCAAGCAAAGCTTGGATGGTAGCAGCAACCATTGGAGCTGTCGAGGCGTTGAAAGACCATGGCATTTGTAGGTGGAATTATGCCTTAAGGTCTTTCCACCAACACGCCAAGACCCATGTCAGGTCAATCTCTCAGGCTAAGAACCTCTCTTCTTCTTCTTCTTCTTCTTCTTCTTCTGCCATGTGCTCAAGCAAGCTCAGGGAAGACAAATCAAAGCAATCAGAAGAATCCTTAAGAAAAGTCATGTACTTGAGTTGTTGGGGTCCTAATTAATATAGAATATTGATGTAAATTTCAATGATTATATAGTTGATGTTATCAAATTCAAGTCTCGAGACTAGTGATTTGGATCAATCTTCTTTCTTTTATTTATTGTTCTTCTTTTTTAATTGCCTTTTTCTTTTCTTTGATGGTTGAAAGCTGATTCATTTGAAATTTACATACCCTCAACTACAATAGAGCCTTTATATGGCTCCAACTGATCTCAAGAATGAAATTAGATCTCTAGCTGGTAGATCACTCGCTGGTATATTTGTGATATTATTGAAGGGTCCTGCAGTGCCGCCTCCAATTCTGTCACAAATTGCAAACCTACAGACAGGGCATTGGCCATGGCTCTTGACCCATGGAACGATGCATTCCTCATGAAACATATGGTTGCATGGGGTTAGCATCACCGCCTCCTTAGGCTCAAAATCTTCTAAACAAACAACACAACTCTTCCCATCCTCTTCTTTCTCTCTTGCCCTCTCATTCAAGACGTTTAGAGCTTGGTCTCTATAATACAAACACATTCTACTAGAAATCCTTTTGGGGGAAGGATTGTAAATTTCTTTCCTTAGCTTCTTCAATGCCTTGATTTGCTCATCTTGGCTCAATCTCGACTCTTCATGTGAGGAACTAGCAAAGCCTTCCGCTGGTCCTGGAGGAGGAGACTGCCTTGCCAGGCCATTGTTCACCACAAGAAATGGCCCTATCGAATTTGGTCGCATATAAAAACTGCAATATATTCCTTTGTTAAATTGAAATGATGTTTAAAAATTCTTGCAAAACCACCCAATTGAACAAAAAAGATAATTGAACCCAGTACCCAAGTAAGCCTAAAGGTCCTGTTAATGTTTCGTCTATTGGTCGCCATGGATCATAAGAGGAACCTCTGCTTCCATCCTAGTAAGACAAAAAAAAACAGTCGAAATATCCCTCTCACTCCTTTCTTGTGGAATTCTGATGGGTAAATAACAAGAATTAATCTGGGCAGAGCATACTTACAAGAGTGGCCTGAGAGGGAGTGGAGCGAGTAATAACGGGAATTGAAGACGAGGGATAATTCCTGTCATCGCTGATAGGGACGTAAGTATTAAAACCATATTCACGTCCCCTTCTCCGATCTCCTCCTGGTGAGGACGTGAAATTGAAACTGTTGGAGCTGCTGCTCATGGCAACTTTACCCTCTTCCCCCTAGTTGCAAATTTTGCATTAATTCCTCTAACTGGGTATTCTTGCTTTTTTTTTCCCTGGTAAAATGTGAAATGTTGTTGATATAAACAAGATAAATAAGCGAACATATTCTTAATGTCTTTGTTCTTGTTTTCATGCATATATTCTGATGTGAAGCCTTATTCTTCCTCCATTGAAGAGATGCTTGTTTGATGGTTAGGAATGACTTTCACAAGAAAGACAAGAGAAATTCAAGTAAGGAAGGAATCTAATTCTCTTCTTTTTTATTTTGGTTTACACATTAGTTTCTCCAATGTCAAATCCATTCCGGTTTGGAATATAAGAGAACTGATTACTCTTCCACGATTATACATGGTTGTAATTACAAAACAACCAACGCAAAGATGGGCTTCTTGCTGGTCTTGGGCCTTCTTAATGTTGGGCCAAGTTTACTGCTTATCCTAACCTTAAAAAAATGAAATGTTTTACTTTAAAAAATAAATTGTAGTAATATTTTTCATGTCAAGTAGAAATGTCAAAACACAATTTCTCACTTTAGCCCTAAATTTGTGGGAGAAGAGAACAAAAAGCAGCTGCGCTGGTAAGAATAAACGGAACCCTTGCCTTTGGTATCTCCAAATCAACAAGCTATATACTATATATAATAACAACGTAACTGCTTTCAGTTTCATCATTTTATTCTTTAATAATTATTTGTCACTCTCTCTCTCTGTATATATATACATACACGTCGAAAATGGATGTTTGTACTTTGCTAATTAAGTGATTAACTATAATTACTGCATTGTGAACATCACTAGTGCTGCAATCAGAATGAGTTGGAAGAGCAAGGCATGGGCATGGGCTGTTTTGGGCAGTGTTGCTGCAATGGAGGAGCTGAAAGATAACAAGTTATGCAGATTGAAATCTTTTCAGGATCGATCGCCATTCCCAACATTTACCAAAAACAGTTCAGAAATATTGGAATCAAGAAGGGCAGCCATTGCCAATAATGAGAAGCTAAATCCTTCTGCAGAAGAAGAAACGCTGAGAATTGTCATGTTCTTGAGTTGTTGGAATTAACAGTGCCCGTGAGGGTGCATGTAACTTGCTAAAATCACAGTAATTAGCACTGGTTGTACGTAAGTGTTTTCAAAAGTAAAATTAGCATCTGCAACTACAAATTAAGCCATATATAAGAGAGCGCACTTGCATCATTATTTTGGTGGACTGGTAGGTACAATACAAACACACACATGAACCCCATTATTACAAAATACCAAATAGAGGGAGGGGTGTAAGATCCAAAGGGAGAGTGTCCATGTTCTTCTTCATTGACCATGTCAATAAAAAGTAAAGACACTTTAAGCAAAGGCAGAGCGATAGATTGGATGGAAAAGAAAAATATAATACATTAATTCTTTCTTTTGTGCAAGAGCCAATTAAGTATTTTGTTGCCACCCAAAAAAAAATTAATGATAAAAGAAAAGAAAAGAAAAATGATGTTGTAAACATGATATCAAATCATGGTGTCCAGCCTGCACTCTCTTTTAATCATCAATATCATCCCTTTATCCATTCTTTTTATGCTAATGCCACATTACTTCATTAAATAAAAGACAAATTTATATCAACTCCTTATAATAGATAAAACCCCTTAATTTAATTTCAATTTTTTAAAAAATATTACTATAAGAAATCAAATCTGAACTTTTTTAAGTGTTCGGGTTGAGAGTTAACCAATTGATAATGCTTTTAGTTTAATTTTTGTTTACAGATGAATTATTTTTTATGGAAAATTTTAAAAAAAAAAAATTTGAAGAGCATCATGATAAGTAGTAAACTAATGGCAATCACCCTTGTGTTATGCAATGGGAGCAAGCGTCCATGCAGAGCAGAGCCGGACCTCAAATAGACCAATCAAATTCACCCCATTCTCATACTTTGAAGTCCAACTACCCAACACATATATATATTTTTCATTTGTAATTGTAGCTTTCACAGCCCAACAAAAACAAAATTCATCTTTTTCTAAGCCTCAAGGTAAAATAAATGGGTGTTAACGGACACAAAGACGAGACTGAAAGGAAGGTTTGGAGTCTTTGCAAAATGCCGTTCTGGCAAACCACCAACAACCCCACCTCTTCTTCTTCTTCCTCCTCTTCTTCCTCTTCCTCTTCTTCTTCCACTTGCGCCTCTTCCAGTTCTATGAGTAGTAATAGTAGCATCGATGGCAATAATGCTTGCCAGCAGAGTCACACTCACCAAATTGGAGGAGAAAGATCCACTCTTTATTCTACCAATACGGTGTCCCTTGTAGCCAAGTCTTTATTGCCTACGAGGAGAAAACTCAGGCTTGATCCTCCTAACAAGCTCTATTTTCCTTGTAAGCCTCTCTTTACGATTTATTATGTATATTCAACATTTTTAATTCTCTGCTTCTGTTTTGGATATACATTTCATTTCTACTCAGTATAATTTGTTTCTTTTGCTAAATCTGATCTGGGTCTTTTTGTTTTTAATTTATACAAGTGAGTGAATGACCTTCTTATTTGTTAGATTTATGAATGGCCTCAGATTCTTTACTTCGGATTTTTCTTCTCATGGACTGTCTCTAACTGATTGATGATTTAGCTAGGTTCATTTTCCTTCTCTTTTTATTTAGTGAATACAATTGTAACTCTTTGGCATTTGATTTGTTCAGTTTACATGCTTTTCCATTGTTTACATACTCATTATCCTCTTTGGAAACGTAAGAGTGGTATTATTCTGCCAATACATGATCCAGTTCTTTTCTTACTTATTTAGTGTTATTTTGATGTACTTAGTGATGTTTGATTACTAATAAAGATTTGAGCTTTCATTAATATGATAACCTCAGTTGGTATCAATAATTTGTTCACTAGATGGTTTGGCTTTTCTTATTAAGGTGTCCGCCGTGATTTAGATTTGAGTTCTTATTCTTGGTTATCTTTATCCTAGGTTTATTTTTATATGGATACCATTTCAGCCATTGAGTATAGTGATTTTGCTTAGAGGAATTACATTACACTCCTTTCTTTGATTTGTTTCTGTAAATTTTACTCAATAGACACTATGAAAAAATGAAGTTTTTCGAATTTCTTTGCATGTTTTTCTGTTGGCTGGCTAGATACATAGATATTGATTTTCTTGGTATCTGACTTGTTTCAATATGGCTTCATGGAAGATGAACCTGGTAAACAGGTGAGGAGTGCTATTGGCATTAAGAACATTTCTAAATCTCATGTGGCTTTCAAGGTATCGAATATTGTCAAATCATTTGCTCTGTTCGTTTCTTTTGATTCCTAGCTTTTGTGGCACATGGCTTAGTAGTTTTCATCATGAATACTATATAAAATGTCTTAACTACTCCTCCAATAATTCTGATTGCCAACCAGATTCAAATGGGCTTGACAGTAATGTGACAAAACTAGCAGTATTTTCTGCTCAAATTTTCAAAAAATAAAAAAGGGCCCAGAAGTTGTGCCAGCTGGGATCCATGTACTATCTGTACCATCTCTGAATTAATTTGAAAAATTTTCTAAAAAGAAATAATTCATTTGAGCTGCTCCACTAAATAATGTAATCTTGCTGGGAAGAAAAAATTGATTAGTGGCTTGGTCTTGATAGCTAAAAAAACTCCAGCTTGACAATTGAGAGAAATATCAAATTAGAGAAGAATTACAGTAAAGGTCATGAAAATGTTTGTTTCTGTTCTTGTTCTCTTATTGCTGAAGACGGTTAAAATCCACGTGATGAATTAAAGTATCCAAATATCGCATCTGTTATATAACATTCTAACCCTTTACCTTGCTATAATGCTACTAACCAATTCAACAATTCATAATTGGACAATCTTATTGGATAATCTAGTTCCAAACAACTGCACCAAAGAGCTGCTACATGCGACCTCCTGGAGGTATACTAGCTCCGGGTGAAAGTCTTATTGCAACTGGTAATTCATATTCAAGTATACTCTTTGCTGTAATCATTTATGTTTTAGAGAGTTCCTTTCTCAGACTTGACTTATTATTGCAGTATTCAAGTTTGTGGAGCCTCCCGAGAACAATGAGAGACCTAACTTGGATCAGAAGAGTAGGGTCAAGTTCAAGATCATGAGCCTTAAAGTGAAAGGAGAAATGGAATATATTCCTGAGATGGTATACCTTTTCAACCTCGTTTTTGCAATTTGATCTGATACTTCTTGGTTTCAGATGCTCTTTTGGTTTTTCCTCCATATTAATTTGCTCCAGTTTTCCTCACCTGAATTTTTTTTGTGGTACATTTGGGATAGTTCTAAGTTTTGGTGTCTCAAAATATAAAATGCAGGTCAATTCTTCATTTGCCAACATTGACTACTTCCAAAACTAATATCTAAAAGGTTTTATTTATTAGAAAACAGAATAAGAAAAAGCTGAATAAGATTTGTTTATTGCTTTTATGCAGTTTGATGAGCAGAAGGATCAAGTGGCAGTGGAGCAAATTTTACGGGTCATTTTTCTTGATCCAGAATGCCCCAACCCTGTAAGTAGAGTTGAAATAATCCACTGAGTGCTTGCCTCAGGCACTTAAGCCATACATATACAGAAAAGCAACAACACAAAGAAATTCTAATTCTATGAATGAATATGTTCTATTTATTGTTTTTTGTGTTAAGGCACTGGAAAAACTGAAGCGACAATTGGCTGAAGCTGAAGCTGAGCTCGAGGCACGCAAGAAACCTCCTGAAGACACAGGCGCTAGAGTAGTCGGTGAAGGGCTTGTTATAGATGAATGGGTGAGATAGAGATTCAACATTTCTTTTCTATCTTCATTTAAATGGCGATAGTTCCTTGTACATTTTCCTGACACTTGCAATGCTTTTAACTTTTGGTTCTCAGAAAGAAAGAAGGGAAAGATACCTGGCTAAGCAGCAGGTTGAAGTGGATTCTGTGTAAAAGGTTACTTGTGTGTGTTTGTTGTAAGCTAAGTTGTATTAATTTCTTGAGCTGAAGTTTCCTTTCATGTGATTTTGAGTTTTTGGCTTGTTGGTCTTGTTTGAGATGGATGTTGAGGTGTGCAAGAGAGATTTAAGACATCGAAGTTTGCAAATCAAAATTCACCATCTGAATGATCATACAATGGTCAGCAAGGTCAACAACTATTTTCTTTGGCCATAATAATAATAATAATAAAGAAAAAATCTTGAATCTTTTGCATTACTAAAAACTAAATAAAGAAATAGATAAAGACAGAAGTAATAGAATGATATAAAGATTTACCTTTTTTTTTTGGTGCATTTCATGCTTTTCCCACCAAATTGTATCTTCTAATTGTTATTTGTTAGATCCATGTGCAGAGAAAATATTATAATTTATGTGGGTTGACAGCTTCATAGCGGACAGGTTTTGCAGAGGTGGAACTCATGGTGGGTGGATAGAGATCTGAGATCTTGATTTTGATCTTCACTTTCAGTTCTGATGCTCCACTACTATTAAATTAACATTCTCCTTGCAGGAATCAAATAACACCAGATATGGTGTGTTTGGAAATGAAATAATTTTATTTTTGGTATGTGCTGGTCTTTATTTGCTCGCTTTACTTTGCAAATAACTTAGATTATAAGATCCAAACGTGCAGCCCCTGTCACAATCTCATGGGAAAGGCAGTTCAAAGACGGAAACAATAAAAAGGCTTGTGGAAGATAATGAGAAAAGATCTCATCTTTTAAATAACTATAAAAAATTTGTTTGAGTAATCAAATTAATGGATTAGGTAGGTTCCATTGATTGCTAGGCATGGCCAGTTCAGTGAACCGCTGGTTCCGGTTCACTGAACCGCCGGTTCGAGATGTTTAAAATTTTGAACCGAAATCGACCTTTGAACCTCCGGTTCCGGCACAGTTCAGCACGGTTTCTGCGAACCGACGGTTCAAATTTCGGTTCCAGCATTACGCAAATTTTTAAAAAAATAATAAAATTTTGATTTCGAATTTATGAATAAATAATAATTTTAAAATGTTTAAATTTTATTTTAAAATTTTAAGATTTATTTAACAAAATGAATTATTATTAAAAGTTAAAAGAAAAACTATTATTACATTAAAATTTACAAGTTTTGCTTAATTTACTAATATGAAAAAACTATAAATGGAATATAAAGTTAACTGGAATGAGTAATGGAATGAGTTGGAAATTATTATTTCCAAATACTAAGAAAATTATTTAAAAAATCAAATGAAGTAAATTTATGAATGAAAAAATTGAGATTAGAGAAGGAATTTAGAATTTGAGGTAGGAAAATAAAAAATAAACAATAGATAATTCCAATATTAAGGAAAATAAAGCAATGGAAAAAATAACGAACTATGGAAATTTGAGAGAATTTTGATTTAGAATAAGAGGAGAGTTATGATGTAATTGGTTGTGAAAAAAAAAATCAACTCATCATATTTATACATATTTTTAATTTATTAGTTTTCCAAATTGTCCTTTATAATAGAAAAATAACAACTATATTTTTGGATAATTTAGTAAATTATAATAAATAAATAATTTATTAAAAATGAATAAAAAAATAATAGCTATATTTTTGGATAATTTAGTAAATTACAGTAAATAAATAAATAAATAATTAAAAATGAATAAAATTTATTTACCAAAAAAAATAAAAAACATATATCATATTAAAAATTATCCGTTACACTCTTTTTTTGTTCAATTGAAAGTATTTTTTTATATAAATCAACTATTCATGTACCATTTTTTATACAAATTAAGTTTAAAAATGTGTATTTTTTTTCACAACTTTTTATAACTTATGTATCATTTTATTTCTTTTCACCGTAAATCAAATTAACTACAATCAAATCAAGTGATATAAATTTTTTTATAAAAATTTTAAGCTACAATTTTTTATGCATCCGGTTTGAACCGGACCGGAACCGCCGGTTCCGGTTCATATTTTAACATTCATATGAACCTTAACCGGCTCTTGATCCGCCGGTTCCGATTCAAAATTATAAACCGCCGGTTTCGATTCGTCTTCAGTACGATTCGATTCCGGTTAGAACCGAACCAGTGGCCATGCCTATTGATTGCTATTTGAATTTTTTCTTTATTAGACATGTAAACAATGAAAGGTGTAACCTCCAATGCTTTTAGTAAACAATAAGGTGTAACTCACGGATTGCAGCTCAATTCACAACGTAAATTAATATGTGAAAAAAGATTAAAAGAGTTTTTCAATCTATAAAGAGATGAAGAGCTTCAACTGTGTTTAATTAAAAAATATAACTATTAGCTCGATGTCTTTTAATGTATTTGTTATCAACTCTAACAATAAAAATTATAGAACAAAAAATCCAATAATTCTTCTGGTTGGCCCATGGATTGGGATATAAAACAAAGAAAAGAAAAAATTTTAGATCCTTTGTGCATAAGATGATCATGGAAAAACTTTGAGTGGAGACCATTATTGAGTGCAATTATGAAGGACGCATAAACAAAGAAGAAAGAGACAGCAACTCTTTCTTTGTTTTTTTCCCCCTTAAAAAAGCAACATTAGATGGAAAATATATAATAAATTAAAAATAATTTTAATTGGTAAAAAAAAGTAATAATATATTTAAAAATTCATTATAAATCGACTTAATAATAATAATAATAAGTATATATAAATGTCTAATCTTTTTTATATACTCCACCAAAAAGTAAATATACGATGGTGATGTACAAAAGCCCTATTATAGCGAATTGCTGGTTACCCATTCTCAAACTGCCATCTGCCTCTAACCCCATAAAAGCCATTTTCTGACAATCACTTTTGTGTTTTTTGTCGTTTTTGAATCACAGCAATTGTTCGTTTATTTATTTAATTTATATATTACTATAATAATGTAATTTAGAAAAGTAGAAGTGGGCCAACATTTGCACGTGATGCCTCTCCTTCTCACGCTTACAATTAGAAGCGAGCCACTCACAATCCTCAACTCGACACGAATCCTTTCATATAATAAAAAGACAAAATTACCCCATACTGATGGCAGGGAGGTTGAAGACAAAAAAATTAAAAAAGAAAGAAAGAGAAGGGCAGAATTCAAGGAGCACAGAGTAGATGTTGCATTTCTATTGGTAGTTAGAGATGAGTCATCGAATTATCGAATGCCCTTTCTGGATAAGGCCGCCACCTGCTCCCTCTACAGTATACTATCCCAAATAGACTCCTATTCACAATTTATCGCGATTCACCACAATATAAAACTCGCGATAAAACGCTTTTATTTTTAGAAGTTACTATCAAATTTACTTTTAGGACAAAATGAGATGTCGACATTTGCTTGACTCTTTCTTCCTTAATCTCATTTTTTATTTTTTTAAGAGTTGGTAAGACAAAAATTTTATTTGTGGACGACAACTAAGAATAATGAATTATTTAATATACAATTTTCAAAAAACTCCCGATCAAATCAAATCAATTATTCAATCTTTAATAATTATAAATCTTATTAAAAATATGTTAATTATGTGTATTTTTATTTACATTTTTTCAGAAAAAATTTATGGCACTCCAGATTTTGTTGTATCTTTAAACTTATGAATTTTAGTAATTTTATATATTTTTATGTACTAGCATTAATGATTTGATGTTTAATTAATATTAGGGATGAGAAAACGGTTCATTTGATTCAAACCTAACCAAACCAAGGTTAAAAATCTAAATTTGAATTTTGTTTGATTGTATTCGAACCAAAATTGATATTAAATTCAACCATATTGAACCAATCGATTTTGATCAATTTGCACCATTTGGGACCGATTTTAAGTATAACTAGTTAATTTTTATAAAATCAAGCTAAATCACTAATAATTTCAATTCAAACTAACTAACCCATAAAATAAAATCCCCTTTCAATGGGTTTATTGAACCCAAACAAAATAGGTCGGTTTGATTAGTTGTTTTGCTCACCCCCTAATTAATATTATTTTCTAAAACTAATTTTCACGTTTTTTAATTATTCAACAAATATTTTTATTTGAAAGACTTTGCTCATTAGTTTTTTAATTATTCAACAAATATTTTTATTTGAAAGACTTTGCTCATTAGCATTTAATATATTAATTTTGTTAATTAAAATATTTAATAAATATAATTTGATAAATAGAGAGTTTCAATGGGTAAAAGTGAAAAATTAAAAATTGACATATAATTTTTTACAAAAATTCATAAATGAATTAATAATTTTTTATCAACAATATCTTCCCCTTATATATTTTTAATAAAACCATAATCTACATAATTTGAAGTATTATATTGATCACTAAATTAATAATTAATAATTGAATTTTAATTTCTAAAATAAAAGTTTTAAGTTATTATATAATATATTAATACACACAATCTAACCTAACCTAAATTGGGTTTGGTATGAGTTCGTTTTCAATCCAAATAAATAATAAACATTTTTTATTTATTTATTACAAGAGATATTGAATTTCTCCCGAAGCACCACATTCGTACACAATTAGTAAGTTCAGGACGAACACAGGCCCAAACAACCTCGCGTTGCGTCCCGCCGCTTATTATTTTGAACCAAATTTATTACAAGAGATATTGAATTTCTCCCGAGAGAAGCACACATTCGTACACAATTAGTAAGTTCAGGACGAACACAGGCCCAAACAACCTCGGCGTTGGGTCCCGCCGCTATTATTTTGAACAAAACCATTTCCTTTTTCCTGTTTCCTGTTTCCTGTTTCCTGTTTTATAAAACCGCTCCTTCCTTCTATAAAGGCGCACTCTTCTCGTCGCCCAATTCCACAACTGCACTACTTATTGCTCTAAGTTTCAAAACTCAGCATCTTAGCTGCGATCACGGAAAATCTAGAAATGAGTTACCTGAACCGCGTTTGCGTGGCGGCTAGCGTGGCCGTGGTGCAAGGCCATCCCGACCAAGGGTGGAAAGCAAGCTTAAAGACTCTGCAGCACGGCAAGAGACGGCTGTTTTCCGGCGGAGACAAATCGGATCTCCGGCCACTATCTGGTTTTCTCGGATCAGACGGCGGTGTCGGAGTTCCTGTAAGTCCTAACGGAGACGAGAGAGGGAGGCAAAACGATGAATCTTTCCGGCAAGTTATGTATCTAAATTGCTGGGGCCAGGGGTGAAATTATGGGAGATGAGGCTTGAACTATATATGTGAATTGAGAGTTGGAAGAGGTTGACTCGGAGTCGACTGAGTTGGGAGAGACGATCCAGCGCGGATTTAGAAATACAAATAGAATGATCGTCTCTCTTTTGTAAAATGTAAGCATGTAGAGTTAGTCGGTGAGATCAGAAAAGAGAAGATGAGAAGTTTGAGTTTGGTATAATTTAATTGTGAATTTTAAGCAATAAAATTAACCAAATATGCAGTTAATGGAATCATGATTTTATTTCCATCTCTGAAATTTATATTTCGTTTGGCGTTTGGTCGATGAAGCAAGCCCTAAAGCGATTTAATCTCCTCCTCCTAATCTCTAATGAGATTTGAACATGTTAACTATTAGTATTCTTGAAGATTTCAATTTTCAATTCTATTCTAAATTTTGTACTTCAAATTGCACAAATTTGAGGATATTCAATTCAGGGTAATTTGGTTTGAGAGCTCTTGATTTTGCAGAGATCCTCTATAACGTTTAAATCACTGTCATGAATTGCCATCGGAATAATTTTTATGTATCGGAACAATTTGATGTGCTGCAAAAAAAAGTAGTAATCCTTCTCTTCTACGGTCACCGGAACTCGAGAACATAGACTTTTCAGTTCTTTCATAAACCTTTCCACATCGTCTACAATCCTGATTGGAGAAGCAGATTACGATGATGATAAGGGAGTATGTGTTGGAGGAAGCCACTCTGCCCCACCCATTCATCTAAAGTCTAAACGCAATAAATTCACAGTCCAATCTGTCTATTTAGGATTTGATATAAAGTGGCCCAAAGTGGACTTCGGTTCAAGTATTACTTTAAGCAGAGGCCCAAATCTTTGTGCACACCAATGTAATTCGACAATCCAAGTTAGGATATAACCGAGCCGGTTTGATAGCTGTTGGAGCTCTGTTCGAAAAAACTTATTCCGAGCCATGTTTGAATTTTGTCCAGCTCATTTTATCCAAGTCTTTCTCATCCGACATAAAAACGAAGGAAGCAATGTTATTGTTAGAGAAGCCGGCTTCTGTGTACATGTACAAGAAAGAATACACTGCCAAGAAATGTTGATCTCTCCAATGCAGCATTTTGCATATAAATTAGGACATCATTCCTGAGGATACTGCGTAAGAAAAGAAAAGCTACATTAAATTAATTGGATTAAGAATGGCCAGGTTGAGCAGCAAAGCGACCATCTTATTCAGTTTGGTTCTGTTAGTCTCTCTTCTTCTTGCTGAGAGCAGACAGATTGGCAGTAAGTTAGTTAATTAATCTCTGTTTCTATTTGATTTGGATTATAATTAATTCGTTGTATATATATATATATATATATATATGGTTTGTACAGTTGGATTTGGACGGGGACAAGCAAGAGCGGAGTGTGATTCAGTATATGGCGCAGAAGATGGAGATACATGTACGAGCGTTGCTAAAAAGTTCGATGTGAGTCTCGAATTCTTCACCTCCATCAATCCAAATATCAATTGCGATGACATTTTTGTCGGCCAGTGGCTCTGCGTCGACGGAACTGCTTAAAGTTTAAATGCTCTGATCTGATCACCTCATGGAATGGATGTATGAATAAATTAAACGGATTTTCTTGTTCTAGATAAAATAAAAGTCGTTCCTTTCACAGAACAATGTGAAACGCGCAGAAGAATAGTTATTGAAGTTTCCAAATCTTTTCTAATGAAGTTTCCTTCAGTAATGGTTATATATATATATAGTATTGCATAGAAAAAAAAATATAACATCAGCAATCTTCAGGGCAGCCCTGCTTTATGAATGTTATAGAACAAGGAAATTTTGCTCCACTAATTGTAGTAACTATCATTGTTGACTCCAATTTCAAATACAAGTGGAGATTGAAACTTCCAACTACTGGCTAAATTTGCCACTAACAAATCAAAACCTTTTTTGACAATTACATTATGAAGAAAAGCCAATTGCCCACTAAAAAAATGAAACAACAAAGAAAACAAAATATAAATATTATGCGTACAGTGATACAGGGCAAGGAGCATCCTTCATTACCCCACTTAGAATCTAATCTTGACAAGATGGTGATAAGAGTTACCTCAAGCTCCCCAGAAACGCTCAAAAGGCTGGTAAAGAGATCACGCTGGTAAAGAGAGGGTCCTCTGGTTTCCAAGGTTATGTGGTTTTATCTCCCATGAACTTACCTGTTGTGCTTCTTCAGGGAGAATGAATGGCAGAGAGATCTCATTGATCATCAACTCACCACAGAATGGGCATTCACTGGCTATTGCATCATCCAACTGCGACCGGAGCTGCAAATTCCAACATAAAAAAGTCAAGCAGTCAACTAAATACCACTTTAATATGTTTAGCCCATAATTGAAATAGTCATGGCTAGCAATCCCAAAATGAATAAACAGTAAATGAAGCATAAGGAATAGGTTCACACTATCAAAAAACATAAAACAGACACTGATTCAGGAGATGGATGCAAAGTAATGCAGAGTTGCCCCAAAAGTTAAACTACTGTAATTACTGGTAGAGATTTGCTTGAAAAAGAAAAAAACAGGAAGGTAGAACTGACCTTATCTACAGGGGTAGCTCTAGCAATGGACTCCTCAGATATACCACCATTCAAGTCTTTCCTGGTTCCCTCACCCAGTAAAGTGAGTTGCTTCTGCAGATCCAGTATATATTCTGCCTGCATCATCCATTTGAGAACCAGAGGAAAAAATTAAGATTGCAAGTTTAGTCCCAGTGCTGGAACAAATCTACCAATAGGGACCTCATTCTAAATGAACTGAGCATAGGTAGTAGTCAATGATATTATAAGCAGCTGGAGAAGCCTGGTCCCACTGCTGGAATATATGTAGAAATAGGGCCTTATTCTAAATGAGCTTAGCATAGGTAAGAGTCAACAATATTATAAGCAGATCGAGAAGCCTGCACAAAAAGTTTTATGACAAGCCAGCTGCTTCTATTTAGTCAATATTGCCTAAAAAAACAGAATAAGGAAAAGAAAAATAAGAGCCTCAAAGATGAGACACGTGTCATGACTCTTAACAAGGCCAGTACAAGAAACGCTACAAAATAACTTAGAAATGACATTTCAGAGTATTGCACAGGTTAGAATAAGTATCATGCAAGAAATACCACAACTAACCTGAGTTCGGTCTGTACAACGTGTCACATGGGCAATCAGGCATGGTGCATGGAAGGAATGACCACATGGAAATACATAGAATGGAGCCATTGGTCCTGCTGATGTATAGCCCCGAGAAATGCGGTAGTCCCCTCCCACAAGTAGGATTTTACGCTTACAAACCTGAGAATGAAAAATAGAAGGCAACACTTTAAACGGACAAATTACAAAAATTATGCCAAGTAAAATATACAGCATGACAAAATTAAGCACACCGATTGGATATGCAACACTTTAGAGTTCACGGGAAACTACAGAGAGTTAATTAAGGATGACATCAAATTGGTTGAGCCTCATAGGAACATATGTGGATGCTTGATACATAACAGCTACTAAATATCAGGATGACCATACCCCACATTCCTCATCACGATCAATTACAGCATATCTTTGCGCAAGTGCACTAATATCATTTCTTATGTTGTCTGCACCATGTGTGGCATCATTCATCTCCTCTTTTAGTTGTTCAATTTGCTTGTTGTAGTCCTCCAGCGACGAGCAGATAGCCTCCTACATGTAGACAAAATAGTCAAGACACTAATGACAGCTGAAGATAATATAACTATAGAAACAGAAAACTAACAAATGCAAAAACTTAGCACTTCGTAAGAAGCCAAACCCATAAGCCATCTGCATGGCATCAACAGCATATGGCTGGAAAAACTAGACCTCTGATTCCATAGAATGTTCTAATTGAGTAATAGCTAGAAAAGCAGGATAAAACTAGAAGGATTCTCTAATGAAATTCTGCTTGCAAAGTCTAAAAATACTTTAATTGGTCTAAATTGGCTCCAATTTATGTGGGGGTCAAGGAAAGACATATAAGCATGCAGCATTCCTGCTGTTCTTTTGCAAAGATACTATATTATATCCATGACTAGCAGTTACGCCGAGGCTCAACATCAATGAGGACAAAAATAACAATGAAACCAGAGGTTATAAAATCTTGCCTTGAAGTCATCAATGAGCGCAAAGTCTGGAAAGAATGGTAATATATCCTCAATCTTTAAAAGGCCATCAGTTTCCTTGAGAAATGCTATTGCTTTCCGTATGTTTTCCCTTTTAGTTCCCTTTTCCTGTTCAATAACATGCTTGGCAACCATAAGCCATAGCTTCTTTCTCAAGTCTTCGTCATCTTCAACCTTGTCAGCTTCAGCCATAGCAAGCTCAGGGTCAACCTATTGCAGCAACAGAAATTTATATCAAAATAGTTAACACAAAGAAATAACTATGGCGGAAAATGAGGATTGCATCTCTTGCCAAGGATCTAAATGGTTTTAATGCCTGGAGGTACTGGTAATGGCATTATCAAACTGCATATATTCTAGCTTCCCTGGATTGAAAGCATCTAAAAGTTCAGGTTGTATTTTCGTTAGATACTCTTTGAGAAAACTACCAAAGAATTGTACAAATCGTCTGACATGCATATTATATCTAACGAATCTATGTATCATGATTACTATAGTATCTAGAAAAAAATGTGATACATATAAAAAGGAAAGCAATATATTTCCTACTAGTAATTTTGGGTTCTAGCTTCCTTGGTTAGGTTTGGAAACTATATTATTTGGCCTGGTTTTATTGATTTCCCATGAATAGAGATGGTGAAACCAATTAAATTAAGGTTTGTTCCAATGCATAATGATTACAGTATGTATGTCGCAGAAAATTTCAATGAGAACTTAATACTTTTCTTTCATTTTTTTCTTCTTTCTATGGTCTAATGAAGAACCTCATGTGTGTAGGCTTAGCCATCTGTGCTGAAACCTGTATAAATCTGATCCAGAATCAGATTTAAGGTTTTGGCCTTAGATATAAGAAAAGAAAGTAGAATCCCATTACTGTCACCTGCAAAGCAAGAGCAACTGCTTCTTCATGCATGGACATCATGCTATAGATATGGACACAGGCACGCATTCGCTTTTCCTTGAGGCAAAGACGTAAAGCATACTTTGGGTCATAGAAGAAATCAGGACCATTTTCTCTTCCTTTTCCAAACTTGCATTGAAGGAAACGCAAAAGTGCGCCATCATCTTCCTGAATATAAATGCAAATGAAAAGTCCTATTTAAAAATCTCCATAGGTACAGATCTACCATTTGAGGCAACAAGTAAAAGAAAAATCATGGTTTTGACTTCAAACAAATCACATATATCACATGCAAGTTCTGAGGCTGACCTGCTTAGCATACAGAGAGAGAAGTAAATTGTGAATTCCAGGATCCTCGTTATGCAAATGATGAACACAAAATTCCAAATATTTGATAACTTCATGTGTTTCATTCCTGCATTAATGAAAAGTTGCATGGGAAATCATATAAGAAAGATCAAATACCAACTTCAGTATATATTCAACATTTAAACAGGGAATTAAACTACACAGGTCAACTTCAAAATCATAGGAATTAACAGCTGGATCTATCATAAACAGTCATGTCTAATGATGAATAGATTTTTAGAGATGTATCAGTATTCCCACACACACAAAAAAAAAAAAAAAAAAAAAAAAAAAAAAAAAAAAAACAACTTCAAAATCATAGGAAATTAACAGCTGGATCTATCATAAAACAGTCATGTCTAATGATGAATAGATTTTTAGAGATGTATCAGTATTCCCACACACACAAAAAAAAAAAAAAAAAAAAAAAAAAAAAAAAAAAAAATCCTTAGAGGTGTATGCAATGTAAAAAAAAAAAAAAAAAAAAAAAAAAAAAAAAAAAAAAATCCTTAGATGTGTATGCATGTTTAATCAATAAAGAACTGTAATCCTAGAGCAGAACTGGCTATCGAGCAATAGTTGCAAGTTTAATTAGAAGCCAAAAAACATATTACCATAAATAACCCATCTTAGTGCTTTCAGAAGGAATAACCACACTTATCTTGGCGGAGTGAAGAAATATATTATATATTCAAACAAATATCACATTACTTTGCATGGGGTTCACTTGAGTAGCGCATCATTGCAGGAATCAATTTCCTTGGATTTAGGTTCTTCATGGCCATCCATGATTCCACAGTTTCATAAGCATCAAGAGTGATAAGGTCTGGGGCAAACTTATACTGCAAAGTAAAACTTTCATTCGTTAGCTTTCATAAATTATGAATGAAAATAAGATGCAGTGGACTCTTTAGGGTGAAGCTATATAAACCTGATTTTCCATTCGTGATAAAGAAAAATGTATTGTCGTACTCTGAACAATGAACTTAAATCTCTACCTGAAGGTCTATGGAAACAGAAGGTTTTTGAAGCACTTCCAATGCCTTCTTTGCCTCTCCTTGCTGAATTTAAGCACCACACACCCCACAAAAGGAGAGAAGAGAGGAAAATGAGAAGAAGATTGCAGAAACTGAGGAACTAAGTTATGAACAGATAGTTATCAATTTCAACAAATAATATGCAGCTCAGTCATGAACAAATGAAATTATAAGTACCAAACGAGAAATCAACTAACAAATGAATAAACAAATACCACTGTCAATTCTTAACAGTGCTAATGAAATGCCAAAATTTACGAGTCAAAACAAAAGAATTTTCCACATAAAAACGAGTTATTCTAATTAGATTGAATCATTTTCTGTTGTCATCCTATTTTGTAAGACTATATGAAATGGGTGGAAATGGAGGACCAAAAAATTGAGTTTCCATTAGGACTAGACAACAAAGATTCCAAACAAATATAAACCACCAACAAAGCTGCATAAATTCTTTCAGCAGTCAAAAATATTAAAGACAGCACAAAGCAAGATTCATATAGATTAACCTAAAATTAACAAATTGAAGTACAGTAAC